TATCGTTGAAAATTCATCAAAGCTGTTTCGCTGACGTCTGTTTGCATGTAACATAACATTCTGTTCAGCTCGTGAATGCCTCTGACCGTTTGTCGTTGTTTGCATCATGGGCGCCGCCACCGGGGGGGACGGGGGGGACGCGTCCCCCCCACTCTCAGAATGGAAGGGGGACGTCCCCCCCAAACTCATTACGGAGCGAGCGAAGCGAGCGTAGTCTTTCGTAGGTTAACGGAAATTTCTGAGTATGCCGTGGTCACGCTTTTGCTAGGCTTATATCTCAGCAACCACTTGACCGATTTACATGCGGTGATTTTTGTAGGGTAGCACTAGATTCATTCCTTCTGACGAGCATCGGACTATTCCCGATGCATGTGAGTGACCCCATATGCACGTGCCACGTGAAAAACGAAGAGGTGTCAGTTTTGTAACAATTTCAATATCTCGGCAACTACTGGGCCGATTGCGCTGGAAGCTGGCATGTAGGTAGGTATACCCACTAGGCAATGCATATCCATGTGCCACAGTTGGGGTGCTGCTGCACGTGCGCACATGCAGGGGTCGATTCCAGATCTCGAGAACGGCTAGGCCGATTGCGCTCAAATTTGGCACATCGTTAGGGACCGGTTAGAAGGGTGCAGTGCACAAGTTAGTTGGAGGTATCCCCTCGCAATTTCGCACGTGCAAGGCCCACCCCACCCTCTCGCTCGCTCCGTTGGTCGCCCCAAAAGGCGTTTTACTGGTTGTTATCCTACTCGAAATTTGATTAGGTCCTTCGGTCCAATGAGACCATTTCAGAGCCGCAAGTATGAAAGAATTAGTGGGAGACATTGGTCGGGGCAGCCACCCCAGTGAGCCACTTGGGATGAACCCGACCAATTGAACAGGCAGCCCAGCCACTGGCACTCACTGCACCCGGCAGAGGACTATAGCTCCAGTGGAGCCATTCCCGCATGGGATAGAGTTGCCCGTCCAGCCCGGAGCAGGGGGTTCAGGCATGGAGAAGGATTTGACTGTCCTGGGGATGGAAGAGATGGAACGGCCGGTGCCGAATCTGAGAGGGTCCAGGAGGTTTAGATACTCAGTATATGGGGTGTGGGCCAACATGCATTGATCTGACCCCTGCCACCTCGGCCAACAAAATCTCCAGCTCTTATCCGACCTGTCATCACGGAACTGCCGATTTTCGATATCGTGATCAACGTGTGTCGTTTAACACGACTGGCCGAACACGGGCCTAATATACCTATTTCGTCTAACCAGCCAAGCGCATGACTTTACACCAATCCGACCTCAAAGTCAAAATCCGAACATTTTCGAAGACTTCAACTCCGACTCTGGCCAAAACTGGCCAAAACAGTCAACTCCGACTGATTCCGGCTCCGACCCCACACTTCTGCAGTCACGCTAGGTACACTAAATTTCCAGCTTCTAAGAAATAAGCTATACGGTTGACAGGACCACAAAACTTTGAGGCGACTTGACTACTTGACTTGGTTTTCCTGACCTAAGGTTTTCTGGTTTCAAGCTTGTTACACGGGCTGCAAAATTCGTATTTTAAAGCAGTTTTGCCTAATGTTTTTTTGCCAATTTTCGCGGCGCTTCGCGCCGATTCGTGCACAAACGAAAAACAGAGATTTGTGACTATACAACGCCCCCTCCCCCACGCGGGTATGCAATATGCATTACCTATGCAATATGCATTATCGATCATATTAGTGGCATACATCAGCAATTATACCGTGATAGAACACGAGACTTTGCCGTGTCAAACTGAATCGGACATCAAATGTGTATATAGGTAGGTACCTCGGTGGGAATGCGGTCTATAGTCATTACTTCAAGGAAATACCTAAACATGGGTGTCCATTTCCGCCAAGTCGGGGGTGCCCGAGCTCTCCGAATTTCCCGCCGGCTCGGCCGGCTTGGCTTTGGAGCCTCAACAGACCGCGCGGGTCAAGGTCACCGCTAGGGCGGCAGCGGATTTGCTGCGCCCGGGCACCCCCAACTCGGTAGAAATCGACATCTATGTACCTAAACACTTTCCTTAAACCAGTTGTTTTGCCACAGTTTTATGAGTTTTTAAACTTAAATTGGTCAGGAAATAATGAATATTTGCAAAAGGATTTTATATTTATCTTTACATCACTATTTTCCATCTTTCGTAGAGGCTACTTACCTATATTGCAGCGGAAGCTGATTACGCGTTGACCAAGCATAGTAGGTACGTAGTTCAAACCAGCTGAATGCTGATTCAGATTGGCTAGCATTTTTCCGTAAGGGAATGGATTCCTCGGTAAGAGAATGATAAAGTGTAATCTATGGGAATGACTTCAGTCTTCAAACCTAAAATCGATACCGATATATTTGGCTAGGGTGATCGTTGGGCCATAAAAGCTCCTGATTTGTTCTCGTCTCAGCTCAAGCTACAAAACTGTTACTTCAGTTCAAAACCCTATGTTGAAAGTGGCATATTTGCTTTAAACGTTGAATGCATACGACCGAAAAAGCCACGGAAAGAATGTCTACTTTTGGGTTTTCAGTCGGTCAGTCCGTCCCCCCCAGTCAAAAATCCGTGGCGGCGCCCCTGGTTTGCATGATCTCTGCATGACTCCGTGTAACATCTTCCAGCATCTTGCTAACAAACTGCAATTTTTGGATGACTGGCCCACTAAATCCAAACCAACTGCCTGCCTTCAACTGTCAACTAACTGGCACCTGACTGCCAACTAACTGCCACCTGACTGCCACCTGACTGCCACCTGCCCTGGAGAGAGGAAGAGAGCGGCATGCAGCGGCGCTTCCTCCGCACTCTCTCCGAAGAGCCTCCGGCGCGCAGCCGATGGGTCCCCGAGGGAAGACGGCACGGTCGAGCCAGTTACGCCGGGTTTACCTCCCGACCAGAGGTGCCCGCGGTGACCGCTCAGCCGCAGTCGCTGCCGCCAACACTGAACGGAGCGCAGCGCGACGTAACAGTCAAGGTATACGGGATAGCGGGGGTGGTTCTCCTTCTCCACGCTAGAACAGCCGTGACTGGATAATGACATGCTACATTGGCCGGTGCTTGGCCGGTCATACATAGACTTAAGTCTAAAAGACGGCAGGCTACAGACTATGAGAATACTGCAGACCTAGATGATAGGAGTATAGACCAAATTGCACGAATCTCTCTTTTGCGAAAAAGGTGTTATATGAGTTTTCAAACATTTTGATGGCCTTCACGATTATTGGTGAAGTAAAAAGATCAAAAAGGCTCAGTTTGGTTAATTTGACCAAACAGTCCAAAGGCATCCGACAAAAACAGTTTCGTGTGGGCTAATGTATGTACAGACCAGTCGTCGGTCCGCTCTTACTGAGTTTTTCCCTTCCCATAATTAATATAGAGGATTCTTCATGGTTCCAAGTGGAAGATAAGGATATCTTTTCCAAGCGAGTTGCTGAAAAACCGAGCGACGAAGGAGCGAGGTTTTTCTGTAACACGCGAGGAAAAGATATCCGATCTTCCACGAGTGAGCCATGAAGAATCCTATATCTTTCTATGTTGAGGTTTATTCCCAATTAATTAAATATTATATTGAGGCGAGATAAGGCACACACAGTACACACGGGGAGGGAGGGATCTGCCGCAAAATAGGTCAGGCAGTCCAAGACGCGAGCTCAGAGGCGGCGGACAGTGCAGAAGGGTGGAAACCAAGCGACAGGCTGTGGAAAATGGTCCCCTCCCACCCTCCCCAATAGGAACTTCCAATCTGTACATATATATGCCGTCCTATAGACACACTCGTCGTCGGCCCACGTCTTGTTATCGATCGTGATATGAACCCACTCGGCGAACACATCCAGCCGAGCGGGACCACCCGGCGAACACATCCAGCCGGGAGACCCACGAGAACTAACCACTCAGCGAACACATCCAGCCGAGCGGGACCACCCGGCGCACACAGCTAGCCGGGAAACCCACGAAATCTAACCACTCGGCGAACACATCCAGCCGAGCGGGACCACCCGGCGCACACAGCTAGCCGGGGTATACCCACGAGATCTAACTACTCGGCGAACACATCCAGCCGAGCGGGACCACCCGGCGAACGCAGCTAGCCGGGGTATACCCACGAGAACTAACCACTCAGCGAACACATCCAGCCGAGCGGGACCACCCGGCTCACACAGCTAGCCGGGAAACCCACGAAGTACTTACCACTCAGCGAACACATCCAGCCGAGCGGAACCACCCGTCGCACACAGCTAGCCGGGATACCATCGCCGCACGACAGTGCGGCACTTACCAGATTGATCTACTCGGCGCACACATCCAGCCGAGTGGGACCACCCGGCGCCCACAGCCAGCCGGGATGCCGTTGCCGCACGACAGAGTGACACTAGATTGATCTATTCGGCGCACGTTGCCAGCCCAGGTGGATCTACCCCAGCGCACACATCCAGCCGAGGGCCACTATGACACTTACCATGTCGATCTACTCGGCTCACCTAGCCAGCCGATCGCGATCCTACCCCGGCGAACACAACCAGCCGAGGGCCACTATGTTTTCTCTCCCTCCCTCTCTCTCTCTCTCTCTCTCTCTCTCTCTCTCTCTCTCTCTCTCTCTCTCTCTCTCTCTCTCTCTCTCTCTCTCTCTCTCTCTCTCTCTCTCTCTCTCTCTCTCTCGACACTTAAAATACGATCAACTCGGCACACATAGCCAGCTGAGCTCGCTCTACCCCGGCGCACTCTGCCAGCCAGAGTGCGTATCATCGCTGCACATGTCATGTCAGCCGAGCCGATTCGTTATGTTCCTGATGCCTAGAGTCTCGTATGTGCCTTGCGGCTTTCCTGTTAACATATACATATATAAGTACACTCACTTGCCAAGTGCGTCTCTGCACAATGGTCCACCCCTCTGGTATGGGTTCGTTCACGGCATATTCCATTCGTTTGACTCTTGAGCGGGTCAACTATGCAGGTCCCTTATCACTAGTCTCGCTAGCACGCTAGCCTGACTTACCGGCCATGTATGTTTCCCTTGTGCTCCCTCTGCTGAGCACCAGCTACCTTGTCGTGCCACAAACCTGTCTCCCGTCCTCGCCCACTGCTCGCTCATATCACACAGTCATTCGCTCGATTTCCACTCTCTCGACTGTCCGTTGCCTCCGAGATCACGACCATTTTCCACAGCCTGTCGCTTGGTTTCCACCCTTCTGCACTGTCCGCCGCCTCTGAGCTCGCGTCTTGGACTGCCTGACCTATTTTGCGGCAGATCCCTCCCTCCCCGTGTGTACTGTGTGTGCCTTATCTCGCCTCGGCCGCGGCCCGGTCCCCTCCCCGTCCCTGGACCCGGGCCGTCAACCGCGCGCCACGACTCGGGTCTCCTCCCACCCATCTGCCCCTCCCTCCCTCCTCGTGCTGGCCATCCTCCGCTCACTCATTCGAGCCCCAAATCAAGCTAATGTATTTATCTATGTAAAAACAGATTAAAATTAGTTTGTTTTTATTTCATAAGTTTCATACACAAACAACCATTAAAAATGGTTCAGTTATTGACCCATCATCACTTGAACTCTTGATTTTCGGCTATGAACCCTCGAGACCTTATCTTTGCATCTCAGAGAAGTGCGAGATAGAAATATCCCTGCACTGTAGACCCAATGGCAAATAAACCTCAACTAGAAAGATAAATAATCTCGGTCGCTCGCTGCGCAGTGCGCTCGCTCATTTATGAATAATATTATCTTCCCTTAGATTCAGTCCAATGCTTCACGATCGGCTAATCCTAGCAGTATATGTATATTAGAAAAGCTTAAGCATATATCCGGTCTTTAGCTACGTTGAATGCCACTGCATGCATAGATTTTTGAAGCTTCTATATTTAAACAGACGGATATATTTCCGGCTTTTAGCTCGGCATGTCATCCCACACTGTGCTCGTAAATGAAGCCTATTTGGGCGCACGTTTCTCAGAGCCAGCCCTCGTTGTGTATCGATCGCCTTGTTTGTTAGCTTTGCTATCTGTGTGTATGTTTAGCCCGCCCTCGGTCACTGACCTGAGCTGCACCGCTGCATCCCTGCACAGGTCATGCTCCTCGGTGACACCGGCGTCGGGAAAACGTGCATGATGATCAAATTTAAGGACGGCCACTTCCTCAGTGGCACCTACATTTCCACTGTGGGCATAGATTATCGGGTAAGTCACGCTAGGCTAGAAGTTGTTACATGTCCAGATATTCAGTTGAAGACCTTATTGTGTCGAAGGCACAAATCACGGGCAGTAACATAAAGCGCAATGTTATTTTCAATGAGATGATTCACTAACACCTTTTTTATAATTCTTAGATCATTGGTTACATGATGGTTTGAAATGATACCCAACTGCTGCTTGACTGTAGGATGCCGTTTTTAATCATAGCAATGCTTAAAACTATTCCATTTTTTATAAAGGGCGTCATCAAAGCCGGTGGCCGTGCTCGTGCCGATGTAAAGTTGTGCTCCTGTGTGTTCACCTCAACTAGCAAACCACTCTGCTGATTGCTTTGTTTGCGGACCTGGCTAGAGGTAAACGGCAGCCAGCGCAATTGTTCAGATAAGTATACCTAATACTAGACGAATGCCGTCATGAAGGCACATAGCTCGCCCATTTTATGACACACAGCACATTACCCAATTACACATCCTTGTCACATAACACATTACTGTTACACAGCACACATCACACATCTTTGCCCGCGCTTCCCGACCAATTCTTATTCCACCTAGCGTATTAGATTAACCCGCGCCCTGCTGGGGGGTGTTTGAACACCCCCCTTGTGGTTTTTCGCGAATATCTCAAAAACGGCGTCGCGGAGCGCCGCCGTTATTGGTACACCTTATCATACATCAATTCTACACATTTTGTGAAAATTTCAGACCAAGGTCATTCAAGGTCAGGTCACCAGGTCACTTGAAGTGACCTCACCTCATAAAAAGTTTCAATGTCTGTCATAGCTACACCGAGTGACCGATCGCTTTGAAACTTTCAGCGATTGCTAAGAGCAATAGCATGTACAAAATGTATATGTTTATGTTTATGTTTATGTTTATTTGCTCATCACCAACAGGTACAGATAAAACCCGGTTACAGGTGAAGTCATGGATAAATATAAGATAAATCTATATAAATACACGCAACCCTTCGGACGGACAAAAGCTCAATAAAAGCCAGCTCGTCTCAGAATTTATATATATATAATATCTCAGAATTTTGATATCGATGACCTAAGGTCAGGTCAATTTTGCGACCTCGCCATTATAAGTCAATGGGAGAAAATTGAAATGCGCCTCTTTTGGACAAAAGACATTATAAACACTCCCAAACACCGAATTACAAGTGGTTTAGACACACTGAACATGAAAATGGTGTCCGTGACCCTTGTTTATGCCCTGAGGTCATCTTAGGTCACGAATGGTATTTAACAGTTTTTCGCAAATGACTTTTGATAGAGGCATGCTAGAGCGATGAAAACGCCTTAGATGTGTTCAGCTCGACGATACGGATCGACTGATATGCAACATGACCCTTTCCGTCAATTAACTAATGACCTGAGGTCAAATTTTCAAGTTGACCTTTCAAGGTCAACTTATAGTTCATTCGATGCGTCTTGACGAGAGGAACACAATGCCGGTAAAAGTAAGCTCGTACAAGGCTTGGGTCAAAAGTTATTGCAGAAAAACTGTTTCCGAAAAAAATCGGTTATTTTTGCAGTTTTTCCCCCTGCAGGCAAAACCGTTGACGTTAGGTCAAATCTGAGAGAATTACTCAGAAAGGGCTTTAATAGGGCTATCGAATGCGCTTTACCGCGGCGCTGTAGCTCTATTGGTTCTCGAGTTATGCGTTGGCTTCTTAGAAATTTTCGACATTCGACCTGGAAATCGGCGAAATTTTGCCTTCAATGACCTCTGGTGACCTGACCTTTGACCTGACCAAAAAATTGACCGAAGTGATTTCGTCATTATTTTTGACGCTCTTTCGAACGCCGCCTTCCGCGTATCGCTACGTGGCCCAGGAGCCGAGTTACAAGGGGGGGGTGTTCAAACACCCCCCCCCCCCCCAGCAGGGCGTGGAAATCCAGGACCCCCAGCCGGGCATGGGTTAACCCTCGCCGGCCGAGGGGGGGGGCGGGTGCCGCCCCCCCCATAGGGTTTTTTCGCGATAGCTCCGAACACGCTGGCGATAGAGAGCTGAAACTTGGCATACCTGACCTTTGATCCAAGCCGGATCTTTTGACACCAACCGCATTTTTGGGTCAGGTCAGGTCACTGACCTATGACGTCATAAGTGAACCTCTGCACGGTCTTCAGATGTCGCAACTTCGCAACGCCCTCACTGCCAGAGGAGATGTCACAGGGAAATGAAACTTGCAGGATCTAGTATCCATTATGAGTCCCACAACTTGTATATCTCGGATTTTTCCTAAAGGTCATATGAGGTCAGGTCATTTTCGTGACCTCACCATTATAAGTCAATGGGGAAAAATTCAAACTGCTATTCTGGCGCCGGGAACGATCTCCAACTATCTCAAGCACACAGAATCGTGATTTGATGCACTCCTTGCAAGGTTAGATGCGTTACTTTTGCAATGTTGACTTTGCGTGACGTCATTTATGACGTCATCAAGGTCAAATTAGTTTTTCGTCAATAACTCTTGATCAAATTGAGCTAGCGAGTCGGGAAAGGCACCAATGGACTCAGGAAGGCCTGCCGAATCGAATGATATGCGACATGACCTCTTTCAACCAACTTCGTGACCTGGGGGTGCTGACCTGACCTTGACCTGAGGTCAACACCCCAAGTTGACCTGACCCGGACAAAAAGTATATCATTCGACGCGCCTGAGCGAGGCGAACACGATGCTGCCAAAATCGGCGCTCTGCGGCCGTTTTTTGCGAAGTTATTCACCAAAAACTGAACCGTACCCTGGGGCACTTGACCTGACCTCAGAGGTCACCGGTTGACCTAGGACCTTAAAATCGGGTACCAATCTCTGCGTCTCGTAACGGCGCACACGCTCGTTTTTTCCGCGACGCGCTAGCTCCACCAGGGGCGAAACGGCGAGGGGGGGGTCGTACCCGCCCCCCCCCCCCTCGGCCGGCGCGTATGTAGAAAACCAATAGGTCCGGCGAGGGTTAAGCATGAATTAACTTTGGATTGCAACGCAATCGCAAAAATCGTGGCATTCTATTCATGCAACTATTGGCTGGTTGCTCACGTTAGCCGGATGTACCAGTGCAGTGCAGTTTGCAGTATATGTGCTAATGCAGCTTGCAGTAGTTTGCAGTAGTACAAATGCAGTAGCTAGTTGCCAAATGCAGTTTCGTATCATGAACAGATTAGAAAAAATGCCTTTGGAAACAGAGAAACTCAACAACAAAGAAATAGGGACATATCGGATGATACAGTTTGACCAGGAATGGGAAAAGCGTATTTACATATCCCCCAGACGACCGCTGCCGACGACCAAATGGCTCAGCAAACAGAAGGCCGGCCAGAAGACCAGAAGCTATAGGCTGCTCTGCAGTTATATGCCTACCAAGCAACCGATGTATTTGTATAGATGAATGGCGCCATACAATGCACACACCTAACATTTCAACAGCACGAGTATAATGAGCACCTTGTTACATAACACCGTCCCGATGATACATGCCCCTATCAACGCTGGAGGAGCTTAGCCTGGCCCGGGAATGATCGTGCTCGATTCAGCATCAATCACGGCTAAGAATGGATCGGTTGTTCCTAGAACGCACATCCATGATCGTAAGGCTTTACCGATAGGCAGTGTAGTGTGTACCTACTGCGCCATAGTGCACGGCCTATATTACCTGCAAAACAAATATCTTGAAGCGCAGCACTAAAGGCCTGGCTACACTATGCGTTTTCTTCGTGCGTTTTTTGCGTGTTTGCGTGTTTTGCGTGATGTCGTTCTAGAAAAAAGAACGATATTACGTTTTTGTGATGTTTTTCACCTTAAATTTTAGTTACATAAGAGTTATATTAGCTTTTGTATATAACCAAAGTAAAAATTATATTGTTTATAACTTTTTTCCTAAAACGATATTACGCAAAACACGCAAACCTGCAAAAACGCACGCAGAAAACGCATAGTGTAGCCAGGCCTTAAAGGTCAGCTATTCCAGTACCCCGTCCAAATAAAGCGACACTGTTCAGTCTTCGGAGTAGGCGGCTGCCGGTGAACGGCTGGGCTGACAAGTATTCTTTATGTGAGCACTCTCCGTGGACGGCGTACGAGAAAGTCGGGCACTCTGTCATTTCCAGTCCCGGCGAACGCTGCCGGCTGCAGTGGGCTCTCTGGTCTCCGTGGGTGTGTCGCTTTATAGGCTGGTCTGGTCGGATGTCGGGACTTCTCTGAAGTGAATTGAGTGACCGTTTTGGAGCAATAGATAGTCAATGTCCGAGGTATAAATATAGTCAATGTCCACAAGATATCAATAGACTACAAGTCCTCTTATCTAAAAACTCATTGTTATTAAATTATTGACCATAACATCGATATTGCTCAAACCGTTTTAGCTGTTAGGAATCGCCCATTTATCACCGAATGCACGCAAAAAAAATTAACCGACGGCAGAGAATCATTAACCCTCGCACGACCAGGCCATTTCTCATAACACGAACGACCAGGGGGGGGGTTGTTACGACCCCCCCCCTGGCGTTTCGAAACGGAAGGTCGTAGAGCTTAGCGGAAAAACCAACGGATTGCTCTCAACGAGATCTCGCGATTGGTGGTATATTTTTTGGTCCTAGGTCAACATTTGACCTACTTATGACCGGTCAAAGGTCAAATTTTCCGAAAAAATCAAACTTTTTTCAACTTTCCGCGGCGATTGCGGCAAAACGGTGGGAGATATCGACTTGAAACCTTCACTATCGTGTTCCTTGATTAATTCTCTATCGTTTGGTATGTATTTCGTTTCCCTAGCTCTAAAAATGGCGCGTTGGGAGCGCCGGAAGTCGGCAAGGTCACAGTCGGCGGCAGAAATTCGAAAAATCAAAATTTAAATTTTTGAAATCTGATTGTATTTTTGGATTTGGGAGGTCCATTTGCTCCCTATAGAAGCTAATATTGCTGCATATTCCCATTGAGGTGACAAGAATTAGCAAAATAGTGGTTCGGGCGCTTTTCAAAAATAGTACCGGACGCTGTTCCTCTTGTGACGTCATAGCTCCGTGACCTGACCTGACCCGGTCAATTTTCTTGCACCACACGATAGCCAATGCTTGCCCCAACATGCATGGGAAGTTTCATCATGATCCATCAAACAATGTGGGTATCACCGGCAGAAAACCTAGGGATTCGGCGCACACGTTTGGTAACTGTCGGCCGGAGGCTGTACCTCTTATGACGTCATAACTCCGTGACCTGACATGACCCGATCAATTTTTTTTCGGCAAAAGATGCGCAAAGGTTGCTCCAGAGGGTATTGAAAATTTCAGCCCGCTACGACAAGCCGTTTAGCGTGCACTTCGAAAAAACCTCAGGGGGGGGGGGGTTGATACAACCCCCCCCTAGGCGTTCTAGGGTTAAGAAAAATTAAGGAATAAACTAGCCAAACACGGCATAGAGAGACATTGCCTTTGCACCCATGAATGACAGACGATAGAAAGAAATTAGTCATCAGAAAGTTGAAACGACTTGCTGCTAAGAGACTGTCCGCCACCTGACCTCCGCTCCAGTTCATAGCTCCCAAGTAGCGTCCGTTCATGGGCTGTTCAGTTACGGCAAACTGCCTCAGCTGGAGATGAGAGGGTCTCATTTCTCAACTGATGGGACGTGAGTCGGCGGAGCTGCCCCGTGGGAGGACGTTCAATTCAGTGTGAGGAGCTCGTGGAGCGATAAATGTGACACCCGACTCCTGGAATACACGTCCAACGCCATCCCGGATAGCGATTTGATCTAGTAGTGCAATACCTCATGTGTCAGGGCAATTCATTGACATGTTTCATGCTACTGATATCTAAAATACTTTGTGAATGACCTCTCCTTGAAATTGTATGTAGGATATATTTTACAAAAAGTCAAATACAGAAATGATAAATTTTCGATCACGGATCTTTGTCAAATCACATTCAAAATTCAAATAAAAATTTCGAAAATTTATCATTTCTGTATTTGACTTTTTGTAAAATATATCCTACATACAATTTCAAGGAGAGGTCATTCACAAAGTATTTTAATGTACAAATGCTCCTTGCACAAGCACTAAGAAGACTGAAAGCTACTGATATCTAATGCAAACGCTGCCCTCGACCTGAGTAATTATTGAGATGACTCATTGTACCGACATTGACCTCATCTCAATTCTGTATTTAATGAATACCGATCCGATAGGCTTCAGTTCAATCTATCGGCTAAATGATTTCAATGAACGACGTTTACGCGATCAAAACTGTCAAATATTGAATCGGCACAACCCCATCCAACTTCAAGAGGTGAACTCCCTCATGTTACACGTTACGGCCGCTTGCTATCCTCAACCCTCATTCATCCTTCCTGCGCCAAACGGGCCTGAGTCAGCCTCTTTGCCGCAGCGCACTGGCCAACATCATTCTCTTTTTACAAGTGCTCCCCTCCTCCCTTCCTCTCGTCTCTCGTCTCTCGTCTCTTGATCGAGAGCCAGTCTGCCGTCCGTCCCTCTCCATGTAAGTACCCTGGCCATGTGCCGTGCCGTGTATGGGTGGGGGTGGGGCGTGGGCCCAATTATTGGACATGAACAGCACCGTGGTCACGACTGGCGGCGACGCCAAACGCGGCTGGCGCGGCTGCTGCGCCTGCCCCACGAGATTACCGAAATACTGGCGTTACCATGACAACGCTCATCAACAGAAGTGTTTGGTCCAGTGACGTAATCCTCAGGCGATGATTGATACGGCGTCTTGCCGCTCACGGTAGGGCTAAAAATACACAGACAGACGCTGCCGTATGTGCATGGACGATGTCTGTGAGAGAATGGGCTCCAGCTTCTGATACAGACTGATACAGCTAGATAATATATGGCGGAAAAGTTTCTCATTGGCTCGCCTATAAGTATCTGTCTTTACTAAAGTGTATTTTCTAAGTTCGGTTATTCTGTCAAGTGGCAATTACTATGCATAATAAACAGCTGTTATTACGGAGCGAGCGAAGCGAGCGGAGTCTTTCCTTAGATTAACGGAAATTTCTGAGTATGAGCGGCCGGCCGTGGGGACGCTCTTCAAAAGCTAATATCTTAGGAACGGGACATCCGATTGACAAGCGGTCTTCTTTACTGAATGTCACTTGGACGTAAAAGTTCTGTGGTGTGATGGCCACCATGCGTTCTTGCCAATTACCGCACGTGGCGCGTGGTAAAGTTGGACATTTTTTAAGAACCCCCAAAATTGCAACCTCAATAACGGCACAACGGCTGGGCCGATTGAATTGAAACTCGGTACACAGTTAGGTCTCCATCAGATAATTCATCTGCATGTGTTAAGGTTGGGGTGCTGCTGCACGTGCGCACGTGCAGGGGTCGTTTCCAGATCTCGAGAACGGCTGGACCGATGGCGCTCAAATTTGGTACACGGTTAAGGACCAGTTAGTAGGGTGCCGTGCACAAGTCAGTTGGGACCCATTTTGCACGTGCGCACGTGCAGGGTGCCGCTTCCAGATCTCGAGAACGGCTGGGCCGATTGTGCTCAAATTTGGCACATCGCTAGAGACCGGTTAGTAGGGTGCCGTGCACAAGTCAGTTGGAGGTACCCCCTCGAAATTTCGCACGTGCAAGGCCCACCCTCTCGCTCGCTCCGTTAGTCGCCCCATAAGGCGTTATACTGGTGATACAAACTGTGCTGTGCTTTTGGAGATAAAGCCTTCTTTAACTGTGCTTTTTTAATCAATAAAAGATAACTGCGCTTCGTGCTGAGGTTTATGACGTGTGCTATCCTAATTCCTGATCGCATCGAGTCTTACACTTGACTTTTAACGTGCAAATTAACACTTTATCCAGAAGCCATCCACCGCCCTAAATAAATTTGTTACCTAAATTCACAAGTGTTGTGTACAATTCACTACCTGTCGGTTTCAGGCCACTGCGACGGTACAATTCCGAGTCGGTTGGTGCTTACATGTCGGAGTGTAAATGTAACTGTCTGATACAGCCCACAGTGCACTACAGCTGTGTAATGGAGGACCTGCTGTTGAATGTGTTACAGAACAAGGTGGTGGAGGTGGACGGTGCCAAGGTGAAGCTGCAGGTCTGGGACACGGCTGGACAGGAGAGGTTCCGGTCGGTGACACACGCCTACTACCGGGACGCTCACGGTGAGAGTTAGGCAGACACGGCGAGAATTAGACTTGTCTACAGACTCGCCACACTTGATCTGTACACACAAACATAGCTATCGTCCTAAAGACTGAGAGAGATGAGACAGACTACCGACGGTTGCGGCGCGCAGTGGAAAACACGCTGCCGCCCGGGAGTTAGGCTGTGCCGCAGTACGTGATATCGCCGGGTAGCTAGACTGTCCCGCAATACAATCCACCCGGAGCCACTGATTGAGACAAAGGTTCTAGCGTTTCATAAATCGAACTCTGGTTACGGAGCGAGCGAAGCGAGCGGAGTCTCATACTGAATTAAGGGAAAATCCTGAGTATGAGCGGCCGGCCGGCCGGCCGTGGGGACGCTCTTCAAAAGCTAATATCTTAGGAACGGGACATCCGATTGACAAGCGGTCTTCTTTACTGAATGTCACTTGGACGTAAAAGTTCTGTGGTGTGATGGCCACCATGCGTTCTTGCCAACCACCGCACGTGGCGCGTGGTAAAGTTGGACATTTTTTAAGAACCCCCAAAATTGCAACCTCAATAACGGCACAACGGCTGGGCCGATTGAATTGAAACTCGGTACACAGTTAGGTCTCCATCAGATCATCCATCTGCATGTGTTAAGGTTGGGGTGCTGCTGCACGTGCGCACGTGCAGGGGTCGTTTCCAGATCTCGAGAACGGCTGGACCGATGGCGCTCAAATTTGGTACACGGTTAGGGACCAGTTAGTAGGGTGCCGTGCACAAGTCAGTTGGGACCCATTTTGCACGTGCGCACGTGCAGGGTGCCGCTTCCAGATCTCGAGAACGGCTGGGCCGATTGTGCTCAAATTTGGCACATCGCTAGAGACCGGTTAGTAGGGTGCCGTGCACAAGTCAGTTGGAGGTACCCTCTCGAAATTTCGCACGTGCAAGGCCCACCCTCTCGCTCGCTCCGTTAGTCGCCCCATAAGGCGTTATACTGGTTCTTTAGCCTGTGTTTTGATATCCTGAAATCAACAGCTGCTAATTCACCTACCCGATTATTATAAACTTCTAATCGATCGGTGGATTGTCTACTAATCCAACGTGATTGACTTTTTGTTGTTGGTGTTTCGAGCCCACGCATGTGCAATCTATTCTTCTATTTTCTATATTACTATTTGAGGAGGGTGCGTCTGTCCGTTACCGAGGTCCCGACTTGGTCGTGCTTTGCGTGGACTACAGGCCAGACCGTTGCACCTAGCCCGGTGAAATTTGCACAACTTATAGATCAAGGATGCGCGACGTGCCTTTGAGGGGTCTCAGCTCGATCGGATTGATAGGGAGCGCGTGGCGCGTGCTCAAAAAGTGCAAATTCGCGTCATAGACTTTACATGTATAAATCGGCGTGCGAAATCGGGAGAAAACGGCTAATTTTGGCCGACACGGGTCCAGTTCCCGTGCAATATCTTGGTGACCAGGGGTCCGACCGGCACGGGGAAAACAGCATCGTGTACAGAATTGAACGGGCTATTGAATGGTGTGCAATGCAGAGGATAGCACGCGCCACGTGCACCGGAGAGGGCACTTTTATTTGAAAAATTGCGGTTTATGAGGGATTTTGGAATTAAATTTATTTTTAGGTGACCGTTAAATGGAGCGAGTTGAATCAACGCCTATTTGCAAGAGAAAGGTACCGCCTCTCATATAAAAATTGTGAAAAGCTGATTGATCCAAATCAAGGTGGTGCAAATCACAGGAGAAAATGGTGTTTGTCAATTTTGTGCCACTTTATTAATCACACGGGGTTTGCTGCATAACCTGATACCTTTGGCAATTGAATATGGTACCATTGGATAGAGCATTCAATTCTGTCCAATATTCACTCTTCATTTTTGCATGATTAGTAACAGTATCCATAAAAATGTAAATGTTCCAAACCATTACATTGTCATTTTTAGCGAAATTCATTGATGGCCCTCAAAAGACTTCACGCCAGTTTTCGAATCATTCTAAAGTAGAACGCATGATAATACGACACGGGCACCTCGATGCGATGTATCTTTTTGTTTTCTTACAAAATGCTTGGCCGTCAAAAAGCAATCGAACGAAATGGATATCTACCAAGCAAATCGACACAGACCAACCCAATACCCACGGGTCAAAAAATCCCCCTTCGCGTTGCGGAGCACGCGGGTAACCCTAGTGGTTAACTATTTTTGTTAAGGAAAAGCTGCAGTTCATTGGTGACTAAAGACTAAAGTGGGCACTGCTTTAGTGTTTCGCTCACACTAGTTTTTGTTTACAGCACTTTTGCTTCTTTATGACGTCACAAACAAGACAAGCTTCGAGAATACGCGCGCCTGGTTAGCTGAGATTAGAGAATACGCCCAAGATAATGTCGTCATAATGTTGCTGGGTAAGTACACACCAATTTAGGACGATCCTAATTTATGTCGTGCTAAAAATGTCGCCTGGAATGACTCATTATGTTTAATCGATGCTAATAGCATGTAACTGATTTCAGCCGCGAGGATGAATATGGAATTTAAAATTAGTTTTACCAAAGGCCGTGTAAAAGTGAACTTGATATTCCAGAATGGGTAAAATGCGTTAACGTTTCTTTCTGCAGGTAACGATTGTGATGGCTCTGTTTATATAAATAACAAACGTGACCAGAGCCCTTCTCAGTAGGCCACAAATGTGAACGCTCATGCTCAATTTTTAGCAAACGAGATCACTTTGTCTCCATATAGTTAACAACTGTGACCACTGTCCCTCCCACAGGTAACAATTGTGACCAGTGTCCCTCCCACAGGTAACAAGTGTGACCGCTCAGAGGACCGAGTCGTTCAGTCCGATGACGGCGAGCGCCTGGCGCGAGAGTTCAACGTCGTCTTCATGGAGACGTCGGCCAAAACGGGGATGAACGTGGAGCTCGCCTTCAGCGCCATAGCCAGGTCAGGCCGGGGATTCTGCTCCGTAAACACAAATGATTATCATTATTTACTGAATACTTATTATCAATGGTAATGGTTAGTCAGCAGGGGCGTCGATTTTTCAAAATGGTTGGGGGTGCTCACTGGCCACTGCTCAACCCCTGCACCGGGTGAAAGGTTGCAGCTTTGCCATGGGGCACAACCGTACAAGGCACGGTTGGGTAATGGGTATCCCCATAAGGTACTGATAATCCCGGGATTTCCACTAATATTTCCCAAAGGTTGAACGTTCTTCAAAATCATTCTGGTCGTCCTAGTACTTGGCTTCCTCATTACATAAACATCTTTCCGAAAAAACTCGTACATTTGCCAGCAGCTCGGCAGCAGCCCCGGCACCTCTGTAATAAGGTGACAGAAACCGATGACCGCGATTAGCACCGGTGCAGCAGCCCCTGCGGTCCGCAGGGGCGGACATTGCGCGGGAGGCAACGGTATAGCTACGAGGCTCTGGCGTTAATCAGACGATCACAATAATCGCTGAAAAAAATGACAGGTGATCGCATTTCGATATTTACGGGTTTACGATTTTCCTCAGTGGCGTAGCCAGGTGGGCCCGTTAGGCACATGCTCCCCCCTCCCCCCCCATCAGATTCAGGGGCCCATCGGGTTATTCGGGCATGAGGGGCCCTGCGGCGCCAATTGGCCGCTGAGGGTCCACGTTGGCTATATTTGGACTCAGAAGGGCCCCACAGGGCTCGTAAGAACACCTCATGGGCCCACAAGAACTAACATTAAGAAAGGGCCCCAAGCCAGCCTCTGAGGGCCACTTGTCGGCCTCTGGGGGTCTTAACCGGCCTATAGGGGGCCAGCTCTAGGAGTTGCACAGTGCACACCCTCCTGTAATGGCCCCAGACACCCATTTCTCTGAGGGCCTCTATAACGGCGACTGTGAGGGCCCTCACCGGCGCCCCTGAGCGCCACACCGGCGTCTCTGAGGGCCCCACACCCCTAACTCTGAGGCCCTACAACAATGCCTTTAAAAACCCTACATGGGCGGTTCTGAGGGCCTTTGTCAGTTACCAGCGACCCTGACGGCCCCACACAGGTGACTCGGAGGCTCCCAGCGGCGTCTGAGCGCACCATGCCAGTCTCTGAGAAACCCACAAGGCTCCTGAAGGCACCGGTGACCTCTTGATATCTTCTTGTCGGCCTATGAAGGGTCCGTTCCGTAACAGCAGTTCTGAGCGCCCCACGCGCGCCTGTGATGGCCCTAAACCAGTGTCTCTGAGAGCCCCCACAACGGCGCCTGTGAGGGCCGTCACCGGCGACTGTGAAGCCCCCACACCGGCGCCTCCAGTCCGAGGGGCCCACATTGCCATATCTGAGGGTCCCACACTAATGCCTCTTAAGGCCCTATATCGGCGGCTCTGAGGGCCCAACATCGTAGCTTCTGAAGGCTCCACAAGTGCGCATGTGACGGCTACCCTGCCACCGGTGACATTTGAAGGCCCCACACCGGCGACTCTGAGGGCCCCATCGGGGTCTGAGTCCGTTCCGGTCTCTAAAAACGACCTCACAGGGTTTCTGAAGGTACCACCGGCCTCTGATGGCCCTTTGCCGGTCTCTGAGGGCCCGTCGCCGGTCTCTGGAGCCCCCTGCCGGCTTGTAAAGGGTACGCGCCGGCAGCTCTAAGGGTCCGACACCCGTGTACGACGGACTCACACCAGTGTCTTTGCAACTTAACGTCTTTTTTCGCCCTTCTTCTTAAATCTAACTTTTCTTTTCTTTACATCTTTATTTCATGCATTGTAAATTGCGTAATTGTTTTATTTTTAGTAGTGAAGGACTGCAGAACAATTCAAGCAGAGTTAGTGGGAGTTATTGAGGGACAAAATCATTGGGGGTGCCCGGAAAACCATTGGGGGTGCTCATTTGAGCATTGGGGGTGCTGCAGCACCCCCAAAGGTATACAAATCGACAACCATGGGTTAGTGACAGGCATTGTGAGAACAGCGCAAGTCAAAATATAACTCATGCGGGATGTTCGACTTTATTTTACCGTAACGCCGTATACGGTCGTTCACAACGCGTTTCATTGCTATGTAATGAGTAATTCGCAAGTGCTCACACTTGCGTCAAAATCCTTCTCGTCTCTAATTGTTTACTGGATTCCATTCATGAGTCACGACTGATTGTGACTGAATGTCGACTAAGTTGACTAAATCCACCCTCTTCTAACCTCTGACCGCGTCCCTCTCTCGTCAGGGACCTGCTTCACCGGCGACTGTATCCAAACGGCGGCACCTTCAACGTCAAACAGTTTGTCGAGGCTCGCTCGGAGCACTCGCCGGCCTGTGCCTGTGCAACGTAATACCCGGAGAGCTAGACCCCAGCGTGGACCCCGGACCCCGGAGTGGATCCACAGGCGCCAGGGTGGATCCTCGGGCCCCAGAGGAGACCCTGGACTCTGAATGTGGATCCGCGGATCCAGTGTGGATCCACGGACCTCGGAGTGAACCCTCGAACCCCAGAGTGGGCTCAGGACACGAGTCCGGACCTGTAATTACATGAGTCCGACATATCCGGGTACGGATCTGGAGTTGGGTCCTTAGCGGACCACGAAAATGGATACGTGGACCCGAGTAGACCTCAGACACGGATCCAGGCGAGATTCTGGACCCGAATCCGGATCCAGATACGAAGTTAGACAGGGATCCGGATCCAAACACGACTGCGGAAATGCCCCAGGTCCGGGGACGGCCCAGCGTGATGCGGTGTGGCTCAAAGAACAAAAGGGGGCCGAGAGCACACCGCTTCGAGACAATAGACCCACGACAATACGCCAGCAGGAGCTTCCGCATAGAGAAGGGGCAGTGAGAGGTGGTGCGTTTGTCTGCTGATTATCAACAAGGCGTGCAGAATACATGCAGTGAATAGATGTAGTAAAGGGTGTACTAGAACATGTATTTTTCAACAATATTGTTTTATGTTGTCATTGCATTAATCTACATAGTCTGATGTCATAATTGATGGGCTGTAATGGCCTTATGTCGTGGCTATTTTATTGAAGTGTTTTACTTTATTTGTTGGGATCGTATGCATTATTTATTATTTGAAGGACCATATTTATAAAACAAACCTACGATGGTCTAATGTCTGTCTGTAGGTTGCACAAGACCAAAGGAGAATCCATTAGCGGCGATACAATATGCCCTTATGTTATCGTGGCTGCATCAGTTGTGTCTATGTTTACCAGCAGCTGTATTGAATGCCGGTAGTAGTGACTTTTTAACCGCTCGCTGAACCCAACTCGGTGCATACGCTACTTCACAAGTCTGCAGAAGACTGAACTGGAATGGAAGATCGCTGACATTGAGCGAGCAATTGCCATCAAACGGAATGGCGTGGAGTTACACTTGGTGATGCGCTGGTAAAAGTGGCGTTTTGCTACTATGAGGAGAAGCAAGTGTGACTAATTCATATGTTCATATTGCTTGGCGCGTCTGCTGTGACGAGCGCTCGGTTGGGGAAGAAAGTTACATTACTTTGAACAGGGAGCATCATGTTCGCTACTAATGACCAGTTTATTGCTGAAGTCTAAATATTGGGTTTCAGGCGTCGTGGAAGTGTGAATGCCTGTTAGTAGTCACGGGGTGGGAGCTAGGAGCCTGTGAGTGTGGCACAGGTATGAGTGACTTGACGTGTCATTTGTCATTGTGACAGAATCATGAGTGGAATTTGCTGGGCGATGACAAATAACTATATCATGACCAGCAGCGAGCACAGCTTGTAACTTACCCTAATGAACGAGCTGTAACTGTGAGCTACTTGATCGCGGCGTAAATTATGACGTGACGTTATGAATTGTGCGACTGCCACACACGATTGGCCACTCGCAGCTTAGTTGTGTGTTGAAGTCAGAGATATCTACCGTACGCTGCTGCAGAGTAGTGGATTTTTGTGCTGCTGAGTGCTGATGTTTGCTGAATAAGTATGTGCTGGATGTGTGCTGGGTGTGTGCTGGCATAGATCGCATGTCAAACTGAAGTGGCGTTCTAAAAACGCAAGACGATATCAAACCACACTTCGGGCCATGAAATCTCGCTATAGGTACCGCAAGAGACTGACTGCTTTCTCGCAAATAAGCTCGCGTGTTGCGGTTAAATCCGATGCTGTTGTATCGTGAGTTGCAAAACGTACCTATACTATGTGGGCAGCGTCTTGTGTTAGTGTTAAATTGTTTGCATTTAGACTAAATCTATAAGTATGTCTTATTGAAAGCTGCAATATCTAAATACATACCCGTGAGCACAAATTATATCATGTAATTTATTTTAAAAAAAAAACGCCTCGAAGAGAAACGAGCACAAAGTCTTAGATACGTTATCATATGAAGTTTTATTGCGGATGTGTCTGCAGTGAATCACACATTTAAACATCATTTTCCGACCAGTGCGTCACAATATGCGTCCATGAAACGTAAAACACGAGTTTCACACCTGAAAACAATGCCTTTGAATCAATGTGATGGTCATTAGCGATTTATCACTCCATATAAGAGCGAAGCTGAGTTGCTGGCCATCAGTAATGCCATCTACAATACTGACCGTTTGAACGAACAGCAAACATTTAATTACCCAACAAACCCTTGATCGCTTTCGCTAGAAAACGCGATTGGCAGGTCACCCTCAGTGAAACGCCATGACGATACCGCATACCGTTTCACCACTCAGGCGACTGCCGCGTCATCTATATAAGCACTGCTTCATACTATCGCCGCCAGGTGGCAGGCTAGCAGGTGGGTGCGTTGAACGGCATCGGTGACGGCAGGCAGCCGTCGATGCTGATAGTGACGGTCTGCGCCCCTGGCCGGGTGCGCGTCACCGTCACCGTCTGCGTCGTCAGCATGGTGGTGAGGAAGGTGACGCCGCTATTCTGGTTGATGCACTCCTCGTTGACCCCGGAGAGCTCAATGATCTGAGGCTGGCCGGCTTCGGAGAGGGAGGACACCAGCTCGGGAGCCGCGCTGCCCACGGCTGCCGGCTCCGGCGCCAGAGACTTGGCCATCCGCCTGAGACAGAGACAACTTCGGTTAGGGCGGTATCGTAACGGTAGTCAGTGCAGCATTATCACGGGGTGAGCATGTGACCATCCTCATTGACTTGGCATTGCCTGATAACGCTATAAATTGGAGGACAAAATCGCAAATACTATCAGATCTATATGAATGATGCTCAGTTTGAATACTAGCTTGTTTAACAGTTGCTTACACACCTGAAAACAAAACTTTTAAAACTTTATAACAAAAGAAACTTTGTTGAGGATTTAGAACGGCAAATAAGCATAAAAATAAAAATCAAATACATAAACGTATACATGAAACGATAAATGAGTAAGACATGTCACTCCAATCTGTCCCGTCGCCGGTCGAGCCGCGCCCCTCACCTAACAGTCTTGGTCGGCTGCACGGGCTCCGGATCGCTGGGCGTGCAGGCCGGCAGGTCCTTGGAGTAGCTGACGCAGTACGGCGAGTCGATGATGGTCTGAGTCTTGGTGATAAACTCCTGGGGGACGGGGCGATCGGAAAGGCGTCACACTCAATCAGGGGCGAAGCTTCATCCCACCAACATGCCATTTTGCCCCACCAATAAGCGTTTTGCTCCACCAAGTTTAGCTGATCTGTAGGACTTTGTTGCTTTGTAAATCAACCTTTTTCGTACTCAGGAGGTTTGAAATGTTTGTGTAATGCAAAAGCTTGTCTCTATGATGTAAAAAATTGATTCAGTGTGGCAACTTATTTGACTTATCAATCGGGTATTGTAGGTTTGACGACTTTGCCCACCAACTTCGCTGGAAAAGCTCCACTCATGCACTCAAGGCAGGTTAGGGCGGTGATTGTGCACTGTATAGTCTTGGAAACAGGCTTGTGACGATACGGTGATAAAATTGGTGATGTTTTTACAGACGTGACCGACTCCTAGTTAAATTTAATGAATCGTATTTATGTACATATTTACGGTTCCATTGTGTGCAGCATTGTTCGACGCTGCTCTCAATAAGAGACGATATCTGCGGCTTCCTTTACGAAAAATGATCAGTCAAACTCAAACAAATTAGATATAACTATGACCCAATACTCATCCTAAGAGCTGGGCCCGCAAGTACACATTCTTCGAACGTTACCTAAGTATGTATTTTCGACCGTTACCGACTACCGAAAGCTGTCGCCGGCGGGTCTCGAACTCACGGTCTCGCGGATGACCTTCCTGACGGCTGTGATGCGCGCCTGGTACTCGAGCTCGACCCGTCCGTCGATGACCTCTGCCCTCTGGCGTTTCCTCGGGGCCATGCTGTGTGCGGCAGCCACCAGACAGGCGAACAGCATCAGCTTCGTCACCATCTGCGGCAGGAACACGGGACCGTGAGCATAAGGAGCATTCACAACTAAAAACGCCAGAAAAACGGCAATAAGAAGTGGAGCGCTCCAATATTCTCGGGACAAATGCAGCGTCACTTGATCGACTTATTGATTGTTATTTTACAGAATGGCTGTTGAAGGAAATTCTTAACTGCATCCATGTAATCAGTGCTAATTGGACACGTTGTGCCATTGGCTTTCGTTATTCTGACCAGACAAAAAGTAGAGACGCCCGGTTAAATGGACTACCACCCCAAACTCTCCGGCTCGATTCTCATTATCACATTTGGCACCACAGGTTATCTGGTTATTTTCACCAAATTCCTACGGCGAACCGTTTCTAATGAGGCTAAATCACCGCGGCAGGTATTTGTCCTGCAGCAGTCGGTCAATTGGCCAATATGGAAGACGTCATTCACATACCACCCTCGGTAGAATGTAATGCCTATTTCATGCAACATTGCAGGGCACCATGGAGCGTGGCCAATATTTCACTCGATGCTCCCGAGGGCAAATATGTAGGGCATGATCAAAGGCTGGCACAAATTATCGCTCGACAGCTTATAGCTCACCGAGGGCTCAATGCTTGCTTTACTGCTCTGCTGCCACTCTTGCAACCGGCTTTCAGGTGCCGACCGCATAGTAAACAGAATGAATAAGCAAATACCGTTCTATTGTTGGAGAATGATGCTGCAGAGCGCCACATCACGCCGTATTTGCACGGCATCTGCCCAGAGGCGCCGCCGCTCGGCAGATGAGAGGACAATGACCGCAGCACAGCTTCCTTGCTCTCTCAGAGAAGCTGTTAGATATGCATGCTTGCAGATTGCCCAGAGGCGTGGGAAGGGATCAGCCCACGTCCATCGGACCCTGACTAACTGCACCACCTGGTCGCATCAGCAACTTTGCTAAGATAAAGGGTGCATTCACGCTTGCGGTACATTGACACGCGACTGTGACGCTTATTTTCACGACACAGCGAACCGTCGAAGGGAGAAGATTGAAATGCGCCTCTTGGGGGAATGTTATACCCAACACAAACTTTTTGTAACAAGTGAATATTGAATGAGCAAGCGTAAGTTTGCACGCGTGACCTCACGTTGTACCTTTGAGGTCATCTAAGGTCATAAGAAGTCAATAACATTTTTTATGACTTGCGAAAGAGACAGAATAAAGCGCCTTGGATGCTTCCCCAATCAAAGATAAAGGTCGGCCGTTATGCAGCATGCCCTTCTCCGGTTAGGTCATGAGTTTAGGTCAACTAACCCTCGCCGGCACAGGCTATTTTGCGGGAAAATCGGGACCTGTTAGAAAGTCGTTACGTGTGGCTGTTATGTGGTTTTCCGGGGTGCTGATCACGATTATCGTGTTAGTTTTGATCAGAGATGATGTCTTTAGGCATTTAGACCAGGTCGGGTCAGGTCAGGTCAGGTCAACCGGTAGGGGCTGTGACGGGTATTCGTAATACGTGTCAACCGCCTCTGACAGCTTCGGAACATGTTACGAAGGCACCAAAACTACTTCGTAAATGTTCAAATGGTTGCTAAATTCGAATTCAGCTCCAAAAACTAGCCTAGAAACATGTAAAACTCGGAAAAGTGAACCGAGGTCACCCGAGGTCACCAAAGGTCAATGACCTGACCTGACCTTCAGGTGACCTTGAAACTCACCCTAATGTATGGGAGCAACATTAGCTCACATGTTTGAACGTTTGAAACCACGAAAAGCTTGCAAACGCGCGGCTAATGCGAGCCGACATACGCCGAATCGCGATTCCGGCCAAACATGGTCTCGGAAAAGAGATCACAGGTCAAAGGTCATTTAGGTCAGGGTCATGAAATTTTCAGGGTTGGTGTAAAATTGATCAATGCGAGGGTACTGAAAGTTTCGTTGTGATCTGCCGCTTTTTACGCGAGTTATTCGCGAAACAACCTTAGAGGGGTTGTATCAACCCCTCCCCCCTTCCCTGTGCCGGCGAAGGCTAAAAGGTGACATTTTGGGTCAAAACTACAGTTCATCTGGGCCATTTCGATAAGAGAAACAACATCCCGATTACCGATCGAATCAGTTGAAAGTACGAATGGCCGTGTTTTGTTTTCAGTCGTAAGTTAGATATTGGAGAAAAAATAGTAATAATATTGCATAATTTATGCTCTCTGGAGTCAAAGAAGTTCACCATATATTCCTGGTTAAATCTGATGGCACCTTAGCGAAATAACTTGAACGTAGCTTTCAAATGAGCATTGTGGTTCTGCATCTTTATTGCGTAGTTCTCGAGCCACGCGTCCATTTGTTTAAATGTCGAAGTCGGGAAATTTTACGTTTGATGACCTCTGGTGTTCTGACCTAAAAAAATTGTCTTAAATGATCGAAGTATATTCCTCATGTTCTTTACGCTTTTTCGAGTGCCTCTTACCATGTGCCGCTATGTGGCCCAGATGCCAATATGAATTGAGGATGCAAAAACGCCCCCTCGACACGATGTGTTACAATCGGACCGCCGCCTTGACGTAGGTATAGTGGCGCAGATTGAATGATAACATAACTATCTTTTAATTACTAGGTTTTTACTCATATTATTTATTCATTTTTAAACAGCAAAACAGATTTAAACAGATATGGGTTTGCATCGTGTGATTCGTTTAGATGTTATTCAGCGCGAATTTTGAACAAAGTTAATAATGTAAAAATAGCAACATGATAAGCAAACAGAGCCATGCATCATGTAAAGTAAATAACTACAAACAAAATTAAAAAGTAGAACGGCAATGCAACTATACAATTACACCTACAGCATTTAGCCCGTTAGAGACGTCATAAATGACGTACGACGGGTGAATGAAAATGTAAAAAAATTATTCTCCTGCAAAAAAAAAACCGACACGCGAAACGATAAAAACGTTTAGTGACCCACCTTGCTATATGTGATGCGCGACCTGTGAACGATCAACACCCAGCGATCTTCCTGCACCCAGCACTTGTGGCGTTCGTTCAACCTGCGCCGCCTTTATATAGCGTCAGTGACGTCACTGGGTGTAGTCCGCCGCCGGCTAGGCCTCGGGCGGTGCAGCGGTCCAGCAGTTTACGAAGGACGGCGGTTAAATGCCGAGTGACTCGCCTCGAGCACCACTGCTCGGTGACATGGGGTGGGCTAAGGGCGACGGCAGGTCACGGGTCACGTAACCGACACAGGGGCATTGTCCTGGAGCTTCAGACGTCTAACCAATGTAAGCACACGCGTCAGAAGAAAGATGGTCAGTTTACGACCAATCAAGCTGTAAAAGTCAGTAAGTGCCTCCGCTAGCAATAACACCAACAACAAACAGGTGGCTGGATCGTAAATGCGGCTGTGAATAACATAAACGGTAGGCGAAAAACCGAGCGTCATGCTCCGACTGCCACGGTGGTCAGGTCGTGAGAACAGGTATTTATGTCCGATTCCACTTAGCCCGCGCCCCACTGGGGGGGGCTATTTATAGCCCCCCCTCCCGTTTTTCTGCAATAACTTCCAAACCGCTTGACGGATCGATGCCAAACTTTCAGGACCTTCGGCTGCATCTATTTGACACCTTGTGTCAAAATTTGAATTTCGTAGCTACCATAGGTCGGCTGGAAATGACGTCAGAGTGACGTCATGTTCGTCCGATTTCGACGCAAAACATTGAACCACGGCAATCGCTCCCAAGAGCTCAGTTTTTAAGCTAGATCCAATTTCTTTGTATGAAAGGACTCAGAATTGACTGCGCTATCAAACTGCTATCTCGGATTTCCAAAATTTTGAAAATTTCGAAAATTTTATATAATAATATTCAAAATTTATATTTTTATATTTTTTCAAAAAGTTTTTGACTTTTCGAAAAAACCGGAATATATGTGACAGAACGCATGATGTTGACTAACTCTAGCAAGTCTTAGCTAAATATCTTCAAAAATGGCCAAGTTATACGCATTATTGCAAAAAATTCACAATTATTAATTTTTCAAATCAATTTTTCAGTACGTATTTGACATCGTACACCAATATAAATGGCACCATCGTGTTCCTGAGCTCAAACTGCATCCATTAGGCACCTTTTTTGTTGAAAAATGTCAACTTCAAAATTTGACCTTTTTTGACCTGAAAGTGACCTGACCTAAGCGAAATTCGACTCCAAATGACCTCGAATGACACAGACGACATCAAATTCGAAATCTATGGCCTAAATGGACCATAAAACATGTGTCACGTGACCGACGCATGATATAATATTTTCGTGACCTGTGATGACCTGACCCTGACCTGAAAATCAAAGTACAAGTTTGGTACCCTCAAAGTATCTAGAGCACCTCTTCACGAGTGTGGAAACCAAAAATGAGCCTGATCTGACTTGTAAGACGGCGGCCAGAGCCCAAAATGTGAACAATCCAAAATGCTAATAATTTTTACTTTGACCTGACCTGTGACGTCATCGGTGACCTCGAGGTCAATGAAATTAGGTTTCGCTCGACAGTTTTTCCGGGGCTATCAGACGCCGTTTGAATTTTGACGATCGGCCCAGTAGTTTCGGAGTTAGGAGGGGGGGCTATGAATAGCCCCCCCCCCAGTAGGGCGTGTTATACACAGACCCCAGTGGGGCGCGGGTTAGCTGCGTTGATAGTGGACCAGATTATCGAATAAGAAACCAAGTAAAAAGATTATCTATTTCAAGCTGAATCGTAAATCTAGCCGAAATAATTTCCTGTTATTTATATTTTCAATAAGAAATGACTGTTGATGTATGTACACAATGATGCATAACAATAGGGTAAATTAAAAAGTTTACTGGTACACCGGATGGCCCCGGGTTCTTTTTACTTACTGACACTTTTGAATCACAACTGTGTAGCGTTTGCGCGCAATAAAGCTATTCAGCGATGGACAAGTGTCGCTGGCTACGAATTGAACAACATGCCGTGCACTTTATGTCAAAACCCTCAAACGGCTAATTGCGCGTAGCTATAGGTAGGTATAGGTACCTGCCTGACCACGGGCGACATCAAAACTGCAGCGTCGCACAGGAAGGTAGCACTGTAGTGCTACTCTTCTGTGCAGCGTTAAAGTCTCCAAGTCAAGCCATTGCGATGCAGTCTCTCGGCGTTAGTTTTGTGTGCAGCCTTGCAGTCTCCAGACAGCGCACGGAGTACGGACGAGAGAGTACAATCTGGCTGACCCAATGCCGATCGATTGGGCTTGAAATACATCTGGCAGGGGATGTTAGAGCTGCTTGTGCGTGACGAATGTCCATGTGTCTTCATTATTATATATCACAATTATCTATCAAAGTAGCAGTTAATTATTGGTTACATCAGTCAGCTAATTAGCATATAGCTACTTGGTGTGATGCACAATCGCTCAACGTCCGACAGGTGAAGAGAATGAACATTGAACACGAAAAAATAAAGATAGGGTGAATAGGTCAAAAACGCCCCCATTAAGCGCGAAACCTGCTGACACTCAACCCAACACAGATTACTCAAACCTTTGGGCACCATCATGTAGCTCATTCTTTTTACTACGCTTTGAGACCAAGAAAAGACACCTGCGTGTGGTATTTAACCCCCCCAAAAAGGTTTTCGCATACCCTTACAAAAGGGCGTTTTGCCCCACACCCTGGGTAATACGCCCACACCCATGTGCAAATCGCCCCCACCCCATCCAGCAACAGAACATGATGAACATGGCAGAACTTGACGTCATTCTGACGTCATTTGTGGTCAACCTATCATAGCCTTTGGAATAAAATTTTGTTGCAATGTGTAAAATGGATGCCCGGAGAAGTCCTGAAAGTTTGGTGACGATATCTGCAGTCGTTTAGGATATATCAGCAAAAAAGGACAGGGAGAGGTCTTTTCGGCACCCACCTACAAGGCGCTACCCTGCACTCTCACCACCGTGCAAAACGCCCCCCTTTCAGAAAACTGGGGGCGTCTTGCCCCATGCATCGAGTAGGCGTCTTTCCCCATCCGCTCCATTTCCGGTCAACAGAATATTGACAAAAAACGCGCCACTAACGCCGCAGCATAATAAATTCAACCGAATGACAATAAAACGCAGTTTTTAGTGATGTGCACAATAGCAAGTTTTGTGATATAAAGAGGGCATCAAAATATTAGGAATCTTCTGTAAAAACAACAAAAACAACACCCAAAACCAACATCAGCACCTACCCACGCTGCTCCTCAAGACGCAGAACCGGAATAGAGACCTACGTAAACAAGCAGCTGACTGTTCTGAAAGACAGGATAAAACACCTACATATATGTATCCGTCGATAAGAAATACGATTTTTTTAGGGGAGGCGTTTAACCCAGGGCCGGGGTGCGTTTTCCCCACAGTGACCCTACCGTTGAAAAAGACTCAAGTTTGGTGACTCGGGATGGTGAGCATGGTTTGCAAACGGTTATCGACCAGGCTAATCACACAGGTCATAAATTAGCATAATTCAACATCAGACCGGCTCCAATGACTACCGCTATTTTCCTTATTGTCACTGTGCAGTGTGCATTGCCAGACAGGTGTTTGCGAATGCGATCCCAAGCCTTATGCCTGACACTAGACTGGTGAGCGCGGTTAGGTTCACCGCCCGCGACCGCGCCGTGACGTGACGTGTGCCGTGACCACCGCACGTGACGCGGCGTGACGCACTTCCGGCGTGCACACTCCGAGTGGTTCTGTGAGGTACGTGACGCGCCCATGAGCGTGGCAGAGGCGCAAAGTAACGGAGCAGGGGGGGGGGGGGGGGACCACGCCCTGAGGTGGTAAAGTGCAACGTACCGTTCCAGAGACATAGGTAACTATGATATCATAAAGTCTTTCTTTTGATGGAATCAAAAGTAATATAAAGTTTAATGTTAGGCATGACACGACATTCATGTATTAAATTCAGACCGGTTTCGAATCACAAGATTCATCTTCAGTGACAAAACTCTTTTCAAATTGATACAGGACACATATTCAAACACACTTTTGATCATAAAATATATCGCACACGCACATGCAATAGTTCGAGTTCAGCTTCGAATTAGAAAACTGCCTAATGCATTTAAAAGTACAATGACGTACACAACGAAACAGCTACATAAAAGTACACAGTTAAGCAGTGATACGTAGTGGATACGCCGAGGACATGTCGTTGATTTGCGGCCTCAGACGATGAATATACAACGATTTCAGAATTCTTAAATCAGGGAATGTACTGCTTCTACTCAAAATTTGAAAGTCGTCTATCCCTAGTGATGATTGACATGACAAGGCATGGTCTCTGATGGATGATGCTGAGGGAGATGACAGTAGTTGACCTGTACGATGTGACTTGCCTAAGTGCTGAGCTACTCTGGTGTACAAGCGTTGGTAAGTGGAGCCAACGTATGACGCCTGGCATGAGGCGCAACTATATTTGTAAACCACACCAGAGATGCTCGACTTGGGCAGTCTATCCTTGTAGCGAAACATAGATCCTATGGTTAATCTGTTACGCAATACTATTTTTGGGTTCAAATATGGGTAAAACTTGCTGAGAACTTCTAGAACTTCTTTTTGCATTTTAATGGACTGTTCCCCAAAGTATGGGAGCACTAAGTATTTCTCGAGTTTGTTGACAGTGACAGAGCTTTTTATTTCCTCAAAGCGCTTCTTCAGGAAGTCGCCGACAGTTCGTTCTACAAATTGTTTTGGAAAACCATTGTTGCAGAAAAAGGACGTTAAAAACTTTACTTCACTGTCGAAGAGTAGGTAGTTTGAACTTATTTTGAAGGCACGGTAAATCGCTGAATTCACTATGGCTCTCTTCACAATCATGGGGATGAAGCTAAAGAAACTGGTCGCGAGGCCAGTGAAAGACTGCTTTCTGTACACTGATGTCTCAAATCTGGACCCTACGCGTTTCACTTGAACGTCTAAGAACGATAAACTGTTATTAGCTTCCGTTTCTTTTGTGAACCTCATATTTGGGTGCTGAAGATTAAGGTAAGTGAGAAACTGAAGATGAATCTTGTGATTCGAAACCGGTCTGAATTTAATACATGAATGTCGTGTCATGCCTAACATAGGTAACTAATTCCGTATCACGCATCTTGTCGAAAGCACTTTCTGCAATAATGAAAGCAAGGGCTACCTTACCTAAATATAATTCTAGTTGACGTGAGCTCAGATCTGTGACGTCATTACATTAGTGTGCTGACACTGAGGTGACATTGGTACCAATATTTATTGAACAAACACACCATTTTTCAATATACGATCATTAACGGAATACAGTTGTAAAAAAGCTTTGTCACTGTGCTACGCATCCTTTTGGGGAGCCATCCAGCTAATGGTGGATCCCAAGTCAGAGAAACCGTCCGTAACCACACGTTCCGCTACCTGCAGCTGTGTTCCTGTAGTTCCCGCTCCATCGCTTTCGCACGCTGTCTGACAGAGTTCTGCGTTCTGTAGGTAATCTGTATGAATGGTGCCTTACAGCAAAAGAGAACGACAGAGACACGAGCGAGCAGGAAGACCATTCGTCACGGTTAAATGTTTGTGGGAAATTGTTATAACGGGACCAGCAAGTAATCTTCTGAGACGATGACTTCGCACAATAAAGAGGTGTTTCTTATCTAGGCCTGAAAGAAGTAAGACGGAAGAGAAGAGAAGATGATAAAATGAGAAATGGAGGAGGAGGACAGGGGATAAAGTAGGTAAGTAAAAAGGAACAGAAAAGAGACAGAAAGGTCGTGGGCAGCGGATGGTCGGGTTATGCGTACGATCCGTAGGACCGGACCGGTAAGGACGTGCCATGGTGCGATCTCCGTGGTCGTCTAGCGGCCACTCACCCGCCATTACCACCCCGTAGCGCCGCGGGGCCGCGGACACCACTCACGGCACCGCCGCAGGGCACAGACGGGCCGAGTGCGTAGCCGGCCGTCGGTCACCACTGCGTGCACAGGAGGGTGCACAAGCCGACTCTGCACAGAGCATGGCGTAGCGTGCAATGTGCATGGCGTGAATGGAAGACCGTCCCCGGGGCGGAGATGGTTCTTGGATTTTCTAATGGCGGAGGAAGGGTCCTCAGAGCAGCGCGGCCCCAGGCTAAAGATGAACTCCGAAAGGCCTCGGAAAGGATATCAAACTCAAATTAGGCCCTAGGCTGGACATGAATCCACGACAGACCGGCCGAGTTAGGAATGCAGACTGGCTCTAACTGGATTTTTTTTTTAGAAAGAATCGCACTTCGCATGGGCATTGTGGATTTCGCAGGAACGCTAATAGGACGTAATTGTCCCTGCTCGCATTGTGGACACTGGACGCTGCGTCTGAAAGGCTGCCGAATGTACGTAATGCTCGAATGTACAAAAGTAGTGAGTTTGACCCGTATCTCTCCCCGTATTGCACTTCATGGTGCGCTGTGCGCACTGCGCAGTGTACCGACTACCTCCGTCTCTGTCTCTGCTCCTCCCAGGCCGCGGAACCGACTGCCCTCGGGCTACGATGGCCAATGACCCCAGCGGTGGCCGGTCGTGCGGAGCGCTGGACACACCGCGCGCCGTAATTGACGCCGTGCGCTGGGAACGCCGCCGGCGGGGGTCGACGGACTGACTGTGCGGCACCGGCACGGGCGCCGTACCGACCGGCCGGCCGACCGGGGTCCGTTACTGCTGCCGACTTCGGCGCACCGGCGGCGGGTGGGAGCTGGCTTCTGGCGGTAGCTGGGAAGGGAGCTGACTTCTGACGGTAGCTGGGAAGGGAGCTGACTTCTGACGGTAGCTGGTAAGGGAGCTGACTTCTGACGGTAGCTGGTAAGGGAGCTGGCTTCTGACGGTAGCTGGGAAGGGAGCTGGCTTCTGACGGTAGCTGGGAAGGGAGCTGGCTTCTGACGGTAGCTGGGAAGGAAGCTGGCTTCTGACGGTAGCTGGGAAGGGAGCTGGCTTCTGACGGCGGCTAGCATGAAGCTGGCTTCTGGTGGCGGCTGGTATGGAGCTGATTTCTGACTGTGTATTGGGTTGCAGCTGGCTACTCTAAGCAATGTAGGCTAGGATAGGAGCTGGCTTTTGGCGGCTGCTACCGGCTACTGAGGCCGGAGCTGGAGCTGGAGTTGGAGCTGCTGGAGATGAAGCTGGGCAGCTGGATTTGAGATTGGTACGGCTAGAGATCCAGCCTCCAGCCCCAGTCCTATGACTGCGGCTGACTCGGGATTTGGAGACGGGACGGAGGCTATCAGTATCAGTTGAAGGAGGAATTGGGACTGGAGACGGGGCTTTGGCGACAGGGAGGGCTGGGGCGAGAGCTAGTGCATAACGAGACCCGCGGTTGGGACTGGAGCCGTGTTGAGAGTTGTCTATCGTTGACAGCTGCGAATAGAGTTGGCTACTTAGACTGCGATGGTCACCAGAAATGGATCTGAAACTGGAAGAGACCCAACTTAACTCTCGCACTCATAGCGGGGGGATGTCGAATTGTGACCCCCTCCTCGGTTTTTCACGAATAACTCGCGCAAAAAGCAACCGATCGCACCGAAACTTTCAGTACCGTCGAGTTAATCTAGTTCGCGATACGGCGTTAGTTAGCGACATTATCCGTGCGCTCCCAGTCTTTTTGTGGTTGTAAACGTTCATGATGTAAAATCATGTTTGCCTCATGCATTTTGGTGGCTGCCGAGGTCAAGTGAGGGTCAGGGCAAGGTCACTGAACTTAGATGACCCCCGTGCGCTTTTTAGCTTTACATGTAACTAGGGTAGTTCTTGGAACTGATTTCGAATTCAGCACCCATTTGAACATTCATAGGCACGTCGCACCCTAAACCACTAATAGACAAACAATGAGAAATAGTTTTGATGCCTATGTAGTATGTCACGAAGCTGTCAGTGGTGGTTGACACCTATCATGGATAGCCGCCAGGACACCCACTGGTTGACCTGACCTGACCTGACCCCACCAGCCCCAAATGCATGAACAGTCAGCTTTGATCAGAAATAACGTGAAATTCGTAATCAGGACCCCCGAAAACCTTCAAAACAACCTCACTTTACGAAGTTCTAGCTGGTCCCAATTTTTCCCGAGTTTTGGAACATTGACCTGACCTGGAAGGTCAACCAATGACCTAGGAACTCAAAGTTGGGCACCATCGGCTTCCTCTCGTCACGGGCAGCACGCTCGTTTTTCCCTGCAAAGCTCTATCTGGATCAAAGCCGAACGGCAAGAAGGGGGGGGGGGGTGGAGTCCAACGAACGGACCCCCTCCCCATACGTTAGCGGCTTGCAAAACGGGCGAGGGCTAAAATCATGCCTACCACCCGAGCACCGGAGTCGTTTTTGATAGATAGCTTCGGCGAAATGGTCACAGAACAGCGAAAAAATGTCATGGTGGTTTCGTCTCGAACACCGTCATATCGTATAAATATAACTTGCGCATACGATTCAGCTGGTATAAATTGCCATTATGTGTTCACCACACACAGATCTTCGTATGATGATGATATAGTTTATTTCAGCCATATTCGACAATGAGCATCCGTTCGGTAAACCCAACTGCACCTGGCAGTAAGACAAGACCCAATCGCAATAAGCACCTTTCCAACATATTCACTGACACATCATACACAATCTCGCCTTGCATCTTACCTATCCGTAGCGCGTCATACACTGCCTTGCCATACATACAGCCAAAGCTGTTTGCCCATCCAGACTGCTTCAAAGGCTCGCTGTGATGTAAGCAGCGCAGCGCCCCAAAGTCACAAAGGCGGACGTTTCTCATCACGGCTGATCCCAGATTGCCCCAAAATTTGGGTTTATGGGACACCAGCACTAACGTGGCCATAGGCAGTTCCCAAATCACACAGCTGACTAGACGGACCGCTAATAGCGCCACCTCACGGCCGATACCAAATCACCGACCTCTGCCGGTCGGACTTGGGCGAGCACCGCGCTACACTCGCTCCAACGCATCAAACAGCCATTACAGGCGCTCGCAGGCGCCCAACATTCACAACCGTTTAATCAGAACATACAAAGTAGTCATCGCACTGCGACACGGTTCAACCAGCGGTCCATGGCAGACGAGACTCAATCATTGGGATCAGCGCAAAGTAATCAATCGGTTCATGATCCTACCCAGCGGTAAGCAGTTCCAGCGACACCAGCGTTTTCTCCATTGCTGTACAAACACAAAATTACAACGGTTTGAATGAGAATATACATGAGGTGAACTCAATGAGACTAAACGAGTTCTCAGCGACATACGGACGACCATGCACTGCACCTGCTACAGAATACAGAGCAACGCAAGGTCCCCTGCTCAGAGTCTTAGCGTACCGAACGGACAAGATCAGCACCAGCCAATGGAATCTCGGTTTTATCCAGCGCAGCATAAACAGCCAAACCTAAACGTGTGTAAATCAACTGTGTGCGTAACGCAAGACGTGATTGGACTGGAACACAAAGCACGGATTCGTCCGCCTTCCAGAAAAACGCCAATAACCTAAACATGCAGCAGGCGACCATTACGTTGCAAGCCCCAGGCAGAATCGAGTGAAACATTTCCAGGCCACAATCAAATGATTGATATTGCGTCTGACTCCTAGCAGTGACTCCTCAAAATCAAAGGAACGAAGTAAACGGCCAACGGCCACCATCCTTTCTATGGCCTGTCATCGTTGTCATGTCCTTGTTTATACACTGACATTCGAGTCTCCAGCACTTGAACAGAACACAACATCGGGTAGCGCCTCGATAGCCACCTCCCTTGGAACGACTCAACACAAGGAGCTCTGGCGTGATGAACATTAGCAGCGCGCTAGCGATCAGCGCCCGCCACGATACTGGAAACCGCCGAGTATCAAACCACTGGCGGAGGTTATGCCTATTTCAAAACGACTCTCTCGAGACGACCCTTCGAGAGAACCGGCTGGAAACGTATTGCTTATCAAGCTCCACGGCGAACATATTTCCCATTGTCCGCACACCTGAGGCAGTCTGATGAATCGGCTCTGTACACAAGCTTCGCCCTGTGATCACGGTCTTCCAGAGGCCGCCACCAACCGGGTAAGAAGTCACGCTGGTGACAATACCGCAGTGACCAGCACTGGCGTCAGGCAGCTAGCGACGGAATCAACCAATGCCCCGGTCGTATTGCATACCACTCTGCACATCTGATTCTGTCTTCAAGAAAGGTTCGCCTTGCGACTTGTCAGTTGGGAGGCATGTCCAGTGTCTCGCTGACAACCCGAACACATCACTGTGTCCATGAGCCAAACGACGCGAATCTCTCCGTCCACGGCGACACGCGGCACCATCAAAGTCACGATGGCAGATACAAGTTCCTGCAGGTACCAAGCCACCACCGCCGCACTAATGCACTCGCCCATGGCGTTTTAACGTCAAAACAGCGCACAGCGGGACATTTCGTCAGCCAGTGACTTACTGTGGTTCGGACGCGACATCGTTTCAGTAGGTAAGTCCGGTGGGCGCAGCGCTTCAGAAATCGTGCACCCACTCGTTCTCTTGAACGAAAGTGTCCACCACTTCCTTCATGGCCAGGTTGGGGATCAGCTGGTCGACGGTAAGCTCAGCCCGCGTGACGGGGTCGAAGTGGCCGACCCGCTGTGGAGAGGTGAATCGGTCAGAGGGTTTGGTGCAACACGTATGATCAGTAGGGACAATTGGAGACGGAAATGGTTGCGATCTGGTGAATAATAGGAAGCCAGGAATAAGCATTACGGAAATCTATTACGCGGAAACAAATAGAACCATGACCATTAATTTTTCGGACTCAAACTTCCGTGAAAACTCTAGCTCAATAGTCGAAGCGCCCGTGCTTTGTCTTCTTACGGCATTCATAATAAAACATATTTTGTACAAGACGACTGAAATTAAACACAATCTCTCAAGAACCCGGGCTTCACGTTGCCCTCCCAGCTACCAAGTCCTTCCCCAATCAGCTGCAGCCAGCCGAAGCGGCCCACCTACCGAGAGGTGCTCCTGGATGTCCTTCCTGTCGTAGGTGATGCCTGACGGTGTGATGACCGGGTCCCGCAGAATCTCGAAACTGATCTTACCGCACAGATAGTCGGGTACGTCTCGCTTCTGTCCGAACACAAAGACAGTCCACTATTAAATGTACAGAACGACTGTGAGTCGCACAGCACACACGCACTGCGATATATCGGTAGGGTTACGTTTTTCCGTTATACATGACAGGAGACAAGGATGTTGGCTGGTTTCGATTCGGTTCATCACACCATAAAAGTATTTTTGTACTTATCGTAACACATGTTTGACGACATAAACATTTGTCAGTTTATCATCTTCGTTCGTTTTATCTCGTGCTGACTTATTCATACCTATGCAGTGTCCAATAGTACAACTATCATCTCTCTTCCTCGGAATTCCCTGCCACCATTCCATAACTGTCCTCCCTCCCTCCCTCTCCCACCGTCCTGTGACCTCCATCCACCCCCCCCCTCTCTACTCACCCGTCGGTTATCGTCCACTTTAGCGAAGAGCTGGTTGAGCTGGGCGATGCGTTCGTCACAGCGCTCCTCGATCTGCCTGACGCGGGACTCCACCTCACTGTCAGCACTGTCTCCGGCCGCCGCGTGCTGAGAGAGGAGGGTGTCCACCTGACGATCCTTGTCCTCGATCAACAGCCGGTTCAGGTGACTCTGAAATAGAGAAGGGCTAGTTAGGACTGGGTTAGGGCAGATCCATTGGGCATCCAAAGAGGCAATTAGGGCTGGGTTAACACAGAAACAGTGCAGAGTCAAAGAGGCAGTTAGAGTCGGGTTTATATAGAGCCAGTGGGCAGTCAAGATGCGGGCCAAGCTGTTGATGTGGGTTAGAACCTAGAGAAGCTGGTTACGGTGTCAGCACGTACACCGGGTTACGGCGCTGATATGCTTGGACGATAACGCTACAATGCCATAGCGATAACGCTAGAGTAGTTAGACGGGCTTGAAGCGCATGACAAGAGACATTTGATAAGCAAGACCACCAAACATTCGTCATCGGCCTAGAACATGCAAAAGATTAGATAACACCCTACGGCATCCGTAAATAACACCGCTGGCATTGATAGCTTTGCATATTGATAGATAACGAATTGACGCACTTGCAAATTCACAATGGCAGCGGTATCAGGGGAGAATGCGGGACACTACTCTCTACAACAATGCAATCGCGCAAAGGATGGACTAGATACGTGTATTTTCAGTGAGCCCGGTAGATCGCCGCCCAATCGATTCCTCCCCTCCCCAACTGTCCAAGCTCGGGTGATGGCAAGTCTCCAGTCTCGGCAGAACGTGACCTACTGCCCGGCACGGTCTGCCCATTAACTGTACTGCCCTGTTTTCAGGCGTCTATCGATTGGTACGGCCAGAGAGCTGCAAGCTTCAAACCACAGCAGGTTCGACGAGAAGCATACGAGAACGAGGTTGTCTGCGCAATAATTTACCGATATGATATCGCATCTTGATTGTAGCCTTATACGAGATTCTCCTAGTGGTATTATGTTCTCCTAAAATACATTTCTTCTGAACTTTCTCCAATCCTCCCTACACGGGAAGCGATTATGGTTCGACCCAACAGATGCGAAATGTGAACAAGCTACCGAACACGGACGTAATAAATTGTGCTGTTATCAGGGTTGTGCTCGACTCAACAAAATTTGCTGACTCGACTCATCATTCAAGTTCAGAGAGCCCTGACTCAACTCTGACTCAAACAAGGAGCTGATTTTTTCCATTGACTCGACTCATGACTCAAGCGGCTCAATGAAAATATGAGTTGACTCAAACTTGACTCAAATTTTTTGTTGAGTCAAGTGAGTTGACTCAAAATTGACTCAGATAAAAAAGTTGTTGAGCGGGGGGGGGGGGGGCAGGTGAAAAAAAAATCCGGCAGCAGGGTCAGGGCTAAGTTGTTAAGCGGGTGGTATAGGGTAGTGTGGGGTAATTTGAACATATTTTTACGTCTTCTCCGTTCTACCAAATTCCAGTTCAACCCTGGATGAAGAAAAACTGCTTCAGTAGCGCAAGTGTCACTTGCTTTCACCATGCAAGCCTCATTTTTGGACGAGCCGAGCATACCTTGAATAGCATAGCCTCACTTATCCACCAAGTCACGGTGTGTTCAAATTGCCCCACCGTGGGGTAATTTGAACATACTGCCTTTACCTGTCATAAAAACGATAGTCTCGCCAGCACCGATGTTGTTTGACCCATAAACAAATAGGCAGAACAATTCTAAACATACCTTCACTTGAAAAATCAACACAACAGCAAAAATAACAGTTGCAGAGTATCAATATCTGCACGCTGCACACCGGTCAGTTGACAGAATTCGCCCCTCTTCAATTAACAGAACGTCTATCATTTTTGTTCGATAAAAACTCTCCCAACCGTACTACATCTGTTAAAGTGGTGCCAATCGAAACCTGGACATTTGGAGTTCTGATTTTGTCCAATGTCCAATTCGGAATTGGTTGGACAAAGGTAGCAGCCTGGACAACATTGGACGATGGCTTGCTACACTTCAGCGCTTTTTATAAAGTAATCGTGCATAGCATTGATTGGCGAATGGAAAGCTTGTTAAGCTCTCAATATAATGAACACTTTTCGGCTGGTAAAATTACATGATGGCAATATAAATGACGGTTTTGAGTGTTGATATATATAGTCTGTTTTTTTAGCAGCTGCCGGTCGTTTAAAGCGCCTGTCTGATAAGTGCGCGAGGAGCGAAAGCAAAAATGCTATGGAAATCCTGCAAATCCTGAAACTTTGCACATCCGTAACTTTTCTTCGACATGAACTAAAAAGAAGGAAAAGATGTCTTTTTCGAAGCTAAAATGTTCCCCAATCGATCGCCAGACCAAGGAGGTGATTTTCAATGTTTTTGAATTTTGTTCAAAAGAGAAAAGTAACATGGCCTTAACAGGAGAACCATGCGGTTCATATTGTTTGGTTCACCCAAATAAAGTGTATGAGAGAGTGAATCTGATGACTGGTGTTTCCGAGCGGACAGTTCGCAACATCATGAAAGAAAAGGAAGTCGGCGAGTTCAAGTCTCCTATGAAGTCAGCCCCACGGACGGGAGTCGTTCAGAAAATCGACGATTTCGACGTGTGTGCCATAAAACGAGCCATACACAGCATGTACGAAAAGGGTGAGCGAGTTACCCTAAACTCGATCCTGATGAAGGTGACAAGTGAGCTGGACTTAACCTTCAGTCGCAGCTCCCTGCGCAAGATCCTCCTCCAGAACGGCTTCCGCTACAGGAAGGTAAACTACAGGAAGCTGCTGATGGAGCGCCCGTACGTGCGGGCTGCAAGAGCCCGCTACCTCAGAGAAATGCGCAGGATCCGCAATACTGAGCCCGACCGAGCAGTCATCTATCTCGATGAAACGTGGTTCAGTCAGTTTGATTTTGATCAAAAAGGCTGGCTGGATGATCGCGAGTTTTGTGGCAGAAGAAGTGTTGTTGGCAAAGGCAAGCGTCTGATCATTGTCCATGCTGGATCCAGAGATGGATTTGTCGGTGATGCCTTGCTTACCACCTGGACCGACGGCAAGAGCACCGACTACCACGACTCGATGAATGCGCAACATTTCGAGGAATGGTTCTCCAGCCTACTCCAGAACATCCCGGCTAACAGCGTTATCGTCATGGACAACGCCAGCTACCACAGCCGGATTAACCCGCGCGGGGCTGGGGTCTCCAGCCGAACGCGCGGGGCTGGGGGGGGGGGGGTAAATTTTACCCCCCCCTGTTATCTCCCGAACTAATGGTCCGATTTGGAAAATTCAAACGCCAATCGAAAGCTCTCATCACGAACTACTAAAAACATGTACTTAATTTAAAGTTTGAGGTCAAGGTCAAGGTCAGGTCAAGGGTACAAATTGCAAGTTTCTACAGTATCGGCCTTGCACCGTAGTTGCCGAAGAATGGAGTCATGGACTGAGACTGATCGCCCAAAACGTGTTCTTAGGCTACCAAGACAATATTCGTTGCATACAATATCATTCAGAGGTCAAGGTCAAGGTCAGGTCAGGTCAGGTCAGGTCACCAAAAAACAAAATATAGAAAAGGGCATGTGCGACACATGTTTTATGGGTCATTTTACTCATAGAATTCAATAGGCACACTCAATAAGTGATATGGACCACCTCTGGATGAATTTCAGGTCGAGGTCAGGTCAAGGTCAGGTCAAGTGAGGTCAAATTTTGAAGTTGGTTGTTAAGGCCTAAAAAGGTGTCTATCTGATGCAGTTTTTCACGGCGAATCGAATGGTGCTATTTTTGTTTCCGTACGAGGTCTAGAACTTCCAAAAAAGTCATTTTTCCAAATTTTTGTGTGTCGTGACGTCATAAAATTTTGAATAACTCCCACATTTTTGAACCGATTCTTCTAAAATTTGGTATGTAGGTGCACATAGACCACTTCTCTGACATATATTCCGGTTTTTTTCGATAGACTCAAAATGTTGGATTTTATAATGATTTTCCCGAAAAAATCAGTTTTTTGAAAAAAATTAGCCCAAAATCCAAAATTTTCAAAAAACCGAGATAGCCATTTGATAGACAAAGTAAAATTACGTATAACCTTTTTTGTTACGTCTTGATTCCTTTAAAAATGAAGATGTTAGCGGCGTTTGAACTTTTGCCGTTTTTGAGGCGAAAATGGCGAACATGACGTCACTAAAACGTCAATTTCTCAAAAATTTTCCGACGGATTTCGCTCAAATTTTCAGGGAACGTGTCAAATTGATGTAAGAAAAGGTACTGAAAGTTTGGCGGCGCTGCGCGCCGCCGTTTTTGAGATATCGCAAAAATTCGCGAGGGGGGGTAAAATTTACCCCCCCCCAGCCCCGCGCGGGTTAAAAACAAGACCCCGACGACCAGTAACAAGAAAGGGGAGATCCAGGCATGGCTGGAAGAAAATGGCATTTCATATGCCGACGACATGCTCAAAGTGGAGCTTCTGGAGCTGGTTCACAAGCACGCTCCCCCAAAAACGTACTATGTGGATGAACTGGCAAAAGAAAAAGGACACACAGTGGTCAGGCTGGCACCCTACAGTTGCGACCTGAACCCGATCGAAATGATATGGGCTCAACTGAAAACGTATGTGAGACAACGCAACAGAAGCGGAAGCATGGGAGCCATCAAGCTGCTTGTGGAAGAGGCGGTGGCCCACATCCCACCCTCGGCATGGGCTAAGTGCTGCGATCACGTGGAAGTGCTCGAAGAGCGCTACTGGCAGCACGAGAACGTGGCCGAAGAGGTGGAGCGCGTCGTCGTTACCCTGGGAAGCAGTGATAGTGAAGACGAAGACACAGAAGACGAGTAGAAGACGAGAGGAGCTGTGCTGGGCTGACTCGCTATACGGTGATGACTGATGATGATCGCATGATTATGATTTGCGATTATGCACGAGGCAGGCGTGAACAGCTGGATGCAGACTGCACTGGGATGACCTTCAGAATATATGGTTTACTTTTTGCTCTTTCGTTTGACCTTTGATTTGACAAAATTTGACCTTTGATGACCTCTGGTGACCTGACCTTTGACCTGACCTAAAAATGACTGATGTGTTTTCTTCATTATTTCTTTTGCTCTTTCGAATAACGCTTACTGCGAGTCGCTACTTGGCCCAGGAGCTGATTTAGACGGGGGTGGGTTCAGACACCCCCGGCCCGGCGCGGAAGTCGCCGAGTACCGGCCCGGCGCTGTTTAAAATACAAACGACGCCCGGACATTTGAGCACTTTTGCATTTCATATAGGTATGATGCAATCTACATATAAAGAACAGTGATAAGGCGGTATACACAAGCTGGTTTCATTCCTAAATTATTCACTTTCTCAATCTCCTGCCTCCTGCTATCGCTGGCACCATGGCACGACTTTTGTACCATCTTCGCTGACACAAAGAGGCCACCTGGCCAGGGAACGTTGCCCTCCTCTCAACCCCTCTCTCCTCTTTTTATTATAGTGTACAAACTGATAGCGCAAGAACGGTGATGACAATTCTCAAGAAGGGTTGTGACGCGTAAAAGACAAATCCGCAGCTTATTCCACCAGCCTAAGTGAAAGTCAGCACAATTCTGAATGCTGGAGCCTGAGTGTGCAGAACATGGCAAGTTCAGTACGACAGCTGGATCGACACGGATCGATACTGGATTGATACGCTCCATTCGAGCCGCCATAAAAGGAGCCGATAGAAAGTGTCTCGTATTTCTGTTTTCGCAGTCTCAAAAGCACGCGCAGTTGCAATTTAGGCACTTAAAACGACCGGCAGCTGCTAAAAAAACAGACGCATAATTTTCGGACATATTTGGACAAATAGTTGACTTTAACATTTTTGGACGGAAAATCAACAAAAATGCCGGACATTAGACGGATATTAGAAGTAAATTTTCTAAAACTGGCATCACTTATCTGCTACTGCCTTGGGTCGAAAATATTGGCAAAAAAAAAAAAACTGGGAGCGTTGTTTTTTTCGGAGCTATTCCTGTCTTCATTGAAATTCTCACACTATGTTCAAATTACCCCACGCTAAAAGTTATTTTGCCATTTTAAAAAACAGGGTTAAAAAGCAAATTTCTTGGATTGAAGGCACTGATTAGGTCATTATACAACAAAAGCCGTTGCGTATTAGGCGCAAGCAATGCAAGATTTTGCGCTGCAATGAAGTTGCAATGACGTGTTGATAGGCGTTTTTCCTTGCGAAATTGATTTTTTACACTGTGCGTCAACATCTTCATTCCCTGAAACTGTAAACCCCGTTCATATGATAGCCCTTTTAATTGCGATAATTTCTCTCATTGGTCTTATTTTCATGCCACTTATGGATTTTCTGTTATTTTCTGTTATTCACACTATGTTCAAATCGCCCCACATGTTCAAATTACCCCACCCTACCCTATATATTGTTTCTGGAAAGTTGAGACAGCTGACTCATGTCCCTAAATGTTTGACTCAACTCAATGTCAAAAATTATTTTACTGACTCAACTCTGACTCAACTCAACACTTAAATATTTTTGTCCGATTCAACTCTGACTCAACTCAACAGCTCAACATTTTATCCGACTCGACTCAAATCTGACTCATTTGAGTCAGAGTTGAGTCAAATTTCTGACTCGACTAATGAGTCAAGCACAACCCTGGCTGTTATTAAATCATTTTTCTCAGAAAGACGTTATTAATGGTAGCCTCATATAAAGGTCTATTGGAACAAAAATACAAGCATGCATTTCATCTTAGGCTTCGTCCAATTAACAATCCCATCGTGCCACACGTTCAAAATAGGTTTACGATAATTCGTCAGCGTAAGCCACAATCGGTATTAGGAGGGCAGCACCAGCCATTAATGCACTCGTTTCCGACTGTATCCGCTGTACCCACCTGCAGTTCGATCTCCTCCGTTATCCGTCGCTCCTCCTGCGTGCTCCAGCGCTTCTTCCGTACCAGTCGCAGCTGGCCAGCGATGTCGTCCCCGAAATACTGCATCTGCTCCCGCGCCAGGTCGTGGGCTGATGACAGCGGGTCAGGGTGGGTCACAGCACGAACGATGGATTTTGGCTGACATAGACATTGTAATTGGTCCCCGGCACAGGACCTACCAGATGATAGGATAATCATGAATAGCCACTATGGAACAAATATCGTAAAACTTGTGATACACGATTTATAAGCCAGTAACACAAAACTCCCGTTACTTATTTAAGCCAGCACAGGCACTGTCACTAGCCGGCAGGCACTGTCTCCGCCAACACTGTTGTCTCGTGGCAGCTCCGCCCCTCCAGCGACCCCTCTCCCCAGTCATTCTCCCCAGAGCACCAGCCACCCGTGCCACACGCCAACCAACCTCTCTGCAAATGTTTGATGGACTCGTCGTACAAGTTCAGCTCGAACAGTGCCTGTCCCAGGAAGAAGTGGCCCTTGACATTGCTGGGGTCCATCGAAGGGTCAAGAGCGCGTCGGCAGTCGGCGCACGCGAGCTCCCACTTCTGTAGCTTCAGGTAGCACAGCGCACGGTTCGTGAAGTAGTGCGGCACATTGGGGTTCTTGATCTGGGAATACGAGACAGAGGGCACGAGACAGTGGTAAGATTGTGCTGAAATGTAATAGGTACCAGTTACAGCTGGCAGATTCGTCATTTGTTCATAGAATGTTGCTTAATGTTTATACTACGCTATTATTTACTTTTCTATCAGTTGGCAGTTGCGTGATCATTTAATAGTGATGCTATTCTTATTATTACAATATGGGTTTATTTATACAATTAAATACTTACAATTGCTTTACTGTAGCATGCCACAGCATCATTGAACATCCTTGAAGCAAACAGTGCATTGCCCATTTCTTTGAGCTGCTGGGCATTCATCTTGGACTCATCTCCAGGCATGGGCTTCTTGGCTGACTTGGGTCTCTCCATGGCTGCTCAGCATCTAATTCCACCTGCGAAGCACATAGCCCCTTATAAAAAATGAACGGCAAAATATGGATCAATTATCTCATGCATGCATTTTCGGCGTCACTCGTTTGCTCATTAACTGTGTCGTACAAATCTGATAGGGAAATCATTGGCAGCAGAATTGACTACTTGATCAGCTTGATGCACATCTCGCCCTACCACCGAGCGACAACGCCAAACCATCATATGAGCGGAGGCCGGAGCGCATCTCGTTTACTAATGCTGCATAATGCAACAACCTCAGCTTCTTTCGATGCAACTTATTAGCTGCATCAAACATACCCGATAAATCGTTCTCAATGCCTCATTTGACTGCTTGAAGCGGCGGAGCAGTTGTCCTCAAGCCCTCCCATCAGCAGTGCGCATCTCGAGTTCCTCCCATCAGCCGTGCCCATCCCTCTCACCCAATAATCTGGTCTCAGCCGGGGCGCCCAGCACACAGATGCGCCGGACGCTGGTGACGACACTGTGGTCACTCGCCCGGGCAGAGCGATTTGTGTTGTAACAGTGTGAGCTTGTCATCAATAACAGCCTCGAAACGTATATGGGGCGTTGGACCCCCTTACCGTTTCGCCACGGATCAAGCTAGAGCTTCGCGGAAAAAACGAGCGTGTTGCCCGCGACGAGGGGAAGCCGATGATAACCAATTTAATGGTCCTAGGTCATTGGTTGACTTTCCAGGTCAGGTCAATGACCCAAAGGTCGAGAAAATCGGGACCTGTCGAAACGTCGTAAAGTGTGGCTGCTACCGGGTTTCTCAGGGTGCTGATCACGAATATCATTTTAGTTTTGATCACCGATGATGTCTTCATGCTTTTAGGCCAGGTCGGGTCAGGTCAGGTTAGGTCAACCAGTAGGGGTTTTGTCGGGTTTTCGTAGTAGGTGTCAACCTCCTCTGACAGCTTCGTAACATATTACGAAGGCACCAAAACTACTTTGTTAAAGGGACACTCCCACCTTAACATTAGTTTTGAGTTGAGATAGCCAAATTGGTGGCCATGGCCTGCAAATACCGGTTTGGGCACTCACAACATCGACAAATGCTTTAATTCGGAGATATGGAATTTCAAACTTGCAGTTTTCGGATTCTAAGGGGCTAGTGCATTGGTATGCCCCCTTAGAATTTGTGACGTCAGCGGAGATCTAACGATTTTTAAATCTTTTACTAAAACGTTTGGTAGCACGCGGTGGTATATGCTGCTTTGCGCGCAACAAATGCCGCACTTTCAAATAAAGTCGCTAGGAACAGCGGAGATCCCAAAAAGTAAACAAAAGTAAAAGTCTAATATCTTGAAAACCGGTGAATATTTTTCGATGAAATTTGGTAGATATTCGTTTTCGCTCTTTCTGAACCGAGCGACATCACTTTCGTGCCAATTCATTAACTTTTTTGAAGGTGGGAGGGTCCCTTTAATGTTCAAATGGTTACTAAATTCGAATTCAGCTCCAAAAACCGGCTTAAAAACATGTAAAATTCGAGAAAGTGAACCGACGTCATCAAAGGTCAATGACCTGACCTGACCTTCAGGTGACCTTGACACCCACCCTAATGCATGGGAGCGACATCATATCCCATGTTAGAACGCTTGAATCCACGAAAAGGTTGCAAACGCGCGGCTAATGCGAGCCGACATACGCCGAATCGCGATTCCGGCCAAACAGTCTCGAAAAGTAGGTCATATGTCAAAGGTCATTAGGATCAGGGTTGTGAAATTTAAAGAGAGGTGTAAAATTGATTAACGCGAGGGCGCTGCAAGTTTCTCCGCGATCAGCCGCTTTTTACGCGAGTTATTCGCGAAAAACCGAGGGGGGGGGGTCCGTCCGACCCCCCCCCCCCCCCTATACGGGCGAGGGTTAAGACACGGAATAGCCACGGTGTGCTATGGAGTTGTCTTGTCTGCCTCCGTCAATACAACCAGACAGAGCGTTCCGGGGCCTTGGACGCTCTCCCATGTTTGAGCGTCTGAATAAGTTCTTTATTTCCATGGAAACCCAACACCTCAATATGCTTAGTGCACTGTAGCATCGTGCCGTGAAACAAGGCCGGAGCTGGAAATTCCGGGGCCACAAAAATCGGTGGAGCGGCGTTTTCGAGGCTGGCGGGAGCCAGCGAGGGCTGGGCAGCGGAGCAGCACGTCTTACGGCACATCAGCCTCTTCTCGGCACACGGCGCAGAGCGCTGCGGGGCACCGCTTGTCTGGGCACTGCTGGAACGCCACGGAATGGAGGCAGCCGATTCGGTGCACGTACTGGAGCGAGCGGCCCCAGTGGCCCACCCTTATCTGGTGCACCGAAGCGGCATCCTCTCGGTCCTCTCCGGGGATAGGGAGCGGCGGCGTGCTCCCGAGAAGTGGCTTTAATAGTGACTCGGACCAGTTGCCGCGCCATTGATGCGAGGCCGCACAATGAACCGCCTTGGTCAGCGTTTGAAGGCAGGGCGGACGCGCTCCACATTCCCCTCAATACCGCAGTGGGCAGGAGCCAGGAACCCACTGCAGTACTACTTAACGACGCTTGGTGATGTTCAACAAGGTCTTCCATACCTATTTCCACGCCGAGGGTTGAGGCCTCACCTGGGCGTCCGCTCCTCCGCTGAGTAAACTCGGGGCGGTTCGTCAGTACGAGCACGCGATGACCGGGGCGGGGACGTACCTATCGTCCCGAAACCTCTCCCGAAGTCCAGAGCCGCCCGCAGGGGGAATCTGCTGCTAGATTGACCAGCGTGCCCGGTGCCGACCAAGTTCGGCCACAGGGTTTAGGGTTTTCGCCAAAAATTATGCGGCCGCCCTGCGCCGTAAAATTCAGCTGCCGCCACGCGCTGAATTCGGCGCATGCGAAGCTACACCGGACGTGCGCTGAAATTTTCGGTGCAATCCCGCCACTACGCCAGACATATTCGGCATAACGTGTTTTTCCAGTCTGGTTTGAAGCAGCGGAGCGGTAATCTTTTAGCCCTCACATCGGCCCTGCACTCCTCGAATCCCTCACATCAGCCATGCTCATCCCTCTCAGTCTAGGTACCGCCAGCACCTCGCGGCTTACAGAGCCGAGCGCTGCGTTTCATGTTGTAACAATGCAAACTTCCAAGCGTCCCACATGATTGATGGGAGCACCAGCACTGGCATAGTCCATTCCGACTACTGCACACTCATTAAGACCCAAGGGGATACAGAATTATGTGTTGACGCCCCAACAATGTTTTCTTTTCGATTTTCCTCATTAATCTGGTCTGATCTGTCATGTCCGTCACTAAGCCAATTCCGTACCGCATTACACTAAATCAGCATCGCATCAAGCCAGATCCGCACCACACCGCACCAAATCCGTACCAGTCGAGCAAGCCCGCACCAATGAGATCCGTCAAAATTGCCATACTTGCAGCCTGGTCCCCTGAGGGAGTCAGGGACGCCGGTGAAAACAGGGCGCCGGAGGGCATTTTAGTCACGTGATATTTGGAACTTCTCCCCTCCGGGGGCCTTCTACATGGTAAACGTCACGTGTAAATTTCACGAACCTTGTTCAAATCGCCCCAGGCGCCCTGTTTTCACCGTCGTCCCTCCTGAGCCCTCCCTATGTGGCAGCAATTAAGAACTGTAAGCCCCTCGGTGTTAGGTTTTTGAGCTGTGTGATTCTGGATCGGTGTTCGGTTGGGATAATCACAGGAATAAGTAACTACAGGTTAATTGTTGTCATATTTTTTGGTGGAGCTCGTATGCCTATTATGAAGCAGCTGCGACATTTGTCGCGCAGACGGAAAGATGTTTCTACTCACCACACTCTCGAGGTCAGATGAGTTGTAACAGCGAATAAACGTTTGCCACTCAAATATAATAAAATGCAATCAACCATCCAATGCGCATTACACTCTCACGCGTCCCGCTCCCTCCTTCCCATCCTGCAACAATCAAAACAACTCATCACGCAACCATCAAGGACGCAGTTGAAGCCTTGGTTGAAGCTATAATCAGTTATTCTGACGCCAGCGGAGAAAAATGACGTCATGAGATTTCATTCGAGATTTTTATGTGTTGTTTGCACTGGTTTGACTCAATATTCCTGTTAAAACCAAGATTCCTACAGATTGTTTGAACACATTGGTTTGAACAAAACAACTGTACTCGATAGGCTGTGATTTCGGTGATTTCAACGTCGCATTATTGACTAATGACTACAAAAAGTCGGTTGTCTTCAAAATTATGTTTCGGTTGCGTATTCATGTGTTTTCATCGTTCAGGTCTATGTGGTAAAATTGTGTTGTATCCAATTGTATCAAATAAATGTCAAATAAACCGATAAAAACCATAATTCAAAATAAAAACCGTTTGAATCAAGGCCAGTTTGAATGAAAAGCATGGACAAAAAGTACGATGTCACAGCTATGACTTACCTAGCAATTTACGAGTAAGTTTTAGTTTATTTCAAAAGATTATGACAATTAGAATTAGTTCCAACTTTTGAGAATTTATTTTCACAAAATAAATGTAAAAGCTTAAGGCAATAGAGTAAAATACTATGAATTACGTCATTTTACTAGCGATTTTGCATGATTTCTTGTCTCTGTAACATGGCTCCATTTTCGCATCCTTGTGCTAAGCAAACGGTCGTCGTAAAAGGACACAACAACGCAAGGCCCAACAACGGACGAAAACGAAATTTCAATTTCAAACCGTTGTGTTTGTAAAAAAAGAGAACTGAGAAGTGAGAGGAACCGATACGATCGAATTTCGATGGGATCAGACCATTGCATGGAATATTGAAATACGTAGGTTTTTCATCGCTTGATTGGAATTTGTGTCGATCTTGAATTCTTGTTCTAGGCAGCATCAACACCTTGACCCGGAGGGCTGTTCACGGGCCCTGTGTGCGGTCGGACCGCACACAGCCTCCAAGCTCCGCCCACTGCGTCCCTACGTCAGCCTTCCGTCACCGCACACAGCGATCGCTGTGGCCGGTCGGGACTGGCCACAGCGGACCGTCCACCGCACGCAGCCGTGACGTCAGAACCGCCTACCCATCCCCTACCCCCACGCCTGCTGGACGCACCGCACACAGCGCACGCAGCAGTGTGCGGTGCCCGTGAACACCCCTCTGGATTGTAGCATATCAGTTCATACTGTAAATCATTCAAATTTTTGGATATCTGCTTGTTAAACTTGCTTGCTGCTATGAGATAATATTTGATGCTTACCCCTGCTTTTCAGGATTTTGAACTGTGACTACCCACACAAATTCAGAGTTTTGGAGAATGGCTACTGTAAGTAAAATAGGTAATGGATTACCTACTCATCACATATCAGACACCAACCTCCATGACGAATTGCTCACAAGTCACAGCAGACTTGAACCTAGTCATCAAAGTTAAGATTACTCAACTTACTAATACTCAAGATTCAGATGAAGCTCGTGCAGTTCAGAGACAAACTTGAATTCAGTCGGGGAAACTATGGTAAAATCTGCTATTTTTAGCAGTCTGCTATTTTTAGCAGAAATCTGCTAAAAATGGGTACGCAGGTGACGTCATCGTACCCAAATATAGCAGATTTGGGTACGGCCCCATACAAAAGCAGATCTGCACCCTAATTGAAGCAAATGTGCATCAAATGCCTGGCAGATTCATGATGAGAATAGTGCTGAGAGTGATCTCTGCTATTTTTGTTCAGATCCGACTATTTTCAAATTCATTATTTGAAAATAGTCGGATCTGAACAAAAATATCAGAGGACATTCTCAGCACTATTCTAATCATGAATCTGCCAGGCATTTGATGCGCATTTGCTTCAATTAGGGTGCAGATCTGCTTTTGTATGGGGCCGTACCCAAATCTGCTATATTTGGGTACGATGACGTCACATGCGTACCCATTTTTAGCAGATTTCTGCTAAAAATAGCAGACTGCTAAAAATAGCAGATTTTACCATAGTTTCCCCGACTGAATTTGCCTGACTTGGCTGTTGTTGTTGAAGAGTTAGGGCGTGCAGCAACCCCCCTGACTTGACTGCATCGTTAGCAACTGCTTTAATTAGTCATTTGTGTCATTAGCAGCTGCTTACATTAGGAATTCAAATTGTTGTGTAGCCATGCACATTAACATAGGTATTTATGGAAGGTTCTTTATTGGCCGCATTGGTAACACTTAACACTGCATTGGTAATACTGCACATAACACTTAACACTGTATTCATAAACACTTACCTATCTTCACTACAACCCCAATTACCAATGGCCTTCATTGACCTATCGCTCTTCCCCAACCAGACATCAAATGTGGAGAACCTGCCACCCCAGACGATCCGTCTGGTGGCCCGCGAGCTGGCCAGTCTGCAGACAGCCCCCCTGGAGGGGATCAGGGTGACGTTCAGTGAGCAGGACGTCACACAGGTGGAAGCACTCATTGATGGACCCGGTGAGATTGCCAGGGGGGAGAGGGGCGATGTGGCAGACTGCAGGCCGCAGGGGAGGGTGATATTATAGCATAATCCGTGGGAGAGAGTGGCAGTGTAGTGGCTAAGGTGCCAGGGGCCGGAGCCCACGCTAAGCAGAGCTTGTGTAGATACTGACCACTGAACTCTAATATATACTGGAAGGAGCATTGGTGACTTGTTTTTGTCTATCGATTTCCGCCATGTTGTGTATACCAGAAATATAAATTGCATGTACGGTAGCAGAGGTGCAGTTTAGTGAGAGGTACACTACTCAAAAGTGCTGCTGCTTCATGCTTGCAGTTTGATTGCAGTGATCAACTTTTCAAGACTTTGGTATAGGTACACAACATGGCGGAAATCGTTAGACATTCTGGCCCATATACGGCCAAGGCGAGTGCCTCCCCCTGATACTGACCCGGCCTGCTTCCCGATCGTGCATTTCCGGGTAACTGGAGAATTTAGTCGATGACAACGTTTACCGTGCGTTTGGATGGACCGTTTTTCGCGAGGAATTTCCACACCGAGAAATTCCTCACGAAAACGGCCGTTCTGGCAGGCCCGTTTCGCGGGATTCCGCGGGATTCCTCGTGTTTCGCGATGCCCGATCGGCTGTTTTCGTGAGAAATTCATAGTGTGGAAAGTACACGCGAAGAATGGCTCGTCCGAACGCAGGCTTAGTATGCCCATCAAAGCCGCACACGTCCTGTCCGACTTAATTGACTTCAACTAGCTGCGGTTGCTCCCACCAACCGCAGATCATCCCCGTCAGCAATCTGAGATATTGAGTGTCAGAGCAATTCGAATCCGGGCTCTCACTATCGGGAGCCCAATGCTGTACCAACTGAGCTACAGGACACTTGTGCTCATCCAGAGCTCTGAATTTATTGTTTAATTTGGTCTGTAGAGTGTAGAGCACTGCTATTTATGTATAGCCTGTGTTGAGTGTTCGCTACAAAAAAAAAAAAATCAGTAATGGTTTGCTGAAGCTATGTGCTTTCATGACATCAGTCCATTTCACCCAACCAAGGTGAACTCTGTGTCTTTCCGCCATGATGACGACCCGTTTCACCCGTCCACAGCCGGCACGCCATACGCCGGAGGTGTGTTCCGTGTGAAGCTCTCCCTCAGCAAGGACTTTCCTCGCTCGCCGCCCAAGGGCTTCTTCATGACGAGGATCTTCCACCCGAACGTGGCGGCCAACGGCGAGATCTGCGTGAACACGCTGAAGAAGGACTGGAAGGCCGATCTCGGCATCAAGCACCTCCTGCTGGTTAGTCGTTAGTCGGTTGATCGTTCGTCTGCTCAGTTAGTGTGGGTGCCGCATAAGGACAATGAACTCGCCGGAGCTAATTGCGGCGAGTTTATAGTTCCAAAATAAAGACTGCTTGGGCGCAAAATGACCTCGCAGTCGGCGCGCCTCTAACCCCAACCAACAGACAAACAAACAAACAAACAAACAAACAAACAAACAAACAAACAAACAACAAACAAAGACTGATAATTGTAATCGCACAATTTTTACGTAATCCGTTGGCTGTTTTAAACATGATCAAACCAAGCACTGAAAACTAGTTTGTGCAAACAATAGTTTATCGCTGTTTGAGTGTCATGACTGTCCTAAGTCAGCATTATTTGCCACCAGCCATTATGCCAAGCATCATGCAATGTCTTACCTTTCTGTCAGTTTGTCCGCCCACTACCCTACGCCTCTCACCATCACCCATACGCTCTCTATCTACCTCAGACGATCAAGTGTCTGCTGATCGTACCCAACCCGGAGTCGGCGCTAAATGAGGAGGCCGGCAAGATGCTGCTGGAGCGGTACGACGATTACTGTCAGCGGGCCAAAATGATGACCGAGATCCACGCCCAGGTGAGTTTAGGTGGATGGTCTAGGTGGAAGAGAGAGTGCTGGTGGGGTGTCCCTCTGATGGGGTGGAAGAGGTTTTGTGATTTGTTTCGTGGTTTTGTAGGCAAACGGGCGCTAAGTTTCGCTGCTGCTAGTTATTTGTGTTGAATCAGGGAAACGATCGTCTTCGGTCTCTTTTCGAGTTTTCCATGTTGGGGAGATGGTTTTCCCCTTTGTCGGGCTCTAATGACTGATGAACTAACCTTCTCCGTTACGACGTGAGGGCGCTTTCTCGAGGAATGTGGCCTTCTTCTGAACCTGAAGTTATCGCTTCTCTCCACAGGTGGCGCGCAGCAGCAAGTCTGCCGACGAAGGCGAGCCCATGGCCAAGAAGCACGCCACCGAGCGGCCGGCGGGCGCGGCTGCTGGCGCCGACAAGCGCCGACCCAAGGACAAGTCAAAGCGCACGCTGAAGCGGCTGTGAGCGAACATCCTGTCTCGCGCCAGCCCGGCGGCATCTCTTCCCTCTCTGTCCCTGTTTTCTGGCGAGTGTGTGTGAGAGATCTCGGGTGTCGGAGCGGCCGCGGTACAAAGTCTCAGCCGGCAGTGGCGTTGAGCAGCTGGCTTCGTTTTATAGGCTGGTTTTGATGCGGCCCCGGTGACTGAAGTCGAGGCAATATGGGCTGGGTGACTGGGCGGACCACAACGGGGGCTTCAGGCGAATCGAGTAAGGGTTCACGCTGACCCATACATTGGGCGGTGAAGTACACAAGGCTTTGAGAGTTTCGTATGCAGTTACGCATGTCTAAATCATCGCTGTGCCGGTACGAGGCACTGCCCTTTCATAAATCTCACGCCACGGGACCGCGGCGCAGGAGCGGCCGGCGCCGACCCGTTCCCCGTGTGATAGTGGACCGTTTAGCTATCGGGAGAAAATCATCAGCGCCGACAAGTCGTCGCGGTGTATGTGCTGTTCTATGCATGCCGTAATAAATGTGTGCGTGTCATCTAAAGAACGGATGTGTCATGAATTATGTGGAGCTCGTCACTGATCTGTGACGCTTAGGGCTCACTTCCCACGCGCGGTTGTGAAGCCAACATTATTCCAGGCCTTGCCTGGAGAAACTCATCCCGAGTGAAATCCTTTCTTCGGTAAAAGACAAGACGACCAATCAAAATCCCGCGTGGCTCACGTATTGACTGTATGGATTTACGAATCCCCCACTCATCAATGACACTCGTGGAAGATAATGCTTAGGAGGGAACTAACTATTCGGGTGGACAACAGCTTGTCCGATGTCACCCCTTCCGTCATATAAGGCAGTGTTCAGCCCTTTCATTCCTCCCCGCGGTTCACCAATCGTGTGGCATGTATTGACCAACCAGCGTGCACATGAACCCTCAGCTGGGGCCGCAACCGGCACTGTTCACGCAGCATCGGCAGCGCTTGATCCTGGCCGAACTGACCGCACGCAGCGTGCATGAAACGACACAGTAGCACACATCACATGAACGCACATCGCACAGCGCTCGAGGCGCAGAAAGCACAGAGTTTCACACACACGACACTTAGACAGGCATTTATACTCGCTAGCTACTTCCATCTAGACGTAAAAGCGTTCAACGCGATCTCGATTATCATGCTGGCGGTGTCGTCTCGATTGCTGGTTTCTTTCGTCACATTTCATGAAGGCGGATATCTATGTATCCGTTAGACAGTCATCTCTCTTAGGGGCAGTGGTGCGCTGCTTGTTACATCCATCACAATCACTAGTTTCGTCCTAAGAACGCTTTGAAACCAACCACGGACCCAGTGACTAGCAACTGAGTCTTGGACACAGTCTCGCTCTAGCATATCGCCCATCGTCAACCTAATTCCACCGCAGCACAAGACCCGACCCTACACATGACCTACTGATACCACCCGACTCGCATCTCTCCAACCCAAGTTCCTCTACAAACGATCATTCATTGACTATGTGCGCTTCCATAGTCGCCTTATTTTGCGGTCCATGAGAGGGCAGGCAGCGGGGAGCTTAGGCAAAGCCTGTATGAGGGAGACCTGACTCAAGTATTGACACTGGTCTCTGCAACACAGCAATAGTTAACCTACAGCATTGTTGCAGCTAACGGCAATGTCGCCGAATGCAACGCCACCCGAGGTCACGACTTGCGCCCTTTTTCGGTAGCTGACTGCATCATCCCCATACCCAGACGTGTCGCGATGGGCGTACCAACCAGCCCAGTCATTCATCCCATACCGCACCGCACCAAGCCCCACACACGTACGTCCACACACTACGCACCGCCTAAGAGGTAAGAATTGCGTGCCTGCCGCAAACGCACCACTGCTGACATACTAGCCGCAAATGTGTCGATGCTCCCACTCAAGTCCTCTATGACTATCATTCATCATTCCTTCTGCTTTCAGATTCACTTTTTATGCGATACTCTCGTTCGAAAACTTATTATTACTGTATGCCTGGCCTATTCAAATACATTAGCCTGAGGGGTGTGGTAATAACTGGTGTAAGCAAAGTGACCACGGTCAAAAACGAATTACCAAGTCAACATTTTGGGATGGCCTCGTTCAAAAAAGGGCTAAGAGCTTCGGTCTAGACAATCATTTTATCGTTGGCATACAGTAAAATACATACCAAACTCGGCCGGTGATAAATTTTCAAGACCTCAGTCCTTACTGATTTTTGAACTCGGCCTTCGGCCTCGTTCAAAAATTCAGTAAGGACCTCGGTCTTGAAAATTTATTTACACCGGCCTCGTTCAGTATTATATAACACGCTCCATTTCGTCCGCCATGACTGCCGCTAAAATGGACGTCAAAGCGTTTAACGAGCTCATCACTGAACAGTGAACACGTTACGTCAAACATCGGCCCAATCCCCTACTCTACATACACGCATGTCAGTAATTTGCATCAATCCACATCAGTTTACACGAGTCCACACCAGTCCCACTTGACAGCAGTCAAGAGATAAGCCCACCATCAGTTTCAGTCGCTAAATCACCACTGTTCAGTGTTCACCCTAAAGTGCTGTCATGTTGGTGTCTCTGCTCCGAGGAGATCTGAAGTTGGGCGACCCGTGAGTCTGAGAGTTTGGGTGAATTTGGTATGGTCCGTCAGTCTGGCCAAGCAGTGCTTCTCATACGCTGCAGCTTATTTCCCCCGTGATGGGAACGGCCAGATCACACAGTTCAGAATCCAGTAGACGTGGACCCTGAAGACCAACAGCGTTGCCTCGGAAACTCCCGAGTCACCTGCCAGGATCTCTTGACTCCAAACTCCAGACATCCCATCGGCAGCTGCCGTCTGTGACTCTCAGAAGCCGTGCCCGTCTCGTCACGACGAATCCCGGAGCGTCACGGAGCTCCACGGAGCGTCACGGAGCTCCACGGAGCGTCACGCCGTATCACGAGGCGTCACGATGCGTTACGCCATGGGCGGAAACTCATCCTCGTCGTGAAGCTGGTACGGTCCATCGGTGGGCGGAGTCTCTGTGGCAGTACGCATCTCGGTCCGCTTCTCCGACTCTGCGGCGGCCGGCGGGGCGCGGTCAGGGGCGTGGGAGAGACGGTATGGTGGGGTGGGCGGACACAGACGGACAAGACAGAGACGGAGGAGAGACGGTATGGTGAGGTGGGCGGACACAGACGGACAATACAGATACGAGGGAGAGACGGCATGGTTGGGTGGGCGGACACAGACGGACAAGACAGAGACGTGGGAGAGACGGTATTGGCGGCATGGGCGGACACACAGAAGGACAGACAAACAAGACAGAGACGAAGAAGAGACAGGTGTACGCGCACAAATATTAAGGAATGGTTGCAGTAATTGTGGGACACAGGACGGACGACAGGATGATGGCATAAAGGCAGGCAGACAGACAGGGAGACCTCTCGTCCGTATGCGTGTGTGACAGGCACTTGCGACAAGGCGGGAACGCGATTGACTGAGGAGCTCGGTTATCAGGGACACACCAATGCTGTGCCTCAGAAGACATTGATAGCCAATGCAACACAATGCTTGCTATTTTCGACAGTTTTCAATGCTTGTCATTGCTTTTTGGCGTGCGTCGCATGATTGCAATTTTATTGAAAGACAATGTGAAAGGTGTAACGATAGTGAAACAATGAATGGCCAGAAAGGGTTTTATTTTGTGATGAAACTGCGTTACGCGGGGGCTGCCAGCGGACTTAGGGCCACTGCAACGGTACTGCCTCAGGACACGGCTGCCCAGTAAACTAGCGTGAGCTCTCAGACAGAGGTATGCGTCAGGTGCTGCACATGGGATTACTAGGGACGACTCAACACAATGACAAACAGTAACATCGTGCGCACACGAGACACCTGAAGACACGAGCGCAAGAATAAAGATAAAAGAATACAAACCACAACCAAGTGCGTGCACCTGCAAACGTGACAGTTCATGACAAAAACAAATAAAATCAAACACAACCAAACCCTCCCCCGGCTGCGCTCTAACCGACCCACCCTCCCTCTCCAGCCACCCAGCCACGCCCTTAGTTCGGGGCGCGGCCGGGGCGTCGGGCTGCCCGGCTGGCCTGCTAACCGCGGTCGGCCGAGAGCGGGTAGTTACCGGTGGCAGGAGTACCTGTCATGGAGTCGTCAGAGGCGCGGCCGCGCAGCACGCCCGCGTAGCTATTGGTCAAGCCTGCAGGAGAGGGCGAGGTCAGCGCGGAGCGGCGGCCAGCGGCGCCGGCCAGACAGAGCAGAGAAGGGGAGAGAAAGGAGAGAGGGAGAGAGGCTGAGAGAGGGGGAAGAGGGCCGCAATGAATTTGGATCTGGTGGGCTAAGCAGCTCCCAAATTCTGATACAGCTCCGGACTGATTCACGAGTCTGACTCCGAAACCTATGCTCTTGATTCTTGACAAAAAAAAATCTTAGAATGCTGCATGACGAGCCGATCAGTCAACTTCTCCATTAGGAGTAAAGCAAGCTGTATTTCCAGTCGTCTGACTCTGATAATTCGAGATAAAAACGCAAACTTTACGCAGCATCCTACTTCCCACATGCTGTACCAGATCCTACATTAGAAAAGGAACGGTTCCGAAACAATCGTTGGAAAGACCCGTTTACAAAGCCGCCGCCTGCTAGACCCCTACTCTGAAAAAGGAACGGATGGACCAGACCGTTCTGCATCTGATGTTCCATGAAGGCTGGACCATAAAACCGGTTCATCACTTCCTAAAAGATGTGTGATCGTTTCGAAACTTGTTTTTGATGGACTTTGCTTTAATAATTTTTATATATAAAATCGCAGCGCTTCGTATGAAGTGTTTTTTCTTCGTCGCCCAATACGCGATGTGTTATGTTCTTTCCCATCCGATTGAGGATTTAGAATTAGGGCAAAGGGTCAGAAGTTGAGCGGTCTCAGATAGACAGATATAGAGAAAAGCAGTCAAGTCATATGGACCAAAATAGATAAAGGTTTACAGATGGAGTGAAAGAGCTGAAAAAGTCAGTGGTACGGCTCTACTTCAATACGGGACTAACTGTTGACTAATACTCGACTGTTTTACTGCTGATCATTAAATTTCCGCTAAAACCTCATCATTGTTATTGCTCTAACAATGAGGGCAATATATGCAGTTGAAAAAAAATGATAGCACGATGATAAATGAAAATAATGCAACAACTGTACCAAAAAGACAAGAAAGCGCAACCTCAAATTTGCGAAAAGAAAATGAACGAAGTTAAGACATTAAGCGGGAAGCTGCTGAATGTTTTTATATCATACGATAACCCAAGTCTAGGTTATTTCATTAATTGAGACTTGAGCATTTCAATAATTTTTGACTTTCAGAATTTCAGAATCCGTTCAGAGCTTGGAATACGGATAGAATGGATCCGACAGTCCCAATCAGATCAGACTGGCAAACAAGCAGGCATAAAGTGTGGGGTGCATGGCGGTGCCAAAGCAGTCAGCTTCAGTTGGCGCATGCGCACTGAGTGGCGTTACGGCAGCTGCTCTACAACACACAGGACATGGACGACTCGGGGCATGCATGCTGTCTATGTATGCTGTTATACTAAATGTATGATATGTATAATGTGCGGTAAAAACTAAAATACATATAGCTACGGCTCTGGCCTCTGGGGTTAGCTGCCGTGGCAAACTTAATTAATACATGTCAGAAAAGAATCTGACAAAGCATAAAGAACAAAACAAAACCAAGAAAAACAAAGGACGACTTCAATATTCATCAAACACCTCAAACCCAACATTAGTATCACTAACCCCTTAGCTAACATCCCATCTCTGCCCTACCGAGCAGAGTTGCCGGTCCTGGCCCCGACCCCGGATAGGGGTGGGTCACAGGTCGACAGTATCGCCCAACCCCTCCCGTGTGGGCGCCGGTGGTGGGCCGGGACACGGCAGAGGCCGCGTCCCGTCCCACCCTGCGCCAGTTACTGGGCAGCCGGTCCGTCCCACCCCGTCCCACAAGTCCCGTCAGTGTTTCGGGGTACGCACCGGGCGGCGGCTCGGCCGGCGACGGGCTGTGGCGGGCGTCCGGTCCTGTCGGCTCCCCGAGATCGCTGTCCAGACGCCCGTCCAGCCTGCGGAACACGGTCATAGACAGATCAGCGGACAGAAGACAGTGACACAGACAGCTCAGAGGACAGTGGATAACGGACAGGAAACATATTATTAATTTAAAAAGTAAAAAATGTTATCAAATTCAATAGCTAGAGCATTAGAACTGTTCTTACAGAGAAGTACCGAAGTCGTACAAACATGTGTTCCGGAAATATCTTTCATGAATTCATACGTCCTTCGTGGTTCCCTGCAGGGCGTCCAAAGCACAGCCTGCGTCTGAGTCGGTGCCCCTAACTAGTGCCGACCTACCTGTGCTGCTTGATGAGGTTGCAGTCGCCACCCTCGTTGGTATCCACGTTGTAGACATAGAGGTATCCGTCAGCGGCCGCTACCAGCAGGCGAAGCTGCTTCTTGATACTGCGAGCGGGCGGCGTAAAGATTACTTTCCTGATATGGTTGTACGATATGAGTGTCCACTATCTCGTATGGAGCGATGATTGGTCAGAATGGCAATGGCCACGGTTATGCCAATCACATGCGTTTCCCATAAACCTAAAGACGTAAGTCACCACTCATGTCACCAAAATGTCATCCCACATACGTTACTCACGCAAACCAATCACCGCTTCTCGGGCGTTACTCACATAACCATTCCTACCCCAGGCGATACTCAAATGATCAGTCCACCTCCCTTGCACAGTACTCACGTGACCAGTCCGCAGACGCCCCTCAGTCCGGGCACCGGCAAGTGAACGGTAGCGAACGCCCGGCCCTGGTTCAACACCTGCAACAGTCGGCCGGAGGGGCTCAGTACGAAACAATCATGGAACTGGAATTCCGCCACACACCAATAAACGTGAAGAGCACTGTCCAGCTAACAGCATATTAACAAACTTAACTACCGACATTTTAATGAGGCTGTCATGACAAATGACCAATTTCTAAGAGCACTAATTAGACCCTCTCAGCCAGTGTTGAATGATCACTAAGTGAATGATATGAATGGTCTCTGATCACCTCGTGTGGCTTAGTTATAACAGCATCTGAGGGATAAAGTGATCACGTCCAGTCGTCTGCTATACCCTCTGGCTGACATCAATAGCCTATTTATCACTGTCACCTGCCTGACTCCAGTGACCCTGTGTGACCTCTGACTGACCCCAGTGACCCTATGTGACCTCTAACTGACCTCAGTGACCCTGTGTGACGTCTGACTGACCTCTGTGACCTGCGAGGGCAGGTAGCTGGCTGACGCGGTGACCGCCTTGCTCAGATAGCCCATCCAGCCACCGCCGTCATCAGTCTTGGGTGGCCTGTCCGCAAGGAACAAACGAACAGGCTGTTACGGATGACGGGCAAGGTACCACATTGAGCAGTCAGTAACCTACAATCCATCGAACACACACAGGTAGGACTGACAAATAGTTCATCATCAAATAGTTCTTCCCTTACACCCACACGGAAGGGGCTGTCAAAACGGTTATGTATTGACCAGGTCGTCCCCCGCACCTTCTACCCATCACCCAGCCACCCACGCGTCGAGCTCTGTTGTCGAGTTACCGGACTTCTCTAGGAAAACAAAGCTTCCACCAACCTACCAACCCACACTGCCAGCTATTATTGGAGCAGGCAATACAATAGTCTGGGACCCACTCAAATGCCCACACGACCGAGAAAGCCCCTGCCGGTCGGAGAGACAAGTGCTTTATGGAAACGGAGGAAGGCTAGCTGGTGAGAGCAAAATGGGCGAATACTCAAAAGAGCACAAAGGATGCGTACCAAAAGGTGGAGGTTCACTCATTAACCCGCGCCGGGCCGGTGCTCTGAGATTCCGCGCCGGGCCGGAGGGGGTGGGGGTGTCTGAACATACCCCCCTTCTAACTCGGCAGTCGGCTCCTGGGCCACGTAGCGACACGCGGTAAGCGGCAATCGAAAGAACGTCCAAAATAAGGACGAAAACACTTGTCATTTTTTGGGTCAGGTTAAAGGTCAGGTCACCAGAGGTCACCAAAGGTAAAATGTTGACTATTTCAACATTTTGGATACTGCCGACGGCTATCTCGGGAACCGATAGAGCTACAGCGCCGCGGAAAAGCGCATTCGATAGCCCTTTTACAGACCTTTCTGAGTCATGCTCTCAGATTTGACCTCAGGTCACAGTTTAGCCTCCAAAGGGCAAAAACTCCAAAAATAGCAGTTTTTACGAAGTGTTTTTTCGGCAATAACTTTTGTCTCAAAAGAGCCATGACATTACTTTTGCCAGCATCGTATTCCTCTCGTCGAGACGCGTCGAATTAACTATAATTTGACCTTTGAAGGTCAACTTGAAAATTTGACCCCAGGTCAAGGTCATGACCTGACCGTAAAAGGTCATGTTGCATATCAGTCGATCCGCAACGTCGAGCCGAACACATCTAAGGTGTTTTCATCGCTCTAGCACACCTCTATCAGAAGTTATTAGCGAAAAACTGTTAGATTCTGTTCATGACTTGAGATGACCTCGGGGGCATAACGAGGGGTCGCAGTTGCCATTTTCCGTTTCAGTGTGTCAATTTTACCTACATCTCGATGTTTGAGTGTCTAGAATAGCGTTCGTGCAAAACGGACGCTTTTCAATTTTCTCCCATTGACTTATAATATGGAGAGGCCGCAAAATTGACCTGACCTTGGATCATCGATATCAAAATTCCGAGATATACATTTTATAGATAATGCTGCTCTTATCAATCGCTGAAAGTTTCAAAACAATCGCTTAGTCGGTGTAGCTATGACGAGCATTCTTACTTTTTCTAAGGTGAGGTCACTTGGCGTGACCTGGTGACCTGACCTAAGGCGACCTGGGTCTGAAATTTTCACAACATGTGCGGAAAAGATGCACGAACAGGTGTGCCAAAAACGGCCGCCGTTTTTTTTAGATATTTGCGAAAAACCGCAGGGGGGTGTTCAAACCCCCGGCCCGGCGCGGATTAAATGAGTGAACATAATTAAAGAGAAATGCTGAAGTGTTTGACGTGTCGGGTTGGACAGGGTCGGGTCATGTCAGATGAAGCCGCGCATTCCCCCATAGCTACTCACGCCGGCTGCGCCACGGTCTCGGTCAGTCTGAACACGTGTATCGTCTCCGTGTTACTGCTCAGTGCCAGGAACTGGGCGTCTGGCGAGAAACACATGCTGGAAATCTGGGCACACCGCTTAAGACCGCGACGCAGCTCGTACGCCTGTGGGCAGAGAGGGGGCAGGGCAAAGGTCGGGTCAGATCGGTGGTAGGGTCAGGTCACAACTCAAAATATATCACCAATATATTTAATGAAACGTTCGATAGACCTCAGAGATCTAAGAACATGTTATGTGACATCTAGGAACACACCTGAGTAATGTGAGACATTAGTCATAGAAGCAATAGAATAGCTCATAATTTATTTTCTAGTGCGGTGCTACAACATGCGAATATAATCAAACCCTTATCAAACACTTCATATCACATATTCGCAGCAGTTAGTAACCTGCACACACCCACAGACAGACCAACACCAGGGTTGGCATTTTTGCCGGCAAAAACTAGTTTATGCCATTTGCCGGTTTAAACCGGTTTAAACCGGCAAAAAGTGGCAAAAACTGGCAAAAACTCAAAACTATTACAATGATTTGCCTAGACATGCATATGAATTGGAAACATTCTAAGGGGGATTCAGTGAAAGTTATATGCTTTCAAAAAGAAGTGACATATTGACCACTCGACCAGTGTTTCTTCATACAATAAAAACATTTTCATGGGCTTCCCGCTTTCCATTAGTAACCAGTACGTCTTTTTGGGGCGACAAATGAGCCAGTGCAAGAGTGCACTGGCACTGCACATGCAGAAGCGCGAAGGGATGCCTGCCACTGATTTGTGCACGTGACGGCACCCATACTCACTGGTTCCTAACGGTATTAGTACCAAATTTGAGCTCAATCGACGCAGCCGTTCTTGATAACTGGAAGTGTCGTCCCACACGTGCGCTCGTAGAAAGTTGACCCCGACTGACTTATCTGCGACACCCATACTAATCTGTCTGTAACGGTGTTCCAAATTTGAGCGCAATCGGCAGAGCCATTCTCGAGATCTGGTCGAAAGCGACCCCTGCACAGTGCACGTGTGCACCTGCAGTAGGCAGCACCCTAACCGTGATGCATGGAAATGCCAAGATTCTTCGGAAATGCATTGTCTGACGGATGTCTACCGACATGCATAGACATTGCAGCCCGGGTAGCTAATGGGGCAAACTTCAGAATGGTTAGCGCGTCTCTTAAACATCCAGAAAGGCATTTGTACATTTCAAATCAATTGCTAACCAGAAAGGTTGCAAGTCTTGACTACCTGAGTTTTTGCCAGTTTTTGCCAGTTTTTGCCACCAGGGTTTCTGCCAGCCGGTTTAAACCGGTTAAAACCACTGGCAAAAACCAGTTTTTGCCACCCCTTGCCAACCCTGACCAACACATTGCCCAACCAACCGATCAACCAGCCAGCCCACCGACCCTCCTCCAGACCCACCTTGGAGCCGTCCTTGATGTTGAACACCCTGATGACGGTGCCCTTCTCCGAGGCAGTCGCCACCTGAGTTCCCGCCACGCTGAACGCCACGGCTGCTACCGGCGAGTCGTGAGCCGGCAGCATCGTCTTCGCTTGCTGAAACGGCATAGTGAGTAGAGAGGTCAATAGGGATTACAGAAGTGCAACTAAGAGGCTATTAGGGCTTATAAGAGCTCACGTTATGCAGGGTCATCATCCATGGGGGATGCTAGATTAGGGATATGACACTCTATGTAGTAATCTTTGTGCAGTGAACTTTCGGCGATGCTGAAAGTGATCACTGACTAAGGTAGGACGTAGCTATTCAGCCATAATACTAATTCCCCGAGAGCCGTCGTCCATCATTGCCTGTCCGACATGACATCATCCGTCTGAAGTCAACATCCTCCGAATTCTCGTCCAGGGGAGAGGCGCCCCTCCAGATCCCTGGCCAGGTGAATGCCGTCCCTTCACTCCCCTCCCCACCCACAAACATACTGACCAGGTTGAGCGCGTCGAACACCTGCAGTTCGCCGATGGTGGCACTGCCCGGGTAGGCCAGGTAGCTAAGGTCGCTGTTCACACTGAGCGCGCACACGCCGCGCGGGTTGGCGGGCGTATCGCGAATGGTGTGAATCAGCTTCATGTCTCGGATGTTGTGGATGTAGAGAGATTCCTCCAGGCAGACCACCAGACGCTGTAACGGATAGGACGCCATTAGAAGTCGCATACGGGACAGCTCATAGTCAGTAGACGACGCTCAATACGGGATAGGACACCGTCAATTAGCACTGTGAGGGAGATAGGATCGTCATCAGACGCTGTAGAGAACAGGATGTCCGTCACAGGGTTGCAACTGTCAGTCATTTGCAAATGGCCCTACAAAACACGTACCGTGTCATATAATATTCCGAATAACGAACAATACAAAGAACAGAATATCGTGGATAAGTAAGGAAAAACTAAAACAGACAACGTGAGCACCAACCGAAACAGCGTCATGATTACAAACAGGTGTTACAGGCACATCATAAAGAATGCGGCAAAAACTCGGCATTGTCCATCGCAGAGCATCAAGCTAAAAACACTTCGAAGGAATGGTAGTGACAAAAAGACGCGCCATTCGTGACCAATCCTACAAAGAGATGCACCATTCGTGACCTATCCTATGTGGGTGAAGTTCACAGTACGACAGCGACAAGACGAACAGAGCAGATGACAGGTCTACTGCATTTAACGTCATCATGCAAAGTTCTGCTGAGCTGATCACGCAGAGTTCTTCAGAGCATTTTAAACTAACATATATTTAAACGGACAACTCTATACATCGCGTGGACGCCTTTCGTCAACCAGACTTAAATAGCTCCGATATATAAAGAAAGTAATGGATACAAAGGCGCAAATACAAATGCCGACGCAAATACAACGAGATGAATTGACTTATTCGTTTCAATACCAAAATCAATGTGCACATCATTATACCACACCACTGCTTTATATTCGCGCTCTATACCCTTCCCACATAAGCTAGTCATACCCCGCTTTGTATCATCCCGTAATACCCTCCGATGAACGATACCTCAGCTATCGGCGATCATCACCTCACGTCTCCACACACGGCACCCCACCCGTCCGATACTCACCGCCCGATTGAGTCGTACCGCCACGATGGTGTTGGTGTAGTCATACTCGCACACTTTGGTGCCCTTCTTGAAGTGGCAAACCTGGAGCCTGCGCGGCAGCGCCTGAGTGACCAGGGTGACCAGACTGCTGGAGAAGAGACGCTCTACGATCAGCACGTCGCCGATCTCTGAGGGAGGGAGAGAGACGGGCGGTTAGAGGGTGGGGGCGAACGATAGGTCAGACTCACTGCCGCATCCCTCAGGGTGTGTATGTGTGTGTGTGTGGGAGGGGGGATAAAAAGACTGCCATAGAGCCCGACTGTGTTGGCCTATCGATGACAGCTACTGCTCTATCAAACACACCCAAGTCTCAAGAGCTGGTTGTGTACCGGCCGGAGAGCAGGACTGATAGAGTTGGGTGATTGGAGGTGATAAGGCTGACCGACAGTGACACCAATCAGGTGTGGAGGAGAGGGGTAAGGGGTAGGGAACTGGTCGCAGCGGTGCAGGGGCTGATGCAACAAAATGTAATATACATATGTGTGTATATAATTACACAAATATGTAATGTGTGGCAGGCATGTGCAGTGTTCAGAAAAGATGCTGAGAGTGTTGAGAAGTGGAATGAGTCTACCAGACTCGTCCCACTTGTTCACCATATCCAGTGCAGAGTATAAGATCTGTCTTAACTTTCATCCCCCAGCCTGTGGAGGGGGGATTTCTCCCCCCCCCCCCACCACCAACTCCACTGGCGCCGTGGGGTCTGCAGTGAAACTCCCGGCTCCCAACTTGAAGTCCGCACAATAATCTGCTCAGCTACCACGCAACAAAGGCTGACTTATGCGGTCGCCAAATCCAGTCGACACCGGCTTCGAAACGTCTAAGATCGATGCGGCAACAGAGTGGTGGCGAGACCGGCCGATCGATTAACCAAACTAGCCGGCGCAGCGGCGTGGCAGACCGCGACACACCTGAAAATACAGCCGCAATTCATCTAGAGTTCAGAGCATTAGCCAGAAACACATGGTTATGTAATTAGCACAATTGCTTTGCCGTCTTGATACGCTGCAATGTATACAGGTACTCCGGTACTCCCGAAAATAAGACAAAATGGTCATGAAATTCGAAAAAATAACTTCCCGAAACGCTGCAACAACCGTAAATGAATGAAGCGATGTTCCAATGAATGCAATGAATTGCGCATCATGGACATTTCGGTCTGAAATCTGACCCAAAGTTGCTCAATACAAATATCAATGTCAGAAAGCTGGCAAACCCGTTCTGCAGCTGGCGTAACAACATCGGTTCGAGACGCGGCCGAAACGGCGTAACCGCTCAATCAGCTCCCAGAGTCGCCCAGAATTCAGAAATGACCATGAAGCACAGCTGATCTGCACGAATCACGATCATTGCATTCGGCCTGCGATAGCGCCCAAGAGGAGCTTCTTTGTCGGCCAAGGCGTAAGGTAGCTAGATCACAGCGTGAGGCGAACGCCACACCAGGTGGCAACAAGGAACGCAGCAGCAGCGGCACGAACGGTGCCAACGGCATTGGGATAGGCAAAAACCACCAGAAAAACACAACCCACCCACACACTGGGAGAAACTTTGATTTATCACCAAGGAAGGCAGACCTTCGTGCAAAAAAGGACCGCCACGGGACACGGGCCAATTTCAGCCATCCTTGGGCTCAGGGTCGGTGCCGGTTCCTCACTGGCGATTGCTAGGCAAAGGCGGATCAAGACGATTGCTCGTCACATCGTATGGCTAAGACAAATGCTTTCCAGAGAAGTAGTTCTGGTATGCCGTCAAGTCGTAAACGTAATACTATTGTCATGTCCTCAGATGGCCTGAAGTGACGTCGACGACACACTACGCTAGTCCTCCACCAAAACCAGCCAGGCAATCCACGTTCGACAAATTAAGTTCAGGCATAGCGATCGCCACCGCGTGCCCTTTCGAAAATAAATAGGGATGACAGTCCTTCCAACCTCGGCTACAGCTGCTAGCCTAACCAGTTGACTCATTCAAGTAGGTATTCCACACCTACGACTTAACAGGTAAAATACGCAAAACTGGCTACTGTCAGCCATATACGTTGTCGACCTGCTCAATTTTTGTTCAGTTATAACCGGTATGACAACCAGAGATGTCACTCCCCCACGCACACGCCTCCCCTCCCCTAAACCCTCCCCTCCTCCCAAGACCGGTCAAAACTAGACCGCGACCGTTTCAGGAAACGGGCCAGTGACAAGAGCGACCTTGTACCGTTGTCTCGGGGGCGTAGTGCGCTCCGATTATTGGAAGACGGTGGAGGGATAATGGGTTCGTTGAGGGAAAAGTGGACTTCCAAACTTGTCACGCAGCACATTGTGCGACGACAGTTCAAAGGGTTCAGGAATTTATCAAGAGAGTAATGGATTTAATTCATTAGCGAATCAATGCAGAATCGGCTTAGCAGTTAGCACCTGCCTCAGAATTCTACATCAATTTTGTTTTTGGCGAATGGCGATGACTATGGGCTAGTGCGCATCATAAACTACGCACAAAGCGGTACAGAAGAAGCCACCGAATAACGCAGTAGATTACCGGACATCACCGGAAAGCCCAAGGTCGTAGAACTGACAGTAAATTCCTGGCCTTGTAGGGAGGAGAAGCAGCTGCCGCGCCCAACAGCCGGACGCGTTAGATTTAATCATCATCGGGTTCAAGCTCGGGGCTCAGGCACAGTTTTTCTGCTAGGCATCCTTTGAGACCATGGCAACCTCAGTTACGATACGGAGACAAAGAAAGGCGGCTGATGAACCTTAATCACCTCAAATCACCCAAATGTTTAAAGTAAATAAGTGCGGTTAAATGGGCTACTCAGGCAGTAAATGAACCACTGACAATCCAACCTAGACATGTCCCTCGCACCTTTCGCTTCACTAATTCACGCCTACCTCGCCGCACTTCTCATCACAACTCCTCCGGAACGTCGTCTTTCTACGCTGACGCACCATGACTCATCACAGAGTGGCGACAAAGCTGCGAAAGAGCCTAGAAGCTGTTTTAAACAAGCTTCATCTGTCGCTCGCCTGGCTTGTATGGAAACGGTATCAACAGACAGACTGAGGTCTCAGACATGACAGCAGACTACAGCGAACTCCCGATGGGTTCATATGAATATACATCGGACCGTAGCTCGTTCATATCAATGCCGGCCGGACACTGCACTATTTACGTTCTTCATGATCCAAGGCCCACATGACCCTGTTCGGAACATGAACTACCCATCTGATCATATGCCGAACCTAGGTCCGTCTCTAAATTTACATTTGTCGATCGGTTCATACCAGTTCATCCGACTGCTGGTCCGACCATTCACCATGGAACGTCTGTTGAACTGTTGGTAAGGTCATCATTTGTTTACATACAAGCTGCACCTGTTGGTAGGGTAGGGCCATTGACATTTGACCGTGCCCACAAGTCCACCCCACAAGTCCCGTTGACAGGGGGGAGCGACGTCCTGTCAGGGAGGGGGAACAGTTACACACAATCGATATGAGCCAGCGTCGGAGGTGATGTTACACCACCCCAGCCAAATGAATGTTTGTGCGTCTGTCAGTTGCCCACCTCTGACTTTGTTTGTCAGCATTTGTTTTTACGGTAGGTAACTGGCGAGTGGTTATACCTGCCACCTATAACAAGTATTTATACGCGTCTGTTATTAGTGTTTTAGGGCGTGCCGACACCAAGGTCATTCTGCCCGTATGTGTACGTACGGCTGCGAGTTTGTTGCAGGGAGCGGCGGCCACCGAGATAGACACGCATCAACCCCGCCCCGCGTGAGAGAGACACATCCGGTAGCCCCGACGTGCTAGCGTGCAGCGCCGCTCGGAACGGGTGGATCGCACCCTCACTGGCCGAACGGAACAAACGTGACCGTATGATGGCTCGCATACCAACTGACTGAGCAGGGCAGGCACTGTGGCCGTGATGGCGCACTGTAAGACAAAGTATCGCTGACTGTCCTATGCTATGCAATGCCAATATGACGTCCTAAATACTTCACCATGGATTGTAACGCCGATTCTGGGCGGTTGGACTTCATTAACACTGGTTTCAGTTGAAAATTGGTCAAATAAATCCTTAGCACTCAGCCAGAACACTCAGCCATTCACAAACTCTCAGTGATGTATGGATGCATGGACTGCATGGCATGGCACACAAACTTCGTATGGATTACTTTGGGACATTGAAACACCAATATTGCACAGCAGCTGTGGCACTGTTCTTGTGGTACCTACAGCTTCTGATTGAAAATTGAACACAGGAACATTGAACAGCCAAATAGATCACACCTTTAGCTTTGGTGAAATTTAAAGTTCAGAATCTTGAGTGCTTACTTGGTACCTGCCTTGATAAGGGCTGTAGCATAAGATTAAAGTGCAGAGCACTGCAGTGTATGGTTTCTCTTTGGACAAAGGGAAGTGGTGTTTGTGTGGTTTGCTAACACAAAATCAATGATAAAAGCATAACACTGGAAAGAGATTGACCATTTCTGGCAATAAGGGCTAAGACAGGACAAGCAGATGTTGCCCAGGGTTTCCTCTTCATATAGGTGTCTGTTCAGCACAATACACACAACTGTCTGTTGTCTACAATTACTCTACAGTCTGTCAATAGTTCTCTCTCTCTTTATCTGGATCTAGTACACTGGCTTGAGTGTCAGCTGTGACCTGTCTGAAGTGGAAGTATGTTCTATATTGACTCTAGTTTGCATGTAACACTGTTGTCTGTAGTCTGTCTGTGGTTCACTGTTCTCTTTTGTCTGTTGCCTGTATGCAGAACACTGTTGCCTGCAGACTGCAGCCTCCCTTCGGTGCACAAGTATGCTGTCTGCAGTCTGTCTGTAGAACACAACTGACATATTGCTATTTGCTAGCATATGACTTATCATTGTTTCATGCACGGATGCACCCATTCTGATTCACAAGCTCACTGCTGCAAAGGAGGGGATGCACTCAAACTCATAGTACTCACCGACTTCATAGATTTGCTCAATTTTGTCTATGCTGTTGATGGTGAACAGGCGATATCCCATATGTGTTCCAACGGCCAATGAGCTGAAATCAGAAAAGGATTCGATATCATGCCAATTATCAGTCATCATCTAAGCAAGGGTGTCAATTACCAACAAAGGCACACTGGGGGGGGGGGGGAAGACGAGGCAAAAATACACTGAAAAATGAATGACAGTTGAAAAGTCTGTAAAACCTTACCTGTAATCCTGATTGAAGTTGACGAAGCGAACAGATGCCACCCCGGCACTGACTGTTGGCTGATCATCACCAACATTTCCAGGATTCATTTCTGCCGCCTTATTCTTACTTTCAAGAAACAAAATGTTCGTATTTACTTATTGAGAGCTATTCAATTGCAGCAATGGATCACTAAAAGTAAAAACCACAGCCAGATTGAAATGACGACGCACTACGCAGATCAAAATAGACATCAAATGGTTTGCCTTTCGCGTCAAGTTTGGATGACGTGCAAATTATTCAGCAAATGACGAAAGAGCAGGCGCACCTCACACGGCCTGAGACAACTACAAAGTGCTAAATTCTATTGTTTATCACATATCTTCTCACAGAACAACACCTTCCATTGCGTAATTCAGCTGACTGACTTTCTTTTGTTTACATTTGGTAGCTGTTAAACGAGAATGCTTTTGAAGTTTTTCTTCAATAATTCCTTCATTGGTCATTTTTTATATGTTCTTTTACATTTTTTTTTCAAATCAAAGCACTATTTGAAGCGTGTGATATGTCCTAATATCAATCTTTACCATAATAAAGGTAACATATTTTTACAAAATATCAACTGAAGCTCTAACTAACTATTTAATTCGATACAAGTAAAGTAATTCCTGGACTTGATGAATATGTCACAAAACCGTCTCATATGTCTACAAAATTGACAATGCAAATGCTGCCATATTGACATCTTCTCTGTGTGCGTTTTTTATTCGCAAATGTTTACCTACATGTCTATATTGATATTATTCGTGAATTGAAATAGCGGCTACCGCTTTGAGTTTCATCGACGTGGCCGAGACCAAGGCCGCCGAGACAGTGAGGCTACGCTAAGAAACCATTTGGCTGCCTGAGTCGCGAGTATCAAAGCTTTTGCATTGTATTGCATTTTTACAACTTAAGGCATTCAAGAATCAACCATGCTTAGGTCATCATCTTCGATATTCGACAAACTCCTCGGTAGGTTAAGTAGGCCATGGTTAAGTATATAACATTTGAAATAAGTGATTTAAATGAAACTCCCATGCTCATTCCTGCATAATGATATGTAACAACAATATTGACGGCCTGAGGGCTTAATCGGGCTTAATTTGTTGAGGAGCGTCATTGGTTTGCTGGTTGATGGCATATCTGGCACCCCATACAAGTTCTCTGTGTGATTTTTTTTGTATGAATTTGATGTATTGCAGGTAGATGGTGGCACACTTCTCTTGGGACTGTGCCAGAGGGTCATCGGACTCCTCACCATTTAACAGGATAACAACCTGGCCAACTGGCCTGTGCTTCCCGATCCAGCATCCTGATCCTGAACCTATTTGCCACTGGCTTACCAGTTGGCCACTGTACTGTCTTGGCCACAAGGCCAAATATGTACATAGTTTGCCAAATAAAGATTTATGTGTGGTGACCATGACCCTTTGGCCTTCCTTGCCAGCTCAAGAGTGTGGCTGTCCAGACCTTGTACTGCCACTGAGTCATAAGCACATTGGGCGCCAGCCTCCATTTCCACTTAGCTGAGCCACAAGGAACTGTCCTAGTAGATAAGCTACAGACAATTTAACCTATTAGATATATATTAAATGGGTCCTTAGTCCACTCCTGAGCCCTGAATATCTGGCTCATTGGTGCTTTTATATAGGTAGGTACCTATTTAAAAAGGCTGCTCATTAGAAAAGGAATTGAAATTAGTTATCCACTCAATTAGGTGCAACAAGGGCAAAATAATTCAAGCTGTGTGTCATCTGTTTCAGAGAAGGCCACTAGTCATCTGCTTCTGGAGCCTGACTGGTCAGCCAACCTAGCCATCTGTGACCACATCAGACAGGGTGATGTCCAGTAAGTAGACTGAACATGCTGGCTAGCATGTTGCCATGGCTGGAGTGCAACTTGCAGAGAACATCTGGAGAATACACAGATACGTTTACAGAGTCCACTTACCATGACCAATCAAACCCACTAAGCTCAGCAGCCAACTGAACACCATGACAGTTAATAGCCAGCTGAAGCTACTGGATAGCGATTTGTCTACTGAACCCACAGAGACAGCAGTTCTATTAGATATAGCCACTGAATCCCACAGTCACAGAGTGGGGCTGCTCAATAGCAAGTCAGCATTATTGGTGCGGATAGGTGACTTTAGTTCAATTATTTGAAAAGATACTTCTCTGTTATGTCATTGCCACAGCCATTGCTCTGAATTAATTGCTTTTCCAACTCATCGGCAGTTTGGCACCCCAGTTTGAATAACGGAAACTGAATAAAACCTACGGAAACAGTAGGTAGCTGAATAAAAGACTTTTGGAAAGGGAGGAACAAAGTAGTGAAGTGATAATATAATGGAGAGGAGCTGGTCCGTTCAACTTGTTTTTAATGACCAATCTGTTCCCCGATGCCAGGAATGAATGAGAGAATGGAAAAAATGATTGTGCACACCTAAGCTAGCAGACGAGTTCAAGGTGCAGTTGGTTACCTAAGCCCACTGGCACACACCAGATGGTTTATGTTTTATGAAGGCTGGCCTGTCACGGGACCTGGGCCCCTTCACTTCATTATCTAACCTGTTCGACCCCACCAGGGCCAAGTACGCCGTGCTCGCCACCAAGAAGAGGCTCTACCATGAGAATCCGCACGTGGCCGTGCTCGCCCTGTGTGTGCTCGAGGCTATGGTGAAAAACTGTGGATCATCGGTTCATGATGAGGTGAGCCATGCGACGGTGCTGGCGGCATAGGCTCTTGTTGACAGTAGTTCTGAGTGAAATAAGCGATCTTGTCGGCTGTCGCCATAAATATCGCTGAATTTGTCGAAGAGCCATTCTTTAAGATGATTTATCAATATGATAAGAGGCTTGTGCATTTGTTTGTTCCGTTATATCGTGCCCTATTACGACAGATTTTCAACACGTCAGTGGTTAGTTTACACCAGCATTATTGTGCCGAGCCGTACTCTGACGCACCCTTGTGCTTCCTTGTCGGCAGATCGGCCAGCTGGGCTTCATGCAGGAGATGCGGGAGCTGGTGGTGAAGGCGCCAGACATCGTCAAGGAGAAGCTGCTCGAGCTGCTGCAGACGTGGGCGTTCGCCTTCCGGCAGACGCCAAAGTACCGCGCCGTGCAGGTGGGTCTGCCAGTCAGGGCCGTTCAGACGCGGCCGGTCGTCCTCTACAAGCTTCGTCTGTCATTTTTGCACAGGCCGTGCCAGGGATCTACCGGTGCAGATTCGCTATTCATTTGATGCTGGATTTACCGCGGATATGACGGGCCCCAATGTCGGGCGACGGGCGTCGTATGCGCGTCTACTGACTATGAGACTATGAGACCGTCTAACCCAACACGATAGCCTCAGCTTTGCCAAATGTTCTCCAGCCAATGCTTTTTGTGAGCCGGTATTTACCGGAATAGACTCATAACTATATTTTACTGCTACTCAGTTAGAATCTGACAGTACTCCCACGAGTCATAGCCACCATCTCAGTAAATAACTGCTAGTTTTTGGTATTTGTCTGTTCCCTACTTCAGCGGACATCCGATGATGATGACCGTCGCAGACGGCCATCGACCGTTAGCGATCAATGACGGTGGCATATACTTTACTGATCAATCATGTATCTTATGGCGGTGACATTTTATTATCAATGGCGGTGGCAAACTAGAATGTTGACTGTTGAAGTGTTGAGGGTGACGTACAGGTACAGCACATTGAGGCTCCGTTGCGGTATGCATAAAACCTTTGCCGGGGTATGTGCATTCCGGAGGCAGCACTCAGTACTGTTCATGAGTCATACCCCGAATATGGGATCGTAGTAGTACCAGAATAAGATCCTATCCATTCGATGGCCGTTTGATAACGTAACTATCGTTTACGACTGGGGATGGTATGAGAGACTGTTGTCACTCGATATGAGAAGCCTCAGAGCAGCTGAGTGGGGGAGGAGGAGGGGGGGGGGGGTGATACCGCCCGGGCGGTCTGCCGATCTAGCCAGCTGACTGCCGACGCGTACCACCAGGCGAGCTGAACGGAGGCCTTCTTTTTTTAGTGTTATCGAAACAGAGGACGAACACGGTCCACTTGAGACTAGCTCGGAGACTCGTTGCAAAACATTTCAAACTAAAGCACATTAGGTATACTATTAGGCAATGCCCGGGCACTGATTTATCAGCACTTGGTTTGATCGTCGGCGCGGCGTGTTGGGAGGTCGTGCGATACCACCCATGTGCCGGGCCGGTCCTCGATCGATTTAGGCGGGGTAGGCGGGAGCATTGTGGGGCGGCCGACCGACCGAGACCCACCGACCGACGAGTGCCGACAGTACCGCGGCCGGGGCTTCAGTGTAGGCGGCCGCCTGTCACCAGAGCGGCCGTCTGCCCGTGAGCGGTGGGGCCCGTCCGATAGTGCCGCGTAACTTGGTGGGTGACGTGGGGGAGGCGGCGACAGTGACTGGGGGAAGGGGCCGTTGCCAAATACATATAGTGGATCTTTCAGTCAGTCTGACAGTTGCAGTATATGTGGGATTAGTTATTGTTTCATCTGAGGGCTATGCTAGCACATGTTTCATGTTTTTACTTGACTGCCTGTCACATTGATATGTACAGGGTGTCCAGAAAAAACGGATACTATTATTTTTTGCTGTAATTTCGAAAATAAGCACCTTACATTTTAAAATGACACATGCTTGTATTCGCCAAAATATGGCAAAACAGACAGCAGGTGCCACATGGCATGTAAACTCTTTGGTTAGTTGCGGCAGCTCCTCAAAGCAGATACTCAATGTGAGCGGCCTTACGGCGGATCAGCTCCAGCACTAGCACAGTCTGCAGGTGACTGATGGTCATGTTGACCATCTCGGAGGGCAAGCAGACAAATTTCCAACGACGCATTACAGTGCTCATGAGTTTTGCCAAATCTTGCACTATAAGCACATGAATTTGGAACAAAATCGGCACGTGCGTTAATGAATGCGACTTAATTTCCGTAGTATCTTTTTTTCTGGACACCCTGTATAAGTGCACCCGCGAATCGTGGCGGTCGATATCCCTGTCTCCCCACCGTGCCATATACCATTCCCAAACGTTCCGTATCGCACCATTCTTCATCTGAATCGCTATCGCACTGTATCCAACGCTCCAACGTACGGTACTCAACTCCCTATCGTACTTTATGAACTGTATACGTACCGTACCTAACTCCGCACCGTATTATTTCTAACTCTCACGGTACCCGTGCTCCCCCCCCCCCCCTCCTCAGGACACGGTACGTGTGATGCGTGCCGAGGGGTACAAGTTCCCCACGCTGCGAGAGTCGGACGCCATGTTTTCGTCGGAAACGGCACCGGAGTGGGCGGATGGGGAGGTGTGCCACCGGTGCCGCGACCCCTTCAGCACATTTACCAGGAAGGTAGGTGTCTAACTTCACCAAGAGGTTAGCTCCACCCTCACCAGGAGGGTAGGTTAACCCTCGCTAGGAAGGTAGGTGTCTAATTTTACCTAGAGGGTAGCTCCACGTTCACCAGCAGGGTAGGTTTACACTTACTGGAAGGTTGGGTCGCTGGTAGATCGCTCCAGTGGTAAACATCTGCTGCTGCTGCCACCAGGGCCGTGGTCCTGGAATGGCTGACGATTCTGTGCGGAGTTAGCGGGAAATCGGCTGATAAATCTGCATCATAACAATCCTGTCATAACGCTACAAAGTAACGATGCGCTTCATACGTGGATGAACTGTATCGCTGGAGTTATTAAATCGTATTTTTCATAATCGTGTTTCGTAGTCGGCCCATTACGTAGCGTTACTCCGAAGCTTGTTCTGTCGTTCTGACCCTTCCCTTTTCTCGTGTTCTCCTCTGACAGCATCACTGCCGCGCCTGCGGTCAAGTGTTCTGCAGCAAGTGCTCCTCCAAGACGTCCAACATTCCCAAGTTCGGCATCGAGCGAGAGGTTCGCGTCTGCGACTCTTGTTTCGAGCAAATCAACAGGTGGGTGTTGATTGTTGACAGGAACTAATGCTTAGAGGAATGATCCACGCTTAGCGTCATCATAAATTCAGTCGCTTTGCTTGAATGGCTAGTGTTGCTTACTTTGCTGGCGAAAACTTGTCATGCTGAGTGGATGGCTTATTTTGCGGTTAATTTCGAGGATTGGTATTGTTCCCTCGGCTTCCCACTGACTGGAATTTGTGAGTCTACATATACGACATAGTACCCGGGGATTGTGTTGTACCACCATGTCAGTCTAGATTGTGTGACACCGTGCCCGGGGAAAGCCGACAAAATAATTGAGAGGGGTAACGTGACGCAATGCCTCTGGAGACGTGTCTGAGTAACCCGCCGCTCTAGTTAAGCCCTGCGCCATGGACGAAGGAATGTGTGTTTTATCCATGCCTGCGCTTAAATCTGACCTGTGCATACCTTCACAGACCGGGCGGTGGCAGTGGCGGCGGCCCATCGCCCAAGAACAAGCCGGCCGCCTCGTCCACGACTGAGTCGGACCTTCCTCCTGAGTACCTGGCCAGCCCGCTGTCTAAACAGAGTCAGGTACGGAGACGCAGACCGCGGTACCTAAAGGTTGCTCTGGTGTGTATAGTGGGTACGCGAGTCCTGTCTTATTATGGTTATCATGGATGAGTGGTATAAATATGACTGACAATTTTTATGGTCGAGCGTATGCGGTACGGGCTATTTTTTTTTTTTTAACAAATACAGGAATAGTTACGGTTTGTTCTTACCAGCTGTATGACGCGAAGATGTTTGATTCCAATTGGTGAACGTTTGACAGATGATACGGCTTTTGAGGGTATAGATAAAGAATAAAGATACTGTTTATTGGTTCCTTGTATCTTGAATATGTTTCAATGCTAACTTGAGAGACATTATAACAAATAGTAAGAAAACTAGGGTGACCCGCGTGCTCCGCAACGCGAAAAGGGATATTTTCGATCGGCGGGTGTTCGGTTGTTCTTGTGTCGGTTGGGTTATCTATCCATTTCGGTCGATTGCTTTTTGACGGCTAAACGTTTTGGTTTGTGGAAAAAATATCCACCGCATCGAGGTGCCCGTGTCTGATAAGCATGCTTTCCACTTCAGAATCTGTCAAATGTGCTTTATAATTTAGGCGCGTAGTTTTATGACAAATTAAAGGCGTAGATAATTTTCACTAAAAATCGTTTTGCAGAGGTTTGAAACATTTATATTTTTAAGAATACTGTTGCTTGTCATGCAAACGTGATGATTGGATCTTGGAGAGAATTGAATGCTCTTTCCAATGATAGCATTTTCAATTGTCAAACGTATCAGGTTAACCCGCGCCCTGCTGGGGGGGGGGGTGTTTGAACACCCCCCCCCCCTGTGGTTTTTCGCGAATATCTCAAAAACGGCGGCGCGGAGCGCCGCCGTTTTTGGTATACCTTATCATACATCAATTCTACACATGTTGTGAAAATTTCAGACCAAGGTCATTCAAGGTCAGGTCACCAGGTCACTTGAAGTGACCTCACCTCATAAAAAGTTTCAATGTCTGTCATAGCTACACCGAGTGACCGATCGCTTTGAAACTTTCAGCGATTGCTAAGAGCAATAGCATGTACAAAATGTATATCTCAGAATTTTGATATCGATGACCTAAGGTCAGGTCAATTTTGCGACCTCCCCATTATAAGTCAATGGGAGAAAATTGAAATGCGCCTCTTTTGGACGAAAGACATTATAAACACTCCCAAACACTGAATTACAAGTGGTTTAGACACACTGAACATGAAAATGGTGTCCGTGACCCCTGTTTATGCCCTGAGGTCATCTTAGGTCACGAATAGTATCTAACAGTTTTTCGCAAATAACTTTTGATAGAGGCATGCTAGAGCGATGAAAACGCCTTAGATGTGTTCAGCTCGACGATACGGATCGACTGATATGCAACATGACCCTTTCCGGTCAGGTCATGACCTTGACCTGAGGTCAAATTTTCAAGTTGACCTTTCAAGGTCAAGTTATAGTTCATTCGATGCGTCTTGACGAGAGGAACACGATGCCGGTAAAAGTAAGCTCGTACAAGGCTTGAGTCAAAAGTTATTGCAGAAAAACTGTTTCCGAAAAAATCGGCTATTTTTGCAGTTTTTGCCCCCTGCAGGCAAAACCGTTGACGTTAGGTCAAATCTGAGGAAATTACTCAGAAAGGGCGTTAATAGGGCTATCGAATGCGCTTTTCCGCAGCGCTGTAGCTCTATTGGTTCCCGAGTTATGCGTTGGCTTCTTGGAAATTGTCGACATTCGACCTTGAAATCGGCGAAATTTTGCCTTCAATGACCTCTGGTGACCTGACCTTTGACCTGACCAAAAAATTGACCGAAGTGATTTCCTCATTATTTTTGACGCTCTTTCGAACGCCGCCTTCCGCGTGTCGCTACGTGGCCCAGGAGCCGAGTTAGAAGGGGGGGTGTTCAGACACCCCCCCCCCCAGCAGGGCGTGGAAATCCAGGACCCCCAGCCGGGCGCGGGTTAAGCAGCAAAATCCGTGTAATTATTTAGTGGCACATTTTGGACAAATACCATTTAATTCAGCGATTTTTTCCACATTGTTTTTGATCAATTAGCTTTTCACAATTTTTCCATGAGAGACGGTACATTTTTATTGCTAATAGGCGCTGTTTCAACTCATTCCGTCTGACGATCACCTGAAATTAATATAAATTCCAAAATCCGTCCAAAACGTCCATTTTTCAAAAGAAAGTGTCCTCCCGGTGCACGTGGCGCGTGCCAACCCCTGCACCGCACACCATTCGATAGCCCGTTTGATTCTCTACACGATGCTGTTTTCCCCGTACCGGTCGGGCCCACGGTTACCGAGATATTGCACCGGGACCGGATCCGTGTCGGGCAAATTTGGCTGTTTTCGCCCGTTTTTGCCAGCCGATTAATACATGTAAAGTCTATGACGCGAATTTGCACTTTTTGGGCACGCGCCACGCGCTCGCTATCGATCCGATCGAGCTGAGACCCATCAAAGGCACGTTGTCCATCCTTGTTCTATGAGTTGCGCAAACTTCAGCGCGGTAGGTGCAACGGTGTGACCTGTAACCCGCGCTACGTAGCACCATGTCGCGACCTTCGTAATAGACAGAAACTACGTCACCACAAATAGTAATATAGATTAACCTCACTCTCATTCTATCTAAAAGTAAATTCCGGATTCGAAATAAAACAAACTTTTTGAGAGTTTGTTTTACTCAAAAAGTTTGTTTTATTTCGAATCCGGAATTTACTTTTAGATAGAATGAGAGTGAGGTTAATTTTCTTACTATTTGTTCCTTGTATCGTTAGCATTACTAGATGCAACAATAATCCTTGTCATCGTGCGTCTCTCTACGTCACATGGGCGTCGGAAGACCGTCAGTTCTTAGCCGTGAGCGCTGTGACTATGCTCCCCCTGTTCACGTGTGTTCGTTGCGACAGGCCCCTCCGGCGCGGAAGTCTGAGGAGGAGCTGAAAGAAGAGGAGGAGCTGGCTCTGGCGCTGGCCATTTCCCAGTCGGAGGCAGAGGCCAAGGACAGAGAGGTACGACATCCCCTCCCCCCCCTCTCTCTCTCTCTCTCTCGCTCTCTCTCCCCCTACGCACACAAACACCATAGAAAGGTGGCAATACAATGCTGGATAGTCGACTTATCAAACCTAGCCCAGCTGAGCAGGTCAAACTGCAATACGTCAAGACCGTAACTTTGTGTGAGCGTCGAAACCTGTACGGCCAAAGCTCCAATACGCGATGTCACGCCGTCTCAACTGCGTCCCACTTACTGCGTCACAGATGACGTCACCGTTCGGCGTCATTTTCTCCACGCTCTGCCCGTCCGGGCGTGTATGAGTCATAGTGCTGAGTCATGGTATCAGACCTGTCCCAACTCGCTGCTCCGGGCCGGCCGCCGCTGAGCCGGGGCTGGTGTGGTGTGAACTGCGTGTCTGGAGTGCGATGTTGGGAATCTGTGACCGGCAGCGTGAGGGGGTGAGACGAAAATGGTGCTGTGGCATACTGGTACTGGTAGACGGCTATTTCATTTCAACTTTCGTGCAACTCCGCTAAATTTATCTCGGATGCCATGGTCTGAATATGTCCACGTGTACTTTATTTACGTGTACCTAAATTTTGTGATAATGTGTGGTGACCGCCGACCTGTCCTTTTGAAGGTGCTCTAGTCTGTTGTCCCTTTTCTGTGATTGTGCGGTGACCGCTGTCCAACTATGCCGTGCCCGCTGTCTCATCCTGTGGTCGCGGTTCCATTACTGTCCTGTGGTAATCTGTCGTGATTGTGTGCTTATCGTCGTCATTCGTCACTGCCCGAGCACATTGTTAATGGCTTCGTCACTGCCCAAGCACATTATTAATGGCTTTCTAACAATGCCACGAGCAGGTTTGTTTTTATTCAGTTGCTATTGACTACGACGTTTGATCTCGAAAAAGAATGGCGGTAACGACCATGCTGTGTGTAACTGGCCTTCATGCGCTTATGGTGACGTATAAGAGTATTCCTCCAGTAATACTGCGACCCATCCCATCGGGTCGTAGTGACACCGACACGACATTGTACGACGCCTCGGTGGTAACACAACAACCCAGTCCCACAGTACGACACTACAGTGACCGCTCTTCCCGTCTCTGTCCCGGCAGAAGGCGCGCGGCTCGCGGTCGTACGGCGGCAGCCCGGCCCCCACCAGCTCTGGGACTGGATCCGGGTCCGGTGGTGGTGGTGGCTCGCTGAAGTCGGCGATGAAGGTAGGTGGGCGGGTGGGGGCTCAGGTCTTCAGACTGGGTAGTGACGGTGAGTGTGGAAAATAAGGGATGGAAGGGCTTTAGACTTTGTGGGTTATCGGTTTTAGGCTATGGACTTGAGACCGTGAGTCGGCGTTGGGAGTTATTTCGCTCATAGAAGCTGTATTTTTGCTCTATTGTTTTGCATGCGGTAACTATTACTTTGATGTAATAATTTAATTAGTGATGTTTGATGAAGATATTATTTGTCGGAAGTTGGTCTCATTTTTGCCAATGTGTGTTGTGTCATTTCGGTGCACATTGAGCCTCAACTGTTGATCTATTGTTATTGATACTTCACTCCATTTCCGATAGCTCAGTCCAAGCCAACAGCTGCTGCTAGCACGTCCTTCTCTTTCCTCGCGCTGACCTCTTTATTGATCCCATTCTCTGACAGCCCATCTGTCCCCAGCGCGCTGATGCCGGCTCGGACCGCGACCCCGAGTCGGACCCGGAGCTGGCGCGCTACCTGAACCGCTCCTACTGGGAGGCACGCCAGGAGGAGCCCCGCTCCCCGCCCCCGTCCACAGCCGCCGCCGCGGTGTCCAGCTCGGCACCGGCCAGCACGAGCAGCCAGTCGCCGGCTACCGTCACAGCGGAGAGCGGCGGGACGGAGCCGAAAATGGTCAACGAGGTGAGGGAGGACGGGCTGGGGAGAGGAAATGGAGAACGGGATGAGAAGATGGGTCCTAAGCGGTTGTGTTCATACTGTACATATGTATCGAATGTGAAGACCATCGGGTCATGGACGCTGACTGATTGGGAAGGAAACGTGACTTTGAATAATTTGGTTATCACTGACCCGTATTTTGACACTAGCTGTAACACGATGCTAACTGTCTACTGCGTGATCTGCGCTACAGCCGTGTATCATTTCCTTTGATGTTGTTTCTTCTGTGTGGTCTGCAACATCCATGCGCCCAACACTTCGTGCCCCACACCTTATATCTTCTCTTAACCTGTCACTGACCTGTTGGCTCCTCTACTCCTTCAGACGTACCAGAACGGCGCCTCGGACCAGCAGTTGGACCAGTTCGTCGCCACCATCTGCTCCCAGCTGGAGATTTTCGTCAACCGGATGAAATCCAACTCGTCCCGCGGCCGACCGATCGCCAACGATTCATCGGTGCAGACACTGTTTATGAACATCACGGCTATGCACTCGCAGCTGCTGCATAATATTCAGCTACAGGACGACCAGCGGGGTGAGAGCGGGGAGAGGGATGTGAGAAACGGGCGACGGTTGGTGAGAAGGGTGGTGAGAGTGGTTGGAGGGAAGAGGACAATAGAGCGATGGGTGGATTTCAGCGATGGGAGGCGGCCGGTGAGCGATGGGTCGGTTAGAGCGTTCGGTGGAAAGAGAGCTGGGTGTGTCGCGGCCAGTGTGGAAACATGACGCTTATGCCTCCGTTCACTCATGTAGGACGAACATACGTGCTTATGACTGTTTCTATTTCATCACTACTGTATTCAATGGAACAGTGGCATTCTGGTTCTTCTGATGACCAGTTCAATATTCATTAAATTATGCAATACACCCAGTGTGTTGATACTCTTGTCGTCTCCATAATGATGTTCAAAATGATTGTCCGTGCTGAATGCTGACCTTTTTTATCTCATCCCCTGTCCACTCACAGTGCACTACGAGGGTCTGCAGGACCACCTGGCCCAGGTGCGAGACGCGCGCGCCGCGCTGGACGCCCTCCGCGAGGAGCACCGCGAGCGACTCAGACGAGAGGCCGAGGAGGCGCAGCGCCACAGACAGATGCAGATGATGCAGAAGCTGGAGATCATGAGGAAGAAGAAGCAGGAGTACCTGCAGGTGAGGATGATGAATGGGAAGGGAATCTTCTTACACCGTCATAGTGCGTCCAACATTCATTCTATTCTTGATCTCTTTACAGTACACTGTCCTCTGTGTTCTGATCCCTCCTTCTTCTCTCCAATCCATCCGCTATCTTCATTGTCTCCTCTGTCTCAGCTTCCCAGCCCGTTCTATCGTTCTTTGATGCCGCTGTGTGTCAGTTTCCTGAGAGTCCCCACCCGACCAAAATCTTTGTCCCTGGAGGTTCCTCTCAATCGTTAATATGTTCTTATATTCCATTGCTTGTGTCCTGCTGTGTGACCCCAGTTCCTGACCCGCCGTGTCTCCGCTCTCCAGTATCAGCGTCAGCTGGCGCTGCAGCGAATGCAGGAGCAGGAGCGAGAGATGGCCCGCCGTCAGGAGCAGCAGTACATGTGGTCGTACCCGCAGTACCAGGCGCCGTCGGCTCCCTGGGCTGGGCAGCACCCCGGGGGGCCCGGGCCGCAGCAGCCGCCGCCGCCGCCCCAGCAGCAGGGTCAGTGGGGAGGGGTGAGAGGGTTTCGCATCCAGAAAGTGGCTCAATAAGCTGCAGAGCTAGTCTTTTGCCCTTGTATGTAACGACAAAGCCAGTAGAAGGAAATGAACAGGGCGATAATTGCTCACAAAATCCTCAGTATTTGAAGTGCATTGTGATTCTGCTATTAGATCAGCTGATTTTCATCCCACCAGCTTGCATTTTACGCATGATCTTTGTTATTGAGCTAAATTTGGCATCAGGCTGCTAAATTAAGTGCTCACCTTTTACCATTTAGACTCGTCCTGCTATGGGCTCGTAGTCTAACCTGTCACCCCTCGTTTATCTCTGACGCACTTCCTCCCCCGTCGCGCAGGCTACGGCGCCCCGCCCCCGGAAGGATACGGCGCTCCGGACTCCTACGGACCTCCCACCGACTCATACGGACCCCCTACCGACTCTTACGGCCCTCCCGGCGACTCTTACGGCCCTCCTGGCGACTCTTACGGACCGCCGTCGGGCGGTGGCCGCGGCTACGGGCCGCCGATGGGCGGACCGCCTGGGGGCCCGCCGCACGGCTATTCGCCTTATAACATGCAGGCAGTGGGAGCAGCGCTGCCCGGCGGACCGCCTGGCGAGTATGGTGAGTAAGAGCGAGGTGTGGAGAGAATGGCGAGAAAAGTGACCACATTCGGATAGCTCATGTCACTAATTTGGGTTTATGATAATGACTGATTGATTATTTGGAAGCATGCGCTGTCTTTTTTTTACGTTTTGCATTCCTTGCATTCAAGCGTGACAGCAGGTTTTAGTTTTTTTTTTTATTTCTACGTTTGAACTTTTGCCCGGTCATTTTCGTTCGTTCGCTACTGGACTCTGTGGTGACATCGACACTGAACCGCCCGATGACATTTCTGACGGTGCTGTGCCCGTTTCCAGGTATGCCGCCGCAGGGATACGGTCCGAGCAGCGAGCCCAGCGGCGGGATGGGACAGGAGGCGCCCGGTCAGTCCCAGATGGGCTCACAGGGACAGCTGAACCAGATCCCGGGCCAGGGGGGTCACCCGGGACCCGCGGGCCCTCCTCAGCACGGTCAGAATATGGGCCCTCAGCAGGGCCAGATGGGCCCCCAACAGGGTCAACACGGTCAGATGGGCCCTCAGCACGGTCAGCAGGGTCAGATGGGCCCCCAGCAGGGCCAGATGGGCCCTCAGCAGGGCCCACCGGCGCCGGCCCCGGATGCCCCGGCGCTGATTTCGTTCGACTGAGCGTCCAACACCGCCCGCCGCCTCGGTCTGAGAATGATATGGCTGCACTGTGCGCAGTCTCCTGCCCATGCTGTGTTCGTATTCTTGCGGTAGGTGCCTAGAAAACGGGCTCATCGAAGTGGAAGCTAGCTGCCCTCCTTGCTTAATTATCAGACTACTCGTATGGAAGTGGTTCTTACTATAGGATTCGTAGAGTAGATGTATGGTTGGAATTATATGGAATATCAGTATCTTTATTTAATGTAGGCGCTTCTTGGTTCAGAACGTTCATCTTCAACTATCGTTTAAGATTTGGTGAAAGAACGGCATACGTTTCTTTGATTGTTCTACTTCTTCATTCAGAAAACGTCGGCTGATGTCAGGCTGTTCCTTGTGCAATTAAAGCCTTGTGTGGAAATGGTATGGCATCTGCTCATCGTGCCATAGCCTCGCGCTTTTGGGGAAAATGGTCTGGCGTTGGGAAGAAGTAACACTCTCGATTCTTTTATTCCAAATTTGCGTAACACTGGTCGTGAAGCGCTGACATCTATCGGCAGCGCGATTAGACAGGACATCACGTCGCTGCCACCAGAGTCGTCTTTTCGACCACCGCGTAGCACCAGCCCTGTCGATCTTAGTACAGGCGTTGTGTGTCTAGTGGAGCCGTCGTGCCCGGCCTTTGGAGGCTCTATATCCGTCTGCCGTCTCTGTATCATTCCCTGTTTCGTTTACGTCTATCGTCTCCGTCTTTTCCCATCTGTGTCCTATTGTGACGGTGATTAAAGCTTGTATATGCGGCACAAGTATTAGCGCTTGGAAAGAGATGCCCTATTGCGGTGAGGTGTATGTGTATTTCCCAGATTATCGGCTCAGGTGTGTTCACAGCGGCCAATATAAAAAGGCATCTGACAATGAAAAAGGCAATGAAAAAATGCAATGTAATTTGGGTACATCTGAGACGGTATTCGGTGCAACCACTCAGCTCAAACGCTGGCCTATCGCGTCGTTCATATTATGTAAAACGTATCCTTATTGTATTCTGCACTAATATATTTGGGTCGGCACGGCTTGTGTTTTCTGCTTCGGTACTATTTTGCAATGAGAGATGCGTTTGAAGAGAACCAGGAAGAAGATATTATTGTCAATTGCATTTCATTTTTCACATTTTTAACACATTTTTTTTGCATCTCATTTCATTTCTCATTTCATTTCATTACTGTATGCCTGGCCTATTCAAATACATTAGCCTTAGGGGTGTGGTAATAACTGGTGTAAGCCAGGGTGTAAGCAAGGTGACCACGGTCAAAAACGAATTACCAAGTCAACATTTTGGGATGTCCTCGTTCAAAAAACGGCTAATGCGTGGTTCACACCGGATCCGTAATGACGCCGTAACCGTTACGGACGTAATGAGCTAGAGATTTCTCAAGATTCCCCAAGCATTGTGACTTTTGTAGACGTAGTTGAAATGTGGCAACCAGTCGCCGTAAACTGGCAGCGTCCACCGTACTCGTTACGGAACGTAACAGAAGTTGGGAAAATTGAACTTTTCGGCTCGACCGGCCGCCGTAATGACTTTTATCGACATGTATCTCCAAAACGGTTTGACTGTTTGATGAGCGGTCTTCTTTGGGGAGGGGCTGCATCCTTTCTACCCTGAACTGTGCTATTGATATCACTCATGAGTGCCTGTTACAGCACGTGTCACGTGCGACGAGAGAGGTTCCAAAAGAGCTCGTCATAGCATAACTCGGGAACGGCTGAGTAGAAACGGTTCAATATTTGTTTGTTGTTTTGGCTGGGTGCACACTACACATCCCGTGACTTTAGGACGATTTCGAATTGCCTCAGCGCGTGCGCACGTGCGCACCCTTTTTTCACATCTCGGGATTGGCAGTGCCAATCGCGCCCATATTTGGTATGCTGAATGACATCATGTTTATATGTAAATTGCACAGGTTGACAAAAGCATTGATCTGCACGTGCGCACGTGCGTGCCCCTTTTTCATATCTGGGGATCGGCTGGGCCGATCGCGTTCATATTTGGTGTGCTGAATGACACCATGTACATATGAAGATTGAACAGATCGGCAAAGGCATTGATCTGCACGTGCGCGCGTGCGTACCCCTTTTTGGCATCTTGGGATCGGCTGGGCCGATAGCGCTCATATTAAGTATGCTGAATGACACCAAGTTTATTTGCAGATTGCACAGGTCAGCAAAAGCATTGATCTGCACGTGCGCACGTGCGCACCCCTTTTTCATATCTGGGGATCGGCTGGGCGGAAAGTGCTTATATCAAGTAAGCTGAATGATAACATGCTTAAATATGTAGAATTCACCAGTCGGCAAAGGTATTGATCGGCACGTGCGCACGTGCGCACCCCTTTTTCATATCTCGGGATTGGCTGGGCCGATAGCGCTCACATTTGGACTTTGGTATGCTGAATGACACCACGCATATAAAGTATGCAGATTGCAAAAGTCAGCAAGAGTATTGGTCGGCACATGCGCACGTGCCCACCCCTTCTCACATGTTGCGATTGATTGGGCTGGTCTGGGTAGCGGGTAGCGGTCTGCTCGTGTGCAAGTGCGGACCTTTCTACTTGAGAAAAAAAAATCGTATCAACTCGCCGACTGATTTTTAGGCATTATTTCATGTAGGTATGCCTTCAGTATGTCACAACCTACTTTGTATCTCTTGAGTGACGTACATAAAATTCATGTTCCGTAATTACATTTCACTCGTTTATTTAAAGATAACATTTCCTTCGTAGGCCTAGCCTAGCCCTAATCATGTAGGTATGTTACAGGTCAAGTTCAAAGTCCACAAAATAAATTCCAATACATAGATTCTCGTGCCACGTCTTTTATGCAGTTCTGAGTCAACTTCGCTGCCCATATTGCCCCTGCTAGACTTGATGCTTGGACGGACACTGCACCGCCTCTTCGCAAGCCAATTGAGCAAACTGTACGATGCGTACGTTGATCTTGCCCATGGATAGCAGCAATTCACGAGTGTAGAAAATGAACTTCAGCGTTGACCAGCATGGGCATGTTTTCTTGTTTATGCAAAAAAAGGATAAAAGATTCTCTGTATAGTATCATGCCCACAATTGTAGTTAATTAACAATGATATGCCTCCATACAATTATAAACCACTATGCAAAAGTGATAGGAATAAATTTAAAAAGAAGAGAGCAAAACCAATTAAAATTCTGACGCGCCGATATTAAGAAACAGCTCTTAGCTTTAGCCCATTTTTCGATTGTTTATAAGCAAAATAGTTTTGGCGCACTTGATTCGAAGGACGGCGCTCAACATGGCAATTCCCGGTGCACACCGAATCCGTAACGAATACGGCGTTACGTCGCCAAAAAATGGAACTACGCATGCGCGTTGCATTGTGCCCTCCACTTTCAAGATATTATTTAATCGCCGACGTATTCATTACGGCACGTAACGGTCATTACGGATCCGGTGTGAACCACGCATAAGAGCTTCGGTCCAGACAATTATTTTATCGTTGGCATACAGTAAAATACATACCAAACTCGGCCGGTGATGAATTTTCAAGACCTCAGTCCTTACTGATTTTTGAACTCGGCCTTCGGCCTCGTTCAAAAATTCAGTAAGAACCTCGGTCTTGAAAATTTATTTACACCGGCCTCGTTCACTGTTCAGTATTATATATTACACATTGCAGGGAAACATTCGAGTTAATGATGTATTTGTCGCCGATATTAGTTATGTATAAACACAAGTATTGCACAGAATCACCCTATCACTAGGATCCACCACCCTCCCCATCTTCGAGCCCAAAACATCTCAACCTTGCCTTCAAGGCGCGTCCCTTGCCGATGTTCCGCGGTACCGATAACTTCCGGCTGACGATATACGGTGGTTTGACGACTGCCTACGGTGCAATGGTGCCGCGGGTGCCTGTCATCATATTCTTAGTACCTAACTAACTCTTACCATCGCGAGAAGGGTGAGTAATTCTCTTTCATCAATCTATGCATACAAGACACAAAAAGCTTGAACACAATTTCCTCTTCCTGGCTAGCGGGAAATTCTATTTTAGAAGTAGGGTGGAACATTGGTGAAACTGTCCGCTAGTGAATTTATTTCTCAGAGCTCAGAAGTGGCACACGTGTCCACGGCTCCCTGGCTTCAATCGAACAATGGCGGCTGATCTGCCGCGTGACACTGACGCAATTGAGTGATGTTTCTTCTCCTCGACCTCCGTCACGTCTCAATGTCCCCGCCAGTCCGGTTTGCAGCGGGAAGCCGGTGCGCAGCCGGTAACACGCTCCTTCTGCTAATACGGATATGATGGATTAGGCCTGTTAACAGTCGAGTGGCAGTTTCTCCCAAAACGAGGACGGGTAACAGAGTGCAACGTGTGGTGTGATCACCGCTGGTGGTCCTGGGTTCCTGCAACAGAAGCATTAGATGATATGAAAAAAGTACTATTTCCAAGCAAGGTGGAATTTGAAATTATATTACATACATGTAGTGTCATACTCATATAACTATAAGGTGTCATCCCGCACCGAAGACAGTGTTAACAATTGCTTCACGTGATAAGAGAGTAAATCATCAGATGTCGTTTCACTGATTTGTTAAACGTCTAGACGATTAACAAGCTGTTAAACGTCTAATAGACATTTCGTGTAGTCTGAGTTTTGCCGTTTTTTATATAATATGTATTTTTTACCTTTAACCCTATTCCGGGCGGGGGGCCTTTAAGGCCCCCCCCCCTTCAGGCTTTTCTTGTGCCATTGCCAAACGCCGCAAGACTGAAAGCTCATACTCGGTGACTTTTTCTAAACATTCCTTGCGCACATTTTGACAAAAAAAGTTGCCGGGTCAGTTCAGGTCAGGTCACCAGAGGCGGTTTGGTGACCCACCTCAGAAAAGTTTGCAATCACGCCAGAGCTAGAGTTTTTGACCAACCAATTTCTTCTCTTCAGGTTTTAGTTAGGGTACCAGTGTGTGCAATTTGTGTATCTCTGAATTTTTATATCTGTGACCTGAGGTCATGCCAGACTCGTGACCTTTACATTGCAAGCCTATGAGAAAATATTGAAACGCCTCCTGCTTCGTGTAAACGAGTCAAAACCACCCAATTCTTTCAGTATTATGGAAGATTATCTCATCGGTGATGATCCTAGTGCCGCTAATTGACAGGGGCAACGGGAAAGGTCACCTGAGGTCATGTGACGTCATAAATCGTTTTTCTGTCAATAAATCACGACATGATGGTGCTAAAGACTTGTAAGTGGTACCAAACTGCTCGCCTGGTCTAGGCGCGTCGTTTGGTATGCAGCATGACCATACCCCACAGCCTCATTGATGAATGACCTGACCTTGACCTCGGGTCAAATTTCAAATTGACCTGTAAAGGTCATCGCATGCTTATTTCGCATCGCCTCGACGAGAGCAACAAAAAAATGTATTAATTTTATTTCTCTATGTTTATTAGTTTTAAAAGTTATATACGTAACTAACTGCAAAACATTTTATCGTTGATGACCTCTGGTGACCTCAATATTGACCTGAACTGAAAATGTTTTATGTAAAAGTTGTAGCTCTTTAAACGACCTATCAAACGCCGTTTGCCGTTTGTCGCTGCGATGTGTAGTTTTTGAGATCTGAAGGGGGGCCGAAAAGCCCCCCCCCCCGCCCAGAATCGAACCTTTCAGAGCCCGCCCGGAATTGGATTAAGCGCCCGAACCATATCGGCGGTACGGGATAAAATTATTAAACCGCCCATAGGTAGAAAAATATTTTAAACCCGGCAGTTGCTGGGGTCTTTTGCCACCTCCCGTTTGCTGATGGGGGGGGGGGTGGCGTTAAACGCCCCCAGCCGATAACTCGAGAGCCAATATGGGCGCAGCGAAACGCACCCGCACGAGACGGCAAACGGAAGAACGCGACGAGACGCTTCAGATGAGTACTTTAAAGTTGAATTTTGAGGCCACAGGTCGGGTCAAGGTCAGGTCAAACACCTCAAATCGGGCTTTCAGTAGCATGGACTTCAGAACCTCGCAATGGGTGTCTCTCGTCATAAACTCTGTCAAAACGGTGCACAAGCCTTCATATAAGGCCTACAAGAGCATCAGCTCCATGTAGGGGTCAGTCAAGCATAGGTCAGGGTCAAGGTCAGGTCAACCAGGTAGACACATATCCCCGAAAATCAAAACTGATATTCGCAGCCCGTGACACATGTTTTATGGGCAACTTTGGGCGTAAAACACGAAGGTGACACTCATTTTATCATATGTGTACGGTTTTGGTTAAAAAAGTTCAACTTAAGAAATGCATGTAGGTATCATGGTTGTGGAGTAGTCAAGAGAAATTGCCAAGATTCAGTTCAAGATTTTGGAAAATGCGGAACGATAATAGGTATAAAATCGAAGACAGCCATTTGATTGTACATGGTATTGGCAGTATGATGGCCTTACGGCATGTATGTATCTTTATTCTGTGATTTTATATGATTTTTTGAACATATGCCGTTTTTGGTTGAAAACTCAGAAATCATGAAGTCACTAAACTCTCGATATCTCAAAAGTTTTCCGACCGATTTTTTTTTTTTTGAAACTTTGTCACAATAAACTTCAATCAAAACCTTACAGGTACCCATAGGCGGCGGAACGGGGAGGGCACCGGGGCACCGTGCCCCCTTTGATTTTGGCATTTTAACATTAGCCCTATGGAAAGAAGGGGCTAACTAAGGGGCTAGTTGCATGGAAAGAATGGGACCAAAAGTCGGCAGTGCCCCCCCCCCCTCACTTGAAGGTGTTCCGCCGCTACTGCAGGTACCCAAATTTTCGCGCGCCTGCGGCGCGTCGTTTTTATGCTATAGCGCGGCGAAAAAAGTGTGGGCGTTTAACGCCCTCCCCCTCAGCAATTCGTGGGTTAAAAGATTTGTTCTACTTACTCGCGGTTTAACCCGCGCCCCACTGGGGGGGGGGGCTATTCATAGCCCCCCTCCCGTTTTTCTGCAATAACTTCCAAACCGCTTGACGTATCGACGCCAATCTTTCAGTACCTTCGGCTGCATCAGTTTGACACCTTGTGTCAAAATATGAAATTCGTAGCTACCATAGGTCGGCCGGAAATGACGTCAGAGTGACGTCACGTTCGGGCGATTTCGACGCAAAACATTGAACCACGGCAATCGCTCCCAAGAGCTCAGTTTTAAAGCTAGATCCAATTTCTTTGCATGAAAGGACTCAGAATAGACGGTGCTATCAAACTGATTTCTCGGATTTTCAAAATTTTGAAAATTTTGACAATTATATATAATAAAATTCAAAATCTATATTTTAATATTCTTTCAAAAACTTTTTGACTTTTCGAAAAAAGCGAAATATATATGATAGAACACATGCTTATGACTTACTCTAGCAAGTTTTAGCTAATAATCTTCAAAAATTGCAAAGTTATACGCATTATTGCAAAAAATTCACAATTATAATTTTTTTTTCAAATCAATTTGTCAGTACGTATTTGACATCGTATAGTTACACCGATATAAATAGCACCATCGTGTTCCTGAGCTCTTGTTCCTGAGAAATTTTCAGTACCTTCCTGGGCATCAATTTGACACCTTCACACAACATTTCAAGTCTTAGGTCACCTTAGGTCAGGAGTTATTAAGGTCAAACTGAGGTCATGTTCGAGCAAAAATGAGCAAAAAACATGCAATCTTTAAACGCTCACCAAATCTAGAGTTACCAAGCTATTTCAAAGTTCCTACTTCCTTATATGGTCATGTAGACAAAAAGTGGCACTACAAAACTGCTATCTCGGATTTTCAAAATTTTGGGCCCTCAAAAATTAAAAAAAAAATGATTTTTTTTAGAAAAACTAAAAAAAATCAAAAATTTTTACGAATTTCGAAAAACCGGAATATATGTGATAGTCCCTGCGCTCTTCTATATACATACCAAATTTTGGATCGATATATCCTTTTTTGCCCAAGTTATAGCGAAAAACTGCTTAAAATTGATGACGTCAAATTTTTGAACTCAATTTTTAGCACACAAAATTTTTAGCACTCTCGGATTTTCAAAATTTTGGGTTTTTAGCCCTCAAAAATTCAAAAAAATGATTTTTTTTTAGAAAAACTCAAAAAAAAAATTCAAAAATTTTTACGAATTTCGAAAAAACCGGAATATATGTGATAGTCCCTGCGCTCTTCTATATACATACTAAATTTTGGATCGATATATCCTTTTTTGCCCAAGTTATAGCGAAAAAACTGCTTAAAATTGATGACGTCAAATTTTTGAACTTTAGCAATTCTAGACCACGTAGCGCAAAACAAAGACCACCATTGAACTTCCCGTGACGAGCTGCATCGAATCGATACCCATTTTATGCAAAATATCAACTTTGAAATTTGACCTAATTTGACCTGACCTTGACCTGACCTTGACCTGACCTTCATCAGAACATAAGCTAAACTGACCCCAAAGGCTGCCTGACCCTGATAATCGTATTTGGCATATAAAATGGACCATAAAAATGCATCACTTACCTATTTTCATATTGTGACCCTCAGTGACCTGACCTCTGTGATCTGACCTGGTATCAGTGACCTCAAATAGCAAAATATGTGTTTAAAGAACATTTCCCCATCGATAATTTTCATTGAAATGCATTTTACTCGATTTTACAACGCATTTCTTGAAATATCTGTAAACTGTCTGGTGAAAGGTCTGGTGAAAATTCGACCTTTGACCTGCCCTGTGACGTCATTGGTTTGACCTAGGTCAATAAAATTGGTCACAAGGTAGTTCCCTGATGGGGCTATCCAACACCGTTTGCCGCTTGTCGCTAGGTTGCGTGGTTCTCGAGATCTTAGGGAGGGGGGGGGGCAAATTTCCCCCCCCCCAGCAGGGCGCGTTGCTCGGCAGACCCCAATGGGGCGCGGGTTAATGCACCATGAGGTACTGAAAGTTACACGTAGCTGGCCAGACGCGTTTGGAAGATAATAGCGAAACAAAGGGGGCAGATTCTGCTTCCGGCGCCTCATCCGTATCTTGGCAACTTCCGCGACTGCAAATTGTTAAAGGGACCCTCCCACCTTAACATTAGTTTTGAGTTGAGATAGCCAAATTGGTGGCCATGGCCTGAAAATACCGGTTTGGGCATTCACAACATCGAAAAATGCTTTAATTCGGAGATATGGAATTTCAAACTTGCAGTTTCCGGATTCTAAGGGGCTAATGCATTGGTATGCCCCCTTAGAATTTGTGACGTCAGCGGAGATCTAACGATTTTTAAATCTTTTACTAAAACGTTTGGCAGCACGCGGTGGTATATGCTGCTTTGCGCGCAACAAATGCCGCACTTTCAAATAAAGTCGCTAGGAACAGCGGAGATCCCAAAAAGTAAACAAAAGTAAAAGTCTAATATCTTGAAAACCGGTGAATATTTTTCGATGAAATTTGGTAGATATTCATTTTTGCTCTTTCTGAACCGAGCGACATCACTTTCATGCCAATTCATTTACTTTTTTGTAGGTGGGAGGGTCCCTTTAAGACAGCGACGTCATGAGCCGTTTGACTCAAGTACGGTAAACATTCCTGGAGCACACGCGTTCTTGAACTAATTATAATATCACATACCCTTCGATGGTGCAATGTGCACTGTGCAGTCCCTATTAGACGGCGTTGATGATAGCCTACACACCAATGTCTCTGCGGTGGGCAGTGGCAATCTCGTTAGAAAACCGGTGCTTCCGCTCTTATTCTTGTCACCGGTAGGAAGAGTGGTCAGACGAGTCTGGGGCAGTTGTATCGGTACCGGCTGCCTCGAGAGCCGCGCAGGTATAAAGGCGAACGGACGCGTTGCAGAGGACAGAACATTGCCAGCAGGGCAAAAGTCAAGATGAAGCTCACTGGCCTGCTTGGCGTGATCGTAAGATCTTTGGGATAGATTAGAATAACGCTTGCATATAAAACTATCCTCAACGTCGCATCTACCAAAATAGGCGATTGTTAACCTGTATAAATATATCTTACATTGATCAACATAATTATATATCAATATTAGCCGTTTTCACGACGGCCATCTGGTGCACATTTGGTGCACGTCTGGTGCAGATTAGGTGCAGATTTGGTCAAATTAGGTTCAGAGCGTCTCTTAGTAGCTATCAGGTAGGGTTGCACTAATTGGCGGATAGCCCGTCGTGAAAACGGCTATTATTATGCTGATAAATATAAACCTATCCCAGTTGTTTGTTTTCTGCCGTTTATTATTGTGATGTACGAGTTATCGTATTATATTATAGAGTTATATAGATTTATTATTATAGTATATAGAGTTGGCTTATGGCTCGGCTTTGTGATATCGTTATTGCTCTTCTGTTCGCCAGCAGCAGTGCTCTAACGCGCCGTTATTCCTTTCAGCTCGCGGGAGCAGCCATCGCCGCCCCTCCACAGCAGCCGCATGATGCTGCAAGTGCCAACGTGACCTCCGAGGCGGCCCCCACCAACGGGTCAGCCACACAGCGCGAGGGGCGTCGGCGTGACTTCTTTGGCAGCCAACTGAGCTGTGCCACGAAAGGGGACATCCAAGTGGGCACGGCTAACGTGCTGTCGGCCGTGAGCATAGAGCTGGCCCAGCAGCGCAGTCAGCTTCAGAAGGACGTCATCAGTCGCTGCGGTGGCGGCAAAGCCGACGTCTGTGACCTGCATCCGCTGCTGAAGGCACAGGGCGACGCCGCTAAGAGCATCCAGTGGCTCAAGACCGACCAGGAGAGCGTCAAGGCGGCACTGTCGGAGGTCAGGTCCGTGGTGCTCAGCGGCCAGGCCTCCATCGCCCAGGGCGTTACCGGCCTCCAGTCCAGTCAAGAGGAGCTCAAGGACGCCGTGGCCGACACCAAGACGATGCTCACGAGCGGCCAGGGGACCATCATCAACGACATCACTGGGCTAAACGCCGAGCTAGGCAGAGTCGAGAAGGCAGTCATCCGTGGGCAGGGTGATATTGCAACGGGCGTCAACCGGCTGGAAACGGGTGTCGAAGAGATCAAAACCGCCATTGGAGGTGAAGCCAATGGACTTCAGAGTGGTCTCAGCACAATCGTGTCGAGCATTAGGAAACTCTCATCCGACCTTGCCGAAACCGAGAGTGCCATCGTTGAACGGCAGTCGACAATCACCAACAGCCTGGATGATATTCAGACCAAGCAGAACAATCTCCTGGCTTCAGTGGACAACACAAAAGATATGATTGTCGAGCGCCAGATTGAAATAGCGCACAGTTTTGAGGGTGTAGACGATGGTCAACATGATATTTTGCACGCGATCAAGGACACTAAGAATATGATAACGGGCACTCAGGGCACCATCGTCGGCAGTCTCCAGAGCATCATGAGCCGTCAGCCCGAAATCATCAGCACGGTGACATCGACAGGGAACGCTCTCGATACCAAGATCGATGCTCTAGGCAACGACATCAACCAGTTGGAATCAGGACAGGCAGATCTTCTGAATGCGGTACAAGACACAAAAGACACCATTGTCAGCCGTCAAGGAAGCATAAGCAGTGATCTGAAACACCTCAAGGATGGGCAGAGTCAGCTAGAGCATACTATTCACCACGCAAAAGAAGCCATTCTGGCTGCTCATGAACATAAAGACCATGGCTCTTCTGATGGCGCGAAACCAGAAATACTGCAAGCTATCGAATCTGTAAGGCAGTCCATCACAGAAAAGCAGGACAGCATCGAGTCAAGGATTCATGATCTTGAGCGTAATCAGGAAATCATTGCTTCCCGGCTGCAGGACACAAGACGAGACATTTTCCGAGTGTTGCGTCGGATCGAGGACCGACTGGAGAACAATGACGGTGAGGCGCAATCGGGCGGGGGTTAACCGGCGCATGACTGGGGGTGCTTTACGGGCCCCCTCCCGTTTTTCGGCAATATCCTCTAACGCGTTTGACGGATCAACACGAAAGTTGCGGTACCTTCAGCGGCATTGGATCCTGGGTCCGACCTGCAGGCCTGTTGAGCATCTGCGCGCAATGATTTATCATTACCATCATCATCATGTTTATAAGTAGGGTAGAGTGGGGTAGAACGCCCCCATTAAGAGAAATTGCAAACACTCTCTGCATAATTGCATCCACCAATGAAATGTGTGTGCAATAGAATAGACAAACTATTTCTCCTTCTTTGTGCAGTAGAAATTGTGCATTATCACCGACGTAGTGAGCGACACAGACGTGTCTTCGTTGGAAAAGAGTGTCTTACCTCACGAGGTGGGTAAGACGCTCTGGAGAGGAGTTCTTACCTTATACTTACCTTATACACTTACTTGTTCTTTCCTTACTTACCATAATTATTACCTTACCTTATACTTAACTTACAGAGGAAGGCGATTATGGATCCTAAGGCCGGAACCGCGGAGTCGGAGCCACCGAAATTCCATCAACTTCGAAACCATTCAAGGTCTGCCTACACTGGGAGAAAAGTTGACTCTCTACCAGCTTTGATGTGTGTTGATGCGTCGACAACTCCTTACTTATTCACCGTGTCCACAGCAAAAACTTGTTGTAATCTTTTATTATTCTTCCCAAGGTTTTTGTGAGAATTTTGTGAGAGGCGTCCGTGCCTGTTTCCGTGTTCTTCTTATACTCCAGCTGGATGATTATGAAATATTTTTTTCAATGTGCTGATGTAACTCTGGCTAAACTCTTTCTATCCGGCCAACTCTTCACAAGTCCTTCGGGTATTCACATGACGAGTCTTGAAGGAGCTCTGACAGCATATGGTAGCCATTTTGTAACTATACATTCGTCCGCCATATTTGTTTATTCAGTTGTAGGCGAGAGAGTGCGGTGAGCTGTTGTGGGGAAGGAGGGGGTGATGAAATCCTGGGTAAGTTCGCTTTTATGTATGTTGTGTCTGCTCAAAGCGTTCCTTTATTGTATTGTATAATGTTGTATTGTAATTTACAAACCTGTAATAAATGAAAAGCATGTAATGCGATGGCGTTTCCTGCGGGTGAAGGGCGTTCTTCCACCCTGAGGAGATTTGTGGAAGGGGGAGGAGGACGCCTTTCTCTGCCATGGACATTCGCGGAGGGGGGAACGTCCCTGGTTTCGATTCGGATGTAACGTAAAGACGGGCTATTTGAAACGGATTTTACAGTTTTTGGCCCCTATCCTTCAAAACGGTTGATATTTCTTAAAGGAAGGGTGCCACCTTTTGGACACAACGCAGTTTTTACAAGATTAGCCTCACATGAACCTAAAAACCGGCTTCACTTACCTATGCTCGAGACGGTCAGCATTGAATCCGCACGTGAAGTTATCATTTGCGAGTTTTGCTGCCAGCATTCGGGCAGGCAAAAATCTTCAGCACTATTTCCTCGTCGTGTTAAGGGTATTTTATAAAACATGAAATCAGCAAAGGTATGTATAAAAGTTATACTTTTGAAGCATGTTTTGTCATTTTGAAAGGGTATATTTTTTCTTTATGGTATACACTTAAGTTTTAAAATTTTAATTGGGAAGTTTTTCTAGTAAGTTGCATGAAGGGTGAAGGGTTCCATAGATCTCTTAAGCATTGTAAAGGAAAAACCTTTACTCGACTTATTTGATGTTCTTTAACTGTTGGCAAATATGGCCAACAGTTACCTACTTGGTTACCTACAACTTAGTTCAAATCATGTTATCTTCTTCCTTTTTATTTGTTCATCTTTTTGTCTCAGTTGCGCCATCAATGCAAATGGCAGAATGATATGTTGCCATGACAACAGGATATACCAGCCGTCCTAGCTGCCACATCAAACGACCTTGAGTTGTAGTGGTGATATAAACAACGATCTTTTTTTTTTGGCCAATGTATTAAATGCAATGTTTCGGTTTTTTGTATATTGTGGACGCGCTAACCACGTCTAAAATTCAAATAAGTAAAATAGATTCATAGAACAAAAATTTCGGAAGGTGGCACCCTTCCTTTAAAGCATGTAAATTGCAAAAAAAGTAGTTCTTTCATCTCTAACCGCTTTCATATAGGCTCATTTTGGTTCAGCTAGTAACAATTAATAACTTTTTTTTTAGTTTTAGCCTGTCTCAAATAGCCCCATATTGTGGGGCTATTTGAGACAGATTTAGTTGCAAGGAAATTGAAGAAAATCGGTCAAGCTAGGGAGAATTCTTTTAATGCCGTGCGATTTGAAATTAAATTTCCATGCTTCTGGCAAAAAGTATTTCTTTCAACTACAGTTATATAACCCTCATAATGAAACTTTTCATTTTTTCGTCGGACAGCATTTCGGTCTGTTGAAAAATTGCATTACCTACTACTATAGGTATATGCTAGAGCTGTTATAATATGATGTGATTTTATAGGACTTTCTAAGTCAACGGTAGTTAACCTTCGCCGGACCTATTGGTTTTCTACATACCTACGCGCCGGCCGAGGGGGTGGGGCGGGTACGACCCCCCTCGCCGTGGAGCAGGCGCATCGCGAAAAAAAAAAACGAGCGTGTGCGTCGTTACGAGACGCAGAGATTGGTACCCGATTTTTAAGGTCCTAGGTCAACCGGTGACCTCTGAGGTCAAGTCAAGTGCCTCATGGTACGTTTCAGTTTTTGTTGAATAACTTCACAAAAAAACGGCCGCAGAACCGCGATTTTGGCAGCATCGTGTTCGCCTGGCCCAGGCGCGTCGACTGATATACTTTTTGTTTGGGTCAGGTCAACTTAGGGTGCTGACCTCAGGTCAAGGTCAGGTCAGCGCCCCCAGGTCACAAAGTTGATCGAAAGATGTCATGTTGCATATCATTTGATTTGGCAGGTCTTCCTGAGTCCATTGGCGGCTTTCCCGACTCGCTAACTCAATTTGATCGGGAGTTATTGACGAAAAACTAATATGACCTTGATGACGTCATAAATGACGTCACGCAAGGTCGACATTGCAAAAGTGACGCATCTAACCTTGCAAGGAGTGCATCAAATCACGATGCTGTGTGCTTGAGATATTTGGAGATCTTTCCCGCCGCCAGAATAGCAGTTCTTATTTTTCCCCCTTGACCCTATGGTGAGGTCACGAAGATGACCTGACCTCATATGACCTTTAGGAAAAATCCAAGATATACAAGTTGTGAGACTCGTAATGGATACTAGATCCTGCAAGTTTCATTTCCCTGTGAAAGCTCCTGTGGCAGTGAGGGCGTTGCGAAGTTGCGATGCGACATCTGAAGACCGTGCAGAGGTTCACTTATGACGTCATAGGTCAGTGACCTGACCTGACCCAAAAATGCGGTTGGTGTCAAAAGATCAGGTATGTCAAGTTTCAGCTCTCTATCGCCAGGGTGCTCGGAGCTATCGCGAAAAAAACCTATGGGGGGGGCGGCACCCGTCCCCCCTCGGCCGGCGAGGGTTATCCCGCGCCCCGTAGGGCTATCGGCGGACCCTACCACCCGTAGGTGGGGGGGGGGGCGTTTCGGCCCCCCTCCCCTAGATCTCGGATATTTGCCGGCCGATTTTAAAAATTCAAACGGCGTTCGATAGCCCCACCGGGGAACTACCTTGTGACCAAATTTCATTGACCTAGGTCAAACCGATGACGTCACAGGTCAGGTCAAAGGTCGGATTTTCACCGTTCACAGGCATTTCAAGAAATGTGTTGTGAAATCGAGTAAATTGGTAAGTTATTGAAAACCATCGATGGTACACTCGGGGGCAGATTGATGTTCCACCACTCCCGACCCATCGGGCCCCCATGGCTCAGCACTGGCTGCTGCCAGTGTTGCCTGCCCTCAGCACTGCTCAGCACTGCCTGCCAGTGCCAGTGCTGCCAGTGCTGCCACTGGCAGCAGCCAGTGCTGAGCCATGGGAGCCCGATGGGTGGGGAGTGGTGGAACATCAATCTGCCCTCGAGTGTACAGTCCTCAGCAGAAGTAATGAGCGGTTTCAGTTATGGGTATGTTCTGCTTCTGAAGCTTAGGAACGATTAGCCAGACTACAATGAAACTTTGAATGTAGCTTACATGTATCGTTAACCATGCAGCTGCAACCTTACCAATTGACGTCTTATTTTCTATCACTCCGCATGAAAAAATCGCCAGTCAAAGCCATCCGTTGAGATTGGTAAAACCACACATTACTTTTGCGGTGGGCTGTACATACATTGTTCGTCAAACACATACTTCGCTATCTGAGGTCACTGATACCAGGTCAGGTCACAGAGGTCACTGGGGGTCACCTGAGGGTCACAATTTGAAAGTGTCGTGTGATACATGTTTTATGGTTCATTTTACATGACAAATGCGATTATCCCTCGCCGGCACAGGCCATTTTGAGTCCTTCGACGGCACAAGGGGGGGGGGGGTACGACCCCCCCCTCGCGTTTGGCCCCTGATCGAGCTAGGGCTTCGCGGAAAAAACGAGCGTGTTGCCCGTCACGAGAGGAAGCCGATGATACCCAATTTGAAGGTCCTAGGTCATCGGGTGACCTTCCAGGTCAGGTCAATGACCCGAAAACCGGGAAAATCGGGACCTGTTAGAAAGTCGTAAAGTGTGGCTGCTATGTGGTTTTTCGGGGTGCTGATCACGAATATCGTGTTAGTTTTGATCAGAGATGATGTTGTAATGAGATTACATTTTTTCACCATAGTATGCATACAATTTTGAACGCAGGCTGAGTTCACTGGCGCACATTCCTCAGCAGCAGGTGTTCCTGTCCCGACCGTCCTTTCCCTCTCCCACGCTATGCGCGAAACAGCGAGGCATTTCGCCCCAAAATGGCGCAGCAAATGGAGCCGCGCAACAACGCAGCCGGGAGATTAGAGGCGACCGAGGCGTCAGTAACGACTGAAACGAGTATCCATAACCGGACTAACAGCCATTCAGGATGCTCCCGGTAGCAGAGGCGGATCGGCCAAACCTTCCCGAAGTCACGTACTAGAAAGAGGACGCCAACAAATGGCGCGGCCCACCTCCGGCTTCAGTAATTAAGGAGGCAAGTGGCATGCCAAACGGGAAAACAAGGGAAGAGTGAGCAGCAAACACATTGCAACAGCAATCAGCGGGCCAAATCAACAACGACAATTGCACGACTGAAACCACCATTCGAAGGCGAATCCGTAGATACCCGACAACCCACAATCAAATCCAACCCTTGCATAGAAAAACCATCAGGAGGAGACAGGGATCATTGCAAGACATAAAGCTATGCGGGGAAATTGTCGGCGCTGCAAACCAAAGCTCCGAAGCTAAATGAGAACGGTATACTATTCTCTGGTTCAGGATGTTTATAAACTCAACGGAAGAAAGACAACCGGCAAGGAAGAACAGATGAATGTACAGTTGACCCAATGTACAGTTGACCCGGTTGCACGACCGCCGGCAAACAGGCTGAAAAAAAGATGTTTCATGATACCGGCTCGGCAGTACACAGAAAATACGCAAAACATCGGCGGAAGAGTGGTAGTATGAACGGAACCAAATTGTCTGAGTTGATGAGCGGCTTAGTAAATTACATGCAAAATAGCGAAATCACAATCAAGAACTACTAAAAGAAGAGAAATCGCCCGTGTAGCTCAAAACAGCTAAATCAACAGAGAAGGAATTCGCAAAAAGTTGAGTCCTCACAAAAGCTCACCAAATCTGAAGAAAAGTTAACCGGAAATGAAACCAAGACGCTGCAGAAATTCACTCAACCTGCAAAAAGGGAACCGGTTAATTGCACATTGGAAGGATCCGCCGAATATAAAGAGTGGGTCAGGTCACCAGAAGATAAACGTGGAACATATCTTTTTACACAGCTGAAACAAATTCAGAAGGGCCGGCTTTTCACGGAATGGATCGAGAACTGGAGATGAAATCGTTGCGCGGCAGAAAATCACCCAACCCCAGTGCTGCAACATGTCACTTGTAAATTGCAAGGACCTGCTGTTTACCGAATGGATCAAGTTACCAGAAGATGAACGTAAAACCCAGCGAGTGGCCGCATTCCGGACTTCTCG